ATGTTATTAAGCGGCACGCATTTCAGCATGCCAAATCCCGGGCCACGTCAAACAAATTCTGTTGGGATGCCAGATGTTCTCGGTATGAGCACTCCCTCAATGCAAATATATTTAATATAAAAGAAAAAAACCCCACGCACTCTTGTGTGGAGCATTATAGGTGATAAAACAAAGACTTACTTTCATCTGTCCACGTAAATACATTATGCATTTTTATGCTACGTTGTAAATAAAAAAACGGACACACTTGCACACAATGCGTATACAGCATGTACAGGCATCGCTGTTTGTAATTACACTACTGGTTTGAATCCTACTTCACCGTGCTGGTCAATTGTCATTTTGTGAAGCCTCGGAGCATAGATGTCGGAGCACAGTACAGTACAACAATGGAGTTTGCCGCACTGCCCACTGCTGCGGAGCACACAGCACCACAACCTATAGCAACCCGTTGCGCGTGGCTGTTGCACATTTAAGCAATTATCCAGGCTGAAACGTCGCTTAGCTTTTGAGATCTGAGAAACACCCCTCGCATTTCGAATGGTCTGCTCATGGGCGCATACAGCAGCGTAATTGTACGCGTATAATATTTTTTGTGTGTTCACGCCGGCATTCCACGCATCCCTTAAGACATCCCTCCCTCGTGATAGTTTCGTGCTCGTGGCCGTTGCGCACCGAACGATTAAATGAAAAGAAAAAAAATAAGCCAATGGAACGTGTGGAATTTGGCCTTTTGGGTCAACTCCGTAGCCGAAACAAGGGGGACGCGCACCACCATCCCCGGCGACTGACAACAGAAAGTTCAACAAAAGGAAGGCTTTGGGGCTCCTCTCGAGAGAGTAGAGGCACAATGCGAGCACGGTGCTGTGCTGTAACCAGGGTTTCCGCAGCAACGTTTGTACACGATCCGACACCGATTTGCACGGGCGGGTCGATCATTGTGGTATCAGTCTTCCCATAATTTCGAAGTTGCGTTCAGAAGTGTTACCGTCTTGTGCCTCCTTGAAGCTTCCGGTACGAATAAAGACGGGCGAAATCGTCTTTGACTGCGGTTCGTTCAAACCGTAATGAGCCTGCCAAGTCGTAATTTAATCATAAAAAAACTTGGCAAACAGTCATGCTTATCAAGCTCACGCGGTGAGTAAAATCTTATGTATGTACATAATTAAATCAATTGAAAATTACGAGGTCATACAATTGCCATGCCATAAATTACTCCGGAAAACATTTTGCAATGCACTAATTTTACGGGTTAAAGCAATATGTTTTGAAACTATAATTATTGTACACGTTTTGATTTAAAGCTTTCGTGACTGCAGTAATTCATATTCTTAGCTCTTTCGGTAAATATATATTTATATATATTTTAATTTTTATATATATTTTATTGTTTCCCTCCAACGTGACTTTACCAAAAGAGCTAAGAATATTGTACACGTGTTAGTTCATTAAAAAAATTCAGGAAATTATATGCTTTAAACATATTTCATTATATTTTGCAACGCAGACGATATGATTGTTGTGGACCCTATATGGGACATAATAGTAGCATCAGTCATTGTTAATCCACTGCTGGATGAAGGCCACCACCAAACTATCTCCATGGATTTTTCTCCGGGTCCTCTGGTTTTTCCCTCCACATTTAGAAACGGGGCATTTTGCTGCTATACATTTCCACGTGATGACAAGCCACTTTGTTGAGCTATCATTTGTGAGAGCCAAGTTGCTTCAGAAAAATTGCTTTATAGCTCAGTGGGCCTTACCTGGTAAAATAAAATAAAAAAATCTCCAACAACCCTAAAGGTAATAATCCACCAAGCCCCTGCGTACGAGCTGATTTCATTGCTCCAATCTCCTTATCCGCGAGAGTACATCCGCAGAGGAGATGGAGCGACGAAATCGTCTCGTGTACAGATGCGTGCGAGGCGGCTTATAACATCGCATCATCATGAGAGATGGCGACAGCATGGGGGGGGGGGGGGCAAGTGAATCGATCGTAACTGATGATAATGATTATAATGATGACTGTAGTATCGTCACATCGCAGCAAACACTCCTGCCGGAACGCACTCGCTTCCTCTGCGCTCAGCCACGGCGCGGCACGCATGGCTTGCATCTGGCAAGACTCTCACAAAAGGCGGCTGTCGGCAAACACAACGCATGTCATTAGAATGCCGCGCACATCCGAGCGGGAAAGCGATTGTGGTCGGACCCAGCGTGGCTGGCACGCACAACAGTGGCCACATTATCGGGAGTTTGGCTTTTTTAAGTGCCACGGGATATAGCCTCAATTCCTGTTGCTACCTCGGTGAACAACACAAACTCGTTTTACTGTATGATGTTTTTGTTGTTGTTAGTTCTTTTTTTGTTTGTTGTTATATCACCGTTACTGGCTCAGCAGCAGAGAGAGTGTACTCTCAATCGGAAGATTCAGAAGATTGAGAGTGCAAAAACTTGGTTGGAGGATTGACTAAGCTCATCATCATCCATCCGGGATCGATAAAAGGAGCACCACTTTGTGGGGAAGTCAACGGTGGATAGACATTCCTCGGCAGAATGAAGGAATGTGGGATTTCCAACGTTGGCTCATGGACGCATACAGAAGATGGGCACTTGCCTCAATGCTCACTTGAGAACAACAACAAAAAATCGCTGGGCTTTCTTTTCGTTCGCTGACAACAGGCCCCAAAAGCACCAAAAGAAACCAAAAAAGGCCCAGAATGCCAAGTGGCCTCCCACGCGCGGCACTCAAGTGTTGCTATGCTCTGGGTAGGAAGTGTGTGCTTCAAAGTAGAATGCCTGAACAGCAATAATAATAATACTATTGTGCTGTTTTGCTACCCAGGAAAGTCTGAGTCTCAATTCAAAAAAGGAATGACAATTTGGCTTCGCATTGGAGGAAACCGGAGAACCCCGAGATAATCCACCGCACGCATACGAGCGGATAACGCTCGTCGCGCCTCAACAAAAAGATTCCAGAATCAATTACTCCGCCTTGCACTGCCGTTTCTAGGCGACCTTTTAGCCCAATCCTACGACCAAGTGGTGTTATCAAGGAGTCTCCCGCCCAAGTAAACGCTTTCGAACAGTCACGACCTCTCTGACAGAACCAACGTGGAGAGAACTGATTATGTGTCCAGATCATCCGTTTAAATGTCGCAGTGGTTTTCCCGACGCAAATAAGTGTTGGACGGCACACATCTCCCGTTCACAGCCCTGAGCCAGCGGCGGAAGTTCCACATTGCCTCGGCGGGGGCAGGTTTACCCACTGGACAACCCGCTGCTCACTTCCCACAAAGTGGCACCAAATTTGATCAACCTCTGAGGGAGTAAGAGCTCGGCCGACCACCGGCGGAGATTTTAACTCGTCACTTTCCGATTGCCTGATGCCGACGAATCTTGTATAGTAGGCAGGGTTGAGAGCCTGGCGAGTCCTTGGTTAGGTGACCGCCGAGACTTTACGGGCGTTGTAACGGGGTGGGGGCTGCGAGGTGGCCCGGAGGTGGCGGTCGTCAGCGTCACCCCCTCAGACGTGTGGTGGGTATATCCGTGGGCACTCCGGGTTTCCTCCCACACAGAGCCAAGTAAAATGGCCAAACGCACGGACGTAGCAGGAGCCTCCTGAAAAAGAGAGACTCCGTTAGGCTGTCCTTACAAAAAAAGCGAGGTAAAAAGGTACAACCTGCACGCTTTCCTTCCCGACGTCACTGTGGCCAGAAGGGCCCTCCTAAACTCGAAGGAGCTCTAGAGCCCCCTGCGGAGGGTATTCGGCCTACTCTTCCATGCTGGACACTACGTCTTGGAAGCAGGGCCGGATTAAAGTTCTTGAAGGCCCTAGGGACTGCTGTCTCGTAGGCCTTCAGTTATAACTTTCTACAGTTGATACGGCGGCCCCCGTGTCACTACGACCACCACTCTCGCTCGTTTGATTGCGCGAAAAAACACCATTTAAAGATGCTATTGCTCATTTTGCAATAAATTGTTTTACTTAAATGTTTATATGACTCTGCCTCTGTGTATATACATTGTGCCTATCCTTGCTATATATAAATATATTTGTTCAAGGAGATATCTTGATTACATTTTTTTATATCATGCAAAAAAAAATCAGTCACAATTTTTTCGGAAGCCCTTTAGTTTTCGTTAGGCTCTAGTCCACAGTACCTACAGTTACAGTACCTACAGTCACAGTACCTACTGGCACAGTACCTCCTGTGCCTATTGGATAATAAGGCCCTGCTTGGAAGAGGTGGAAGTACCCACATTTTACTCCACCAGACGCGATCTGCCGATCAGCTGAGTGTAGTGCACCCGTTGATGCTGCCTGGGTGGGGAAAGCGGGCAGGGGAGGTTTAAGAAGCGTTCCCATTGTTTCAACCGCCGCGCCAGGAGACATACTGTGACATCTGTTGAAAAAGAGCGTCATAGCTCATCGGATTCCTCCAGCCTAAATGAAGATTCTGATATCACCGAACCGAAGGGGCGACGTCCAGATTTACAAGCCTAGATATCACTGAACCAAAGAGGCTACCTCTGGATTGCAAGCCTCGTGTGCTCACCATTCCACCACTCTGGCAGCAGATGAAGGGCACCATCATTCATTATTTGGCTGCTATACATTTCCACACGTTAAGTCATTTTGTTGAGCTATCATTTGTGGCCAGGTCGCTTCTGAAAAAGAAGCTAATAGCACAGTGGGCATTACCTGGTAAGATAAAAAAAACTAGTTTAGTTTTCTTTTTTGTGTGATTTGTTTACCTTTCCTATACTTTGCACTCCTGTCGTATTTTTTTTAATTATTTGTCGTTGTAATGTTCCGACCCGCCCCTACTGGACATCTGTGGAAAAAAAGAGCAGTATAGCTCACCAGATTCCTCCAGTATAAATATGCTGATATATTATCAACCTCGGCGTATGTTCCGACACGTTCGCACGCGACGATAATCCACGCGCCACGTCTCTGATGTCGCCGCCCGTGTCCTGCCTACCCCCACCTCCAGTACATGCGAGTTCGAGTCACCAAGGGCACCGTGTACTACTGCAGGAGCGGAAAGAAGTTCCACGGGCAGGTGTTCGAGAAGATGCTCGTGGTGGACTGCAACGTCGCGCTCTGTGGCTCCTACAGGTGAAACACCTCGCACGGTTGTTGTTGTTGTTGTCGGTTTTAACCTGTGCAAGGGTCATTTGAGGACACGCCGGGGTGGTGTCAGGGTTACGAAGGCACACGATTAATAATTGATTGAAAGAAACGTCGGTTGGGACACAGTCTGGCCGGAGAGAGCAGAGGATTTGGTGGGAAAGAAAAAGGATGGAGAGGTCAAGGGCGAGAGGCGGAGAAGGAGACCAAGGGATGGGATTGGTGGAAAGGAGATGAGAGGAACCTGCTGGAATATTCCAGAAGGAACAAGCAGAGAGGGGATACAAAGGGGGTGTGACGTGTGCTCGGGGCTCTGGGAGGGACGGCTTCCTGCGAATGTGTATGTTGGGGAGTTTGCGAGGGATTTTCCTTTTGTGGGGAGCGGTGGCGCAGTGGTCGGCGCACTGCGCTTCAAACCCGGAAACCCGAATACGATTCCCGCTCACGACCAAAAACAGTGGCGAATATTTGAACCGGTCTCGGGACTCCCCTAGGCCGAATCAGCTTTAAATAAGTACAGTACCTGGTGTGTAAACATCAGCACGGGGGAGCCAAAGGTAGCTGGGTGTGGTGATGTCGTCTATCCCACCCCTTTGAGTGCTGTGCCGGCCTTCATAGGTGCTTAATAACAGCACCTGCACTGGAATGCAATGCGTTTCCCAAATTAATTTGCGAGTGATGTTTTAAAAAATGTATCTTCACATTTGGCCAATTTTTCGACTCCGATGTCGGCTAGACACGGCCGATAGTTTTTGCAATGATGTCACGGGATCTTTAACGTCCAACCGTATTTTCACGGGTCAACGCATCCGTAGTGTAAACCATTATACCACCGGCTCTGGAAACAGTCACGACACTTGGGGGGCTTTGTACAACGGTTTATGGGTCGAGTCCTCTTGGTTAACAGTCCCCCTCGTAAGGAGTACGTCCACGTAGGTGAGAACTATTTTCTAACTAGGGAAGGGGTGGTAGGGGGGAGATAAACGTTTAGGATGCGTGGGTGGTTACGGGACCAGCCCCCAAGTTTACAACGTTGTTAGAACGTTGTAAACTTGCCGGTTTTCCCTTCTCTCCTTTCCCCAATCCGGTTCCCGGTGTTCAGGGGTAACTCGTCAGCTCTTCTCTGCCTCAGGCCCCGCTCCGGGGAGTTTCCGGGGAGGGACTACGTTGAGTGGGCTATTGAGTGAAGGGTCCCCAATTCGGCTCAAACTCTGCCTCCTTTCCTTTTGGTTTGTGGCTGAGGTGCTCCATTGCAAGCTGTGATACCAGTGTTTCCGGGAGGGTGGTTCGTGGTCCTTCCAGTTACCTAGTATGACGCTCCTAGCTGGCATGTTGAAGGCCTGGAGGAAGGCGTCCTGCGTCTTTGATATTCCAGGAGGTTTTAAGGCCCCCAGAGGGAGGAGTCAACCGAGGGTTTCCGACGTTTGTGTCGTCGTTTCTGTTAAAGTGTCTCGTGATGTCCGAGTAGAATGCCGCGATATCCGGACATGTCCACAAAGCGTGTAGATATGTCCGTGTGATGCCTTTCAGGCACCTGGGGACAGTCTCGGGGGTGTGCTGGACAATGCTTGTCTCCTCTCGTTAGTGCGACATTTTCGTGTATAAATTTGAACTGGTTGGTTTTCAATGGACGTGATCTAGGGCCTACCTGCCAAGGGCACGCGCCAGATTTGCACCCATTTTTGGACGGGGGGGGGGGAATAGGCTGTCTCTGCCACAGTCCCCTAGTTTGTGGTCTGGTGTGGTCCTCCTGACGTCAGCCACTTAATCGGGCGGTAGGGTTTGCCGGAGAGGTTCCTAGCTAGGGGCTTTGATAGTGTCTCTGATCCGAAGCAATTTATAAAAGTGGGACTTTGGGAGGCCATGCTGTGATAATAAATTAAACGATTACACTTTATTTTTTATTTTTCCAGGTAAGGGCCACTGAGCTACGTAGCTCTCTCTCAGAAGCGACTTGGCCACAAATAATGGCTCAACCAAGTGGCTTATCACGTGCAAATGTATAGCAGCCAAATACGATAATTGCATGTTGATTCTAAATGTGGAGGGGGAAACTGGAGGACCCGGAGAAAAATCCAATCGACCATGAGGAGAACATGCAAACTCCATATATAGCGGCGTCAGGGTTGGAATCGAACCCATATCCTCCTGTATACCAGGTTAGGTAGTTAACATCTCGCCACCGTGTTGCCCAATTGTATACTCTGAAGTCCGTAAAAAGGGCTTTGTAATTCTTAAGTTTAGTTTCTCTTCTCCCCTCCTCCCACACCACTTGAAGTTATACAAAAATTGTGCTAGCAGAGTGATGTGGCCACATGATATAAAAATTTAATTTGGAACGTTAAATATTAAATCATAAGCAGAATATGTATTTATACTGCAGGAATCGGTTGAGCTATAAAGCTCATTTTCATAGATGTCCTGTAGGGGCGGGTAAGAACGTTACAACAACAAACAGTACAAAAAATACGATAGGAGTGCAAAGTACGAGAAAGTTCAACAAATCGCCCAAACACAAACAAATACAACAACTAAACTATCCCCAACCTATCAGACAAAGCCCACTGAGGTATTAACTTATTTTTCAGAAGCAACCTGGCCACAAATGGTAGCTCAACAAAGTGGCCCATTAATTATTGGGACATTTATAGCACCAAAAAAATCCCAATGGATGTTTCTATATTGTGGAGGGAAAAACCGCCGGAGAAAAAATGCACGCGACCATAGGGAGAGAGACACGCCAACTCCAAATATACAGCAGGCGTCAGGGTAAGGATCGAACCCCCGGCCTCCTGCATACCAGGCGAGGAAGATTACATCACACCACCGTGGTGCCCCTTAAATAAATAAATTAAAGTGCAGCACCCCATGCCAGCGTGGTCATGGATGATGCTAACACGGATTTGGTTGCCACCTTCGAGATACGAGTACAAAATCGCATCATATCATGCATGGGAGGAAGAACATTTCACAGTTCGTACTGCCAGAGAGTGGTGCATTATTATTAAACTGACAAACTGGGGCTTTTGATGACCCGGGACGACTAAGAGATTTCACAAAATGGGGACAATCCTGGAAGAGCTGGGACAGGTGGCAACCCCCGTCACAGAACTATGCGGTCACTTTAATAATAATAGGCTTCTTTAACTTAAACTGGCGACACACCTTTTAATGCCCTGCAAAGACTGTTCAGCGCTCGTCAAAAGTATACACTTTTTTAATTCTCAGAGTTGGAAAAAAAATGTTGGTCAAATTAAGTTAAGAACAAAATGTAATGGCGTTTTCTTAGCGTGCGTGTGTGTGTGCAGTCCACTGGTGACCGCGATGACATCACCAGCTTGTCAAAATTGAGAACCCAGTTTAATCAGAGGCGGCTGAAACCTTTATTCAAACCCAGTACTTCATTGGTGCCGGCTCTGTACCCCGAATCCAAATTAACCCCCCCCCCCCTTCAAATCCACCCGGCTGTTTCGGTGATCTTGAAGCCCATTCACTTCGCTTTGCAAACTGCAGGTTGTGGTAATAACGAATGTAAGCTCTTCGGTGTGTTTTGTGGCGACTCAACTCACTACACATACCCGCTCAAAGTCTTCGGGGTGCAGCTGTGGGGCACGGGGGTTCGCGAACTTCGCTAAAAGAGTCTGGCGACCCGAGTGTGATTCCAAGCCGGAGCTCATGTGAGTGGCGAGTGATATCTGAACCGGATTTGGCACTCGCCTTCACCAACTCGGCACTGACCAGCGTGGTGAAGTATGTATGTTTAACTGCTTTGGCACCGTACGTAGCCAACCGTGCTAGTCGGAGGTGCGGCTGGTCAAACCTCCCCCATGAGCGGGAGATGTGGCAGGGAGACCATCCCCGCGGCTCCCGATTATCACGGTTGGTGCAAAAGAAGCTCAACATACATACGTACACGTACCAGTGAATTGACAAAGTGCCGAACGCAGAGTCTGTGTCGGTTGCGTTTCACGAAAACATAAAAGGTCGGCCTCTTCCTTTTAATAATGAGCATTGGGGCGCTGTCCGCCTACTTTGGCAGCCCTGAGCCGGTTTCAGAAATTCCACATTCCAATGGGAGAGACTGGGCTTGCCCAAACCCAACGACGGATTATTTCCCACCAGGTGGGCGATAACCCCTCCCCTCCCCCACCCCACCGTATGTTAAACTTCTTTTTGCACCGTACGTAGCCGACCATGCTAATCGGATGTGCGGGGGGCGGGGGAAGGACAAAAAACTAAACGCACAAAAGCAGTTACGAAGAAACTAGTTTTCAATCGAGATCATTTAAAAGTGCATAGCTCCATATTCTTGGTTCTTTCGGTAAAGTCCACGTAGATAGAAAACAAAAAATCTAAATTAAAAGCAAAAAACCCACGACGTTTCGATGGCAACGCAAGCGGTCTTCTTCAAATATCGGAAGGAAGAGCGTTCCAGACGGCCGCACAAGCAGCGCGTCCGAAAGCGAGCGATGCGGTGACCGTCTTTGAACCGATGGGTCAGCCGAAAGCCGCCGCTGCGAGGATGACCGGAGTTCGTGTGATTGTTTATGCTCCTTGACGAGATCAGCAAAGTATTGCGGATCATTTTGTGGCAAGGGCTCTGTGCGTGACGAGTACGACCTTATAATGTATCCGTTCAGCAAACCGAAAGCCAATGCAGCTCAGCGAGGACTCGCCAGTCAAGGACCAATTCTGGGTTCAGGTTCCCAGCCATCTGTGCCGCCGACTCCCTACCCAGCCCCCCTCCGTTCAAGTCCAGGCTATACGAGTCATCATACTATTGTCACAAATGTTTCCAATTGACTAGGTGCTATTTAAATCAAAGGTGCTAAGTCAATACAAACTTTCGATTTAAAGCTTTCGTGACTGCAGGGATTCATCTTCTTGGTTCTTTCGGTAAAGTCACGTAGAATGGAAACAAAGCAATAAAAATAAAACATAATGAAATAAAATTCTCACGACGTTTCGGCCACAACACAAGTAGCCTTCTACGTGACTTTACCGAAAGAACCAAGAAGATCAATACAAACTGTTGGAAGACGTGGGGTATTGCCACACCTCCCCCGTCTCTCGACATTGTTGAGCAGCACCTTCCTTTTGCTCCCACTCAGCATTTTTTTTTTCCCCCACTCGATATACAGCCAAACATCAGCCGAGTTTCCTTCGGCAATTCTTCCACTCTGATAACACAGACGCTGGATATAAGCACACCCCTTAGGAGCAAGGCAAGATGTCCTTGTATCTGAAGAAATGCGCTTGTATCAGATGTAGCTCTTTGGATTCCCCCACCAGAGTTATGTTAAGAATTGTTTTGTTTTAAATCAAAACTGTGCTTCGAGACTATCCTGGTCTCTTGAGTTCTTACCTTCTACCCCGCAGCCCTCACTCCTAACAATGCCCTATCGGCTTGCAGCTGCCCGGTAACAAACACTTATTTTCACCTAACTCATTCAAAGCGCCTGAACAGCAGCAGGTGCAAAGGTGTGCACTGCTCAATTAGGACTTTGCCCTAGAGGGAAACGACACGGCTGGTCGTACAAATACTTGTCGATACCATTGCGCAGCAACTGTCGGGTGCAACGGCCATACACCGGAATCCCCGCGCGTGTCAAAATGGTCTGAACTTATCAAAGGTCGCCCCGTGGCCAACATCGATTGAGCGCTTCGCGCAGCAGCGAAGGGAGCTCGCCGGAATTAAATTTGACCATTAAAATGAGCTGGGAAAATGGTGGCCTTTGTGCAATATCTGGTGACGCAAGTTTAAAACGAACTTGTGGCATAAATCTCAGTGTAAAATATTCTTTACGTTTTTACTCCCCCCCCCCCTGCTGCCCCCCCCCCTTCCCAATTGTTTTTAATTTATATTATCGGCATCATGTCCCAAGATGCAAAATCCAATCCCAAGTCTTGCAGAGTGGTCTGACGTGTGTGCCGGAGAATGGCTGTGGAATAAATGTTGCCCTTGGACTTCTCCCAGAGACTCAGTTCATCTTTCCAATTTAACGGACGATAAAATGTGCGTTACTTCTATGTATGCATGTTGAACTTCTTTCGCACCGTACGTAGCCAAACGTGCTAATCTAAGGTGCAGACTGTGTATTTAGCCTTTACACAGGGGGGTGGGGAACTTCCCTACACATGGATCCAACATTGTCACGTGGACGTCGGAGTGAACATTTTGATTATCAAAAGCTGGAATGTAGCCAAAACTCCAGAGCGACATTTAATGTGATGGTGTTTGTTCTTGTTTGGTGAAACCGCTTGTAACTGCCTAGACCATCAATCTCGCTACACCTGCAAAGGTTTAAGTACGGGTGGCCGCTCAGATTCATACTCTGTGACTTGAGCGAGTCAAAATTTAATGCAAAAAAAACAGGCGTCATATTGTGACTTATATACGATTTTTGCTCATGTGTACATTTCATTTTTCCAGTGTAAAGCATTGTCTTTCAGCATCCAACCTATAACTTCGCTTGCAGGGTCATTTGAACGATTGTTTTTTTCTTTTCAAAACTTATTTCCAATCGATACAAATGTGAAAACACAAGTAGGATATATGGTCCGATGCTAAAACTCAATGTCTTTGTGGTCTCTCTTTCTTGTGTTGCAGCTTCACGTGGTCCTACGAGAAGATCAACAGGAGCATCGTGCAGGTGTTCACGGGCCAGGTGGTCGAGATATTCGACGAGGAGTTCCGCGTCTTGTACGGCCAGTCCGAGACACCTCCGCACGCGTCCGCGCTCTACATGAGCCACACGACGTTGGATAGGCCGACCTACCCGCAAGCCTACGGCTCCAGGAAGAACTCGCTCACAGGCAGTCTCGTGGGCAGTCACGTGGGCAGTCACGTTGGCAGTCACGTGGGCAGCCACGTTGGCAGCCACGTTGGCAGCCACACGGGCAGCCACGTCGGGGAAGACCAAGCCAGTGCGAGTGGTTACAAGCCATTGTACCAGGGCTCAAGGGACTCGAATTATCCCTGGGTGAACAGTGGCTCGACGAGCAGCAGAAACCTCGAGCAAAGCACCCACCAGCCGTTCGAGCGCAAAGATTACCTGCGGCAGTCCATCGACCGCGTCTACGCGAGGATCCAGTCGCGGCAGACGCAGCTGCAGAGCGACCTGGGCACCAGCACTCTCGACAGGAACTCGAGCCTCTTCCAGAGCCAGAGGGCTGCGAGCCGGCTGCCGGGCTACGGGACGGATTCCGACGCCTGGAAGCGACACAGCTACGCCGGGGAGCATCCTGAGAGCAGCTCCTTCCTGAGGAGCAGGGCGCTCTTTGAGAACAAGGATCAGGGCAGCAATTCCACCCTGAATCGAGACCCCTCAAGGTACAGGAGCACGTACATGCAAGACGTGGAGAGGGCGGCGAACAACGCGCCACGACGGAGCTCCTTATTCACTGCGGGCTCTCGCGGGAGCTCCACGGCCGAGGGGGAATTTGCGGGGACGCGGGATCGGGAATACAGCAGGATATTCGGGGACGGGTATGTGGACAAGTTCAGCAAGCTGTCGACTCTGTCCAGGGAGGTGCGGCAGGGCTCGCAGTTTCCGAGCAATCAGAGCAACCTCGAGAAAGTCTCGAGCCAGCCGTACGCGTGCGAGACTTCTCCCACGCAAACGAACTTCCGCGAGCAGGACTACCTAGGCCGGCGGTCCAGCACGGAGCACGTGGATTCGAAAGACGCGGACAACGAAGCCCCGGAGTGGAACAACGATCACGGTAAATCCAAGGACACGCTGCGCCGGTTAAGAATAAACTCTTACCTGGACGAGAAGGGAAACAATCAGGAGGACGCTCGCAGCGCAGCTAGGGCTGTGAACGCGAACAGGGATGAGGGATCGCTGAGCAGGAGAAACTCTCTGGACACGAGCATCAGAGACCCCACGGTCCAGGCCACGACAACTGCCACGGACGAGGCTCTGCGTGAAAACTCGGATGGCGAAACGAAGTCGGTGTTCACGCGGAATTCGCGGTTTCACTCCACGCTGCCCACGAACACGCTGTACAAAAGCAAGTCTCTGCTCGACAAAGACGTCGCAGTGCCCAACAGCGACAATGCCGAGAGCAAGCTGGTCAAGACCTCCTCGAAGTTTTTGAACAAGCAGAGCAGCAACCAGTCGCTGAACACGGCAGGGAACTCGGATGACGAATACGAAACATTCGCTTCGAAGCGGCAATCGTTTTTATCGAGGCTGAGGCCAAATTTAAAGCATGGCGAGAAGGGAAAGGAACGCGGGTCCTCCCAGTCGCTAAATAAAGCAAACAGTCAAGAGCCGCTCGATAAGGACCTCGGGCAAGCAGCCTCCACGAGCAACCTCAAGGGCAACGAAAAGCCGAGCGTGCGCAGCCTGAAAGAACGCTACGAGAGCACGTCCAACCACGAGGTGCTGCAGTCGGCAAGCCGCGAGAAAGAGCCGAGCGCGCCCCCGACGCCGACAGCGCCGCCCCGGCGCACCGTCTCCGTGCCCTCGATCGTGGACGACAAGACGCAGGAGCTCGCCCAGGGCGGCTTCAGGAAGAAGGGCGCCGGAGCGGACGACGGCAAGAAGGAGGACAGCCCGCTGGACAAGCTGAAAAAATCTCTCAAGTTCCGGACGATCTTTCCGTTCGTACCCGACAAGAAGGAAGAGGCGCAGGCGTTGCAAGAGGGCGCGCAGAAGGCCGTCGAGGCAGTTTCGCAAACCAAAAATCAGGTGGAAAAAGACAACTCCTTCGCGAAGCCGGTGCAGCCGGTGCAGCCGGTGCAGCAGCAGCAGCGCCGAGATAGCACGTCGGCAAGCGCATACACGTCGGCGACGAGTGAGAAAGCCCAACTCCCGGAGGCCACGTCCGCCCTCCGGAGCAACTCGGCTTCCCTCCGGAGGGACAGCCTCACCGGCAGCAGCAACCACCTCGTGAAGCAACCGGACGCGCCCGCCGAGACCTCCGCGGCGCTCGGTCGCAGGCTGAGCAACAGCAGCCACGTCTCCACGACGTCCGTCTCCAGCGTGGTGTCCACCGGCAGCCAGGGCGCGGCCGGCGGAGACACGGCGAGCCAGACGGGGGCCGAGGACGGCGACGACAAGTCGGATGTGCTGCTCAAGAGGATAGACAGCATGCGCAAGGAGAAACGCGTCTACAGCCGCTTCGAGGTGTTCTGCAAGGGCGACAAAGAGGCCGGCGCGGAGAGGCCCGCGTCGACAGCGACGCCGTACGTGTCCGCGACCTCCTCCGCGTCGACTCCCATGCGCTCCATTTTCCAGCCGAGGTACGACTCGTCGAGCCTGGGCAGGAACGCCATGCAGAGCCAGACCTCCTACTACAACTCGGGGTTGGGCCGGCACTCGCAGTACTCGGGCGTCGGCAGTGGTGGCGGGAGCGGCAGCGGTTACTACAGCGGCGGCAGCGGCAACAGCAGCGACCGCTACACCACGCCGCAGCTTCTGCAGCAGCGCCACGTTCCCGATCAGAGCAAGAACGAGAAGCGGCTGCCCAAGTTCATGCAGCGGTTCGTGGTCACACTGAAACCGAAGAACAAGTGAAGGCGTCTCTCGCACGCCGGCCGTTGGGTGCGGGGAATCGTTTTTTTTGTTAATTAAGCCGCTTCGGTCAAACGTGGCCCCGCGATGCTATACCGCAACGATGTTTTAACGCTAACCGCTAAGCACTGATAATTTGTATTGCTGTAATATTACGATTTGGGGGGCAAGGAGGGGGGAGTACTGTGTACAATGTTAACTGAATACGGCTTGAAATGTGTGTGCATTTATTACAAATGCATTAGGATATTTTATAATTTGTAAGGTTTAAGCTTACTCATGAAATGTTAGGTGGAGTTTAGTTTTTTTTGTCGTGTCTGTATTAAAGTTAAGTTTAGGCGCATGCTGTGCACATTATGAACGCTGCCTTGGGAATGGGATTCCAATAGATGGGATGGAACCACACACACTGTAGGCCATAAGGGGTTAGATGTAGTGTATTCGGAGGGCTGAACACACGACTTCAGGGTGAAGCCAACTGAATGTTGCAGTTATCTCAAAAACAATGTAAGCAGCTGGGGAAGAGAGTCGTTCGGTAACGTGTTGTGCCTTTTTCAAAACAAGGTGCGATGCCGCTCACCCTAGATTTCATCTGGCCACATCTGGTCTCACGAGCGTTTGAAACGTCGCTCGAAAGGTTGTTGCCTGCGAGCACCGTGCCAGATTTGTGATGTTGGCCTGGCCACATTGGTTTGCAGTATTGTCAGGCGGGAGAGTTATTTACAGACCAGTAGATTCTTCACTTAAGCGAAACTAAACTTATGTTTTACAGGGTAAGGCCAACTAAGGTATAGAGCTCTTTTTCAGAAAGCGACCTGGCCACAAATGATAGTGCAAGGAAGTGGCTTATCATGTGGAAATTTATAGCGGCCAAATACTAGCAAATGCATGTTTAGAAATGTGGAAATGAAAAAACCGGAGGACCCAGAGAAAAATCCACGTGACCACGGGGAGAACATGCAAATTCTAAATATACAGGCGTCGGGGTCGAACCCATGAACTCCTGCATACCAAGCGAGGTGGTAAACATCTCGCCACCGCGCCTTTGGGGAAATTCAACAAATGGGACAAACACAGCTGCGATGGGAGGAACGTGAAGGCTCTCACGACCACCATCACCAATTTCAGTCTTTAAAAATAATTGATAAATATATAATGATCACCGACTGCACGTTTTAACTACCTATTTGAGGTTTTAGTGTAATAGTCTCATATTGTTAATTATGCACTCACCGAGCACCTCGTGAAGGTTGAATATACTTAACCTTAAGGTGCTCAATGTCTCATATGTGTAAAGCTTTAGATCAAGGGACTAAGGGCTTTCCCATAATCGAGAAAAAAGTTATTCTGAGATTAAAACAGTTCTCATAAAAAAATGCTGTTTTCTGTTGAGCTGCAAAGTATAGGGCAGTGCTGCAGTGTCTGGGCGTGAACACAATCAAGCCATTCATTCATTTTATATATTTTTACACAAACATATCAAATTACGAGTGCGTGCCAATTCTCCCGCCAGTTTGTGTTGTTGTTATGGAACCGAGGCCAAGCAATAGCCGCCCTACCGGGCTCATTCAAAATTGCTCTACCTGGTTCAGCCGGCAGAGGAGTGGCGTAAATAGCCAACAAGGCATGCCAAAAGACGCGCTCCAACAACACATCACCAAAACACATCGCTAACACCCAAGCAGAGTTTTTTAATAGCAGGGCAAAAAAGTTCCACCCTTTGTTCATTTTGTAATTGAAAACGTGCTTTACAAAAGTTCCAACTCCACGCTTCGACACAGTTTGACGCTGTCGGAAGGCACTACTCGACAGCAGATCCGTCTCTGTATTTTATTGTTTTAACCTTTTTTTTTGCAAATTTTTACAAAAGAAAATAAAAGTTGTCGAAGCAGCCACCGTTGCCGGCAGCCCAGCCTTGTCTTTTACACTCGGACACGTGCCAATGGCTTTTGCCAAAAGCCACTATGGAACTCGCAAGGGAAGAGAAAACATGGTCATGTAAAAACACCCAGGAGGCAGGCAACGCTTCGAAAATAACTTTGCCGACTTCAACCACGGCGCACACGATACCGATTTCCTTAAATTGACGAGTCGTTGAGGCACTGTGTGCTCGGCCAGTGATGGGCCAGAATTAGGATCGTGCTGGAGATGTCCTGGTGATATCCAGAGATGCTCAAGAATAGGCGTTCGGTCACAATCGGTGTCCAGGGCCAAAGGGAGTCGGCAAATGGTGAAGGCTGGGTAGAGGTCAGGTGTGAACTTGACAAGTACAACTCCACTGGCTTACCGGTAAACATACTTGCACGCACACACGTTACCGATTCGCTTGAGTCAACGCATCGCTGAGACGCTACCGGTTCGTTCGGAGAGGTGGTCCCAGGTGGACTGTTTAGGGTTAAGTTGGGTGTGCTGCTGACAGGAGCACATCCCTGAAACACCATACACTTCGGGTTCAGGTAGAGGTCTCAAGAGGAGACTGGGTTGGGTGAGTTCACGATAACGCAGCATCTATCCTGGGCACTGGCTTGTCCGGCAACCGATGAGAAGCTTGGTCGTGGGTCAAGTGGCCCCTTCGTCGTACGAGCCGAGCAGCTCGGCGAGCGCCTCTGAACGTGCGACCTCCTGCAGGGCGGCCACCATGTGGTGCAGGGCCTCCCCGCCCTCCAGGAAGGCGGCAACGCCATGCACAGTGCGGCCAATGCGGTGGTCCGTGATGCGGTCCTGCATGAAGTTGTACGTCCGGATCTTCTCCGAGCGGCCTCGGGATCCAACCTGGACAACAGGGCAAGGGAGCGGAGCAGGGGTTCGGATTTCAGGAAAGCGCGCGCACACACGCCCGGGCCAGACCTCCCGCTGTCCTCCTGTATACAATGGAATGCGCTTCCTTGGCCTGCGCCTTTCCCAACAGACTGCACAACTTCCGCAGGAAAGGACATTGTTTACACTGGACTTGGGAACCGAAACTGTGAGAATTTTTCCTTAAATTACAGTTGAATTTCAAATATTTTTTTTTACCACGAGATGGCCGGGTGGCTCAGGTGGCTAACGTGTTAAGAGCAATGATCTAGCACCTATGAGATCATGGGTTTGAGTCCGGGTAGCCATCCGACCTTAAATTTGGTTCTCCAGTTTAGCAAGAACAAAAAATAACTTGGTAAACCTCATTTATCCACTTGATTAAACATTGCCCATTGGAGAATTAATTATTTGGTTCGTTATCATGCGACGATTATTCTACGCAAGGCACTGAAAAGGTGTACTACTTAATATACTATACATAATATACGCAACTGAAGCGACTCTGGAAGTAGTGCTGTGGGAAGCGATGATCTCGCAGAGCTTTTGAGATCACCGATTGGCATGGTTGGCTAAGTACGGTGCAAAAGAAGTTCAACATGCATACATCATCCCAACATCGCATATCCAACTTGCTGGTGACTGAGAAAGTGACCATCAAAAAAAATGTACAGTAATATCATGCACAAACTGCTTTAAACAAGGAGCTTCAGTAGAAAGCGATTGTGCGTAAGATAAAGAATACATCACAGTGTGTGAAAAGGTCGGAATTAGGAACACCTAAAGCAGTTCCGTCTCCACGCGGCGACACAGAGAGCGGCAGCGGCGGAAGGCAACTGGAGGAATTGTTTCAAGCGGCAAGGCGAGCCATGGGGCGGTGGCGACCGCGGACCTGAAGTTTGCGCGCCGTCTGCTGCTTGCTCAGCCGCTCTTCAAGCTGCAAGTCGTAGAGCTTGGCTCGGAGGATCGTCATCGCCTGCTTGAGGTTCTGGATCTGCGAGCGTTCCTTCTGGCACTCGGACACCACGCCTGCGGCCAAAACGCTCGGTCAATTCTCACAGAGGGACAAAGGAACCCTTTTTGTTGGATACGTTTCAAGCTTTAAGTTTACTTTGTTTTGGCCAGGTGAGGACTCGTGAGGGACTAGAATTATCTAATTTGCAGGAGTGACCCGGGTTGCCAAAATTACAAAAGCAAAAACAGATAAAATACAGCAGTGAAGCAAATATAAATAAAAAACTTCTCTGTGTCAATGCGAATGTTAGGGCTGGTTCTGAAAGCTATGCCCTATTATACACATGTATATCACATAGCACTCAAGGACATGTTGGTGCCTGCACTACATCCGGCCACTTCTGTCTACCTGACTGATATTGGATCCTCTGTGTTGGCAGTGGAGAAAAAGCTAAGTAAAAAAAATCTGCCACCTTTGTATGCATACGTACGTATGTACGTAAATACATTCATGTTATTTACAAGCAGGTGATGAGTCCATCAAGGAAACAAGATGCTTGTGCAGAGGAGAACCTTTTAATTAATTAATTTAAGTTGGAGCCACTGCCAAAAGTATTGAAAAAATATAGATGATTATGCTTTAATTTTATAGGAAAGGCTGGAAAGCTGAAATTACACACAAATATAGCTAAGGCCATATTTTTTTTTTACCAAAATGTTTGAATATGTACACGAAAATTTAGAGACCATTTCCACTCATACAGCATGTTTAGCGTTAAATTCTAATTTGTTTAAAATCATATGCTAATTACGAACAAAAAATATACCCATCATCAGTGAACCAAGACATTTTCCCCCCATGAATTTGCGATGCTAAAACCCGGAAAGTTTGTCACGGTCCCAGCGCAATGGAAAAAGAAGTACGTACGTCTGCACGCAGGAACGGCCCAGTAAGAGGCAGAGAGAGAGAATGGGCCAGGGTGAGTGTCCACACCTGTGGGGAGGTGAGTGATGCGCACGGAGCTGTCCGTGGTGTTGACACTCTGGCCCCCTGCCCCGCTCGCCCGCTTCGTCTCAATGCGGAGCTCCTTCGGGCTGATGTTCAGCTCAATCTGAGTGTAAAATTCAGAGACATCGTGGAATCAGCCTCTTCATTTATCCTGGAGCAATCCGATGAGCCACGAAGCTCTTTTTTTCCACAGATGTCCAGCAGGAGGCGGGTCAGAAAGTTACAACAACAAACAGTACAAAAAACAATCGAAAGTACAAAGTATAGTAAAGGCAAGGGGCCGAAGCTAGCTAGAGCCTACGCAGCGCAAAAGCCAACAACTGTTCACTGCACTCAAAACAATTAGTAATCCAAATGCGGTTGTTTTCATCGTTGGGCTGCGTGTTGAGCATCTCGTTCCTCCAGCTTCCGCCACGCACTACTGAGGGTATCTGCCTACACCCCCTCTCTCTCATCTTACCTGACTCTCCAGCACGTTGTCTACGCTCCAGCAATAAAGGCATCCTTCTTACAAAGCTCACAGTCAACTGTCATTCCATGGGCAGTTGCTCCTTCTCGGGTTCTGCTCCTGCTGTATGGAATTCTCTTCTACTTGATTTTTGTGCAGTTGAGACTCTGTCCTTGTTCAAGTCAACAATGAAGACCAATTCCTTTCGATGTTGCATGCAGATAATTTTGCCATGTTTTTTTTTTTCCCCTGTTTAAGTGTCTGGAGATGCGGCTGCATATAGATGCTCGTATATAAATTATATTTTGTATTAAATTCCTGAAGACTCCTGGAACTTAGTGCGTGGCCAAAGGTTGAGATGCTCAGCGCCCATTTGTCAAAGGTCTCCCCCTGCGGTGGTGGCGGTTTTCTGCCATACTTCACCACATTAGTCACCACGGTCCAGAATCAAACTCAGGTTGTCAGCTTCATAGCACATTCCACTAACCACTGCAGTTCCACTCCTAGGATGTAACTGAGGGTTTAACATATACAAGCATGTGTCGCATTGCACCACAGTATAATTATTGTCTGTAGAGCCATGTAAATTGGATTTATATTTAAATGTGACTACATTTACAACCGTCACGTCATAAGCTGCTAAGCCTTCTGATTAATGAGCTAATCTGTGAATGACATAACTTATATTACTAATCGAAAATATATATCCATTAAACAAACTGCAATACATCCAACTCACTTGACAAGGCAACATTTCACGTTACTGACGGGCTAAACGCAAAGCTATAATTTTCACTTTTAGCAGTGCGACTAAAATATTGGAAGAAAAAAAAATGTCATTAACATGTTTGATTTACGGGGTGCCGTGACATAGCGAGGGCGAGCTTGCTGAACCTGCGTGACTCAAAACCGGAACCCCGCCGAATGTTTAACAATGTGAACTTGTTCAGATTAGGGACGCTCTGGGCATCGGGCCAGGACAATATCCGATTCCCTCCGCCGTTGGTCGTGAATCCCATGGGGTTGCACGCAGCTGCCTGCTCTGGGATATTGGTTCAATAGAAATAAAGAAAACCCCCAACATGAGCTGGGTTTTGTGTCACCCCGTAACCCCCCTCCCCCTACCCCACTTTGTAATGCTATATTGTTGTACAAAATGCTGCAATCGATTCTGCAGTGGAAGTCTTTTGAAAGACACACCCTTGCAACTTCTCATCGTATCGCTATGGATGTAGTAAAAGTTTCTCGCCATTCTCTTTACAATTCAAGAACCAAAAGTAGTATAAATAAATGAGCAATGTGCCATCAAAGTGTAGCACCTTTACAAAATGCATTTTTTGTTTGTTCAGGGTGTGATGTGATCTGGAAAACGGCCAAAAACGTTGAGTGGAGTAATTTCTTGGTTGTAGTTGCTCACTAGAGACACCTATGGCCTGATATCTGATTTACAATATTTTCCCAAAAAAATTATGCGAAAAACACTAATTTTGACTGTACGTTTTCGAGACAGCCATGTAACAAAAAAAAGAAAACTTCTTGTGCACACGGCAGAGGTGGCATGATGGCGCACGGGTGTTTTAAAGCTAGTCTAACAAAATATTCTTAGTCACGAAAGCTTTAAATCAAAATTTAGTCTAACAACGTTATAACTCGTGCGTTAAGTTTGTAGAAGGTAAAATAATGCAAGGACCAGGAACCTCTTCTACACATGTGGCTGTGTGTTGCGTGGGCGGCAGGGTATAACTTTTCATTTTAAAAAAATTGTGGAAAATATGGTTTCTTTGTGGATGGATGTTGAACTTCATTCACAACGTACGTAGCCAACCGTGCTAATCGGAGGTGCGGGGAAAGGACACTGACCTAAACGAATACGCGAAATGGAACGCACGACGATCACCCATCCCCGTGTCACCTCGGAGGGCTGGCGCAGCACGGCGACGGTGATGGTGCTGGTGTGCACGCGCCCCTTCGACTCGGTGCGCGGGATTCGCTGCACGCGGTGGACTCCGCCCTCGAAGCACAGCAGGCGGTACGCGCCCTCGCCCGTGATGCACGCCGTCGCGTGTCGCAGGCCCCCTGCACACAATAACAACAAAAAACATACATATACAAGGGAAAAAAAAAATGGACGCGTATGGGTGGATTCTGTAATGGTCCTCACGAGTGTTTAATTCGCGATTGTGTTACCGGGCATTTTCAAAACTTCACGCGGTCATTGCTTCGTGGGAGAGGCGAGCGTGTGCATGGCGTGGTGATGTCCAGCGTCTGGACTCGCCAACTTCACCGACTGGTGTGGTTAAGTATATGGTCACAATCACCCCCGTGGCTCAACGTTGTGGGTAGGACCTCAGCCAGCGGTCGATTCATAGTATCAATTTTAGTGCATGAATCGATCTATTATTATATGCCTAATGGACATGCTCGTCTTATCCGCCTTTCGATAGCCGTATGCGGCAATGAGAAATTTGGTGCTGTGCCCCGTCTGACTGAAGTTGATGTTGGCATCATTTTCCACTGCTGCAATTTAATAAAAAACACAGCCGGCCAGCCACGCTTGTGATATTTGGCACCACGCCTGCAAGCTGCTCTAAAGAAAGTAAGTTACATTTTTCTTTCAAGCTACACGCCGCGCTACCTTCTGGCAGACAGGACGCACCTGGCCTCGTGGTGGTGTCTGCAAGTGTGTGCGTGTTGTGGGGGTGGAGCATTGGCGTAGTGGTTAGCGCACTGCGCTACAAACCCTAGCGACCCGAGTTTGATTTCCGGCCAAGACTAACACCAGTGGTTATTATCTGAACTGGTCCTGGGCTTCCCCTAGGTCGATTCAGCCTCAAAAGGGTACCTGGTGCAGTGTGTAAACATCAACACTGGGGAGATCAGAGATGGCCAGATGTGGTTAAAGCCACACCACCTCTGCCTGTACCATGCTACTGGCTTTCATAGGTGCTCGCTAAACTGCACTTGCCCCAACAGTCTGCAGTGCTATAGAGCAACAACATGCCTGTTGATAACGAGAATGCGTTTGCGGATAGCAAGAACTGTGTAAGCCAGTATTCTTCATTGCAAAGCCCGCGGGCCACTGGCGGCCCCTGGTGGCCATTAGTGCGGCTCCTTGATGTGCGGTCCCCTACGATACACAAATGTGAAAACACTCCCCATCACGCTGTCAAATCCTAATGGTTACAAACGTGTGGCGTCCCTCACACTGATGATGTCCTATCAGCGAAAGTGCTCCCCTTCTCCCTCTGAAAATTATCACTGGCATAAGGTGGCGCTCACCCATCTCGCTCCATTGGTACTGCAGCCTTTCGAAGCACCAGTTCTGATGCAGCGCGTAGTTCTCGTACATTTCGAACACCTCCGCCGTGAAGAGCATTGCCTCCTGGCCGCCCACGCCCGCGTACACCTCCAGCAGCAGCTCCCCCTCGTCCTCCTCCTCCCCCGGCAGCAGCAAGGCCAGCACCTGCGCCAGCAAGATCCGCCACCCCAGCCCCAACACACACACACACACGCGTACAAAAAGCATCAGCATTAACGATGCTTTATTATATTTAGCATTCGTAATTTTCAGAGTAGGGGGCCCACTTTCACCGAAAAGACATCAGTTTGAGGGCAGCCACACATATGAAACCAGTGTGTTTGACAGCATGATGGGGTGCTTTCACGTTTGTGAATTGTCAGGGGCCGCACATCAAGGGTCGCACTCAAGGCCACCAGTGGCCTGTGGGACTTGCAATGAAGAACAATGGTATCGCAGCAGGCTTTCACGAAGGCACTGTGGTTCACAGACGGACACAGTCTGCCAGTAGGGGGAAGATGTTGCTAGGTGGTTTTACACAATTAAGTTGGGTGTAAATTTGACCAATTTTTGGAAAATTTGCACCGTGAAGCCGGCATACATAGCCTAATCTTGCGAATGACATCACGGGATCTTTCACGTACAATATGAAGCTGACTAGCGTGTATTTTATGATTTAAAGCTTTCGTGACTGCAGGGATTCATATTTTTGGTTCTTTCGGGTAAAGTCACGTAGAAGGGAAACAATAAAATAATAAAAATATAAAACAATACAATTTTCTTGTTGTGGTTTTCACACCTGATGATGATTGCTTGTGTTGCAGTCGAAACGTCGTGAGAATTTTATTGTTTAAATTTTTTTTGTTTCCCTTCTACGTGACTTTACCGAAAGAACCAAGAATGTGTATTTCATGGTTAATAATACACCTACAGTATTAATCAGGGAAATGCCTGGGCTCAAACCGTTAACCTCTGCAAAAAGCTGCAAACGTGTTAACGATCAGTCATGCCACCACTCCCCGGACCTCTGGTTACATGAATGCTTGATTGAGACATGTTATAGCACCGCCCTTTTCCGCTGTGCAACATCATGCACAATTAAATATACATTGGGACCTAATGTTTCATGACTCAATGGCACCTAAATGGGGGGGAGCGGTGACACAATGTTTAGCTCATCATACGATGAACCAGGCAACCTGAGCTCGTTTCTCCTGGCCATGGCTAACATCAGTGTCAAGACATATTTCAAACGGTCTTGGGATCTCACTTCACCAACACCATCTCAGATGAGCACGGCAAAGTATGATAAACAGCCCCAATAAAACAATACGGTGTGTGAGGGCCTTCACCCAGCAGTGGCTTGACAAAGGACTGTAAATTTTGGAAAAACTGCAGCCCTGTGTCACTCTACTGCTGGATAAAGGTATCCCCACACAATGCCAGTCATGGGGGTTGTTTGATCATAGAGCACCATTCTGCTCTGCGCAGGTTGGTGAAGGGGAGTGCCAGGATTGGTTCAGATATTTCTCGCCATTGATGTGAGCTGTGGCAGGGAATCGAACGGAGGTTGCCGAGTTTGCAGTGTAATGTGCAAACTACTGCACCACCGCTGTCAGTCTGTTTTTATATATATCTAAAGTGTCCTTACACCTTGCACTTACATGGGTAATTTACTTGGTTATGAAGTTATACAGATTAATGTATGTATGCATGTATTGTTTAGTAGTATGAACTAATATTTGCGTGGAATATATTTTTTAATGATACCCAAGTATAATTATTGTTAATGGTACCCAAGGGGACTTCAATGCCTAAGGAAAATAGGGTACCTTTTCCTGCAACTCGTGAATTTTTGCTTTACAGTTTTCATTTTCTTCCTCAGCTAGTTTTCTCATCTCTTCATCGCAATCTGCCCAAACAAACAGAGAGGTAAAAAAACTGGTGAAACACGTTCGCTCAGAACTGGCCGTCTTGTTACATAATGTACAACAATCACACACACACACAACGCTGTGAATAAAACATCAGCAAACATGATCGCATGAACTACAATTCAATTGTGAAAAAAAACCCAGTGTTTAATTATTCACGAACAAAGCACCACCATCTGGTCTGGTTGTTTTAATGCACCTCTCTCCCTGATTAAAATTCCACCCTGCAAGTTGACTCCAAATTCATGTTTAATGTCTGCCAGTATTAGAATGCCCTTCAGTTATCCAGGTAAGCCTCACTGAGTACTAAGATATTTTTTTTCAGGAGGGTACAGCACGAAGGGCATTTGGCGCATTTAATTCCCGTAATGTTCCACTGTAATTCTATCCTCCCATTTCTAAGTTCCACACCTTTAACAAAACTGCACTGACCAGCTCGGTGAAGTGTGACTTGCTTGCCTTTCCTGTACTGCGTATGTACGTTGAACTTCTTTCGCACCGTACGGAGCCATCCGTGATAAACCTATCGGGGTGTTTGTATTGCCTGTTGATGTAACTTGCTGACTCGCCCCTACTGGATACCTTATAGTGTAGCAGGCAGGTGATGCACTATGTAATTGTGCAGCAGGTAGTGATGTCACCTTATAGTGTAGCAGGCAGGTGATGCACCATGTAATTGTGCAGCAGGGAGTGATGTCACCTTAGAGTGCAGAAGGTAGGTGATGCACCATGTAATTGTGCAGCAGGTAGTGATGTCACCTTACAGTGTAGCAGGTAGTTGATGCACTATGTCATTGTGCAGCAGGTAGTGATGTCACCTTATAGTGTAGCAGGTAGGTGATGCACTATGTCATGTGCAGCAGGGAGTGATGTCACCTTATAGTGTAGTAGGCAGGTGATGCACTATGTCATTGTGCAGCAGGTAGTGATGTCACCTTATAGTGTAGCAGGTAGTTTATGCACTATGTCATGTGCAGCAGGTAGTGATGTCGCCTTATAGTGTAGCAGGTAGGTGATGCACTATGTCATGTGCAGCAGGTAGTGATGTCGCCTTATAGTGTAGCAGGCAGTTTATGCACTATGTCCTAGTGCAGCAGGGAGTGATGTCGCCTTATAGTGTAGCAGGTAGTTGATGCACAATGTAATTGTGCAGCAGGGAGTGATGTCACCTTATAGTGTAGCAGGTAGGTGATGCACCATGGCATTGTGCAGCAGGGAGTGATGTCACCTTATAGTGTAGCAGGCAGGTGATGCACCATGTAATTGTGCAACAGGGAGTGATGTCACCTTACAGTGTAGCAGGTAGTTGATGCACTGTGTAATTGTGCAGCAGGGAGTGATGTCACCTGATAGTGTAGCAGGCAGGTGATGCACTGTCATTGTGCAGCAGGGAGTGAATGTTGCCTTAGAGTGCAGCAGGTAGTTGATGCACCATGTCATTGTGCAGCAGGGAGTGATGTCACCTTAGAGTGCAGAAGGTAGGTGATGCACCATGTCATTGTGCAGCAGGTAGTGATGTCACCTTATAGTGTAGCAGGTAGGTGATGCACTATGTCATGTGCAGCAGGGAGTGATGTCACCTTATAGTGTAGTAGGCAGGTGATGCACTATGTCATTGTGCAGCAGGTAGTGATGTCACCTTATAGTGTAGCAGGTAGTTGATGCACTATGTCTTGTGCAGCAGGTAGTGATGTCGCCTTATAGTGTAGCAGGTAGGTGATGCACTATGTCACGTGCAGCAGGTAGTGATGTCGCCTTATAGTGTAGCAGGCAGTTGATGCACTATGTCATTGTGCAGCAGGGAGTGATGTCGCCTTATAGTGTAGCAGGTAGTTGATGCACCATGTAATTGTGCAGCAGGGAGTGATGTCACCTTATAGTGTAGCAGGTAGGTGATGCACCATGTCATTGTGCAGCAGGGAGTGATGTCACCTTATAGTGTAGCAGGTAGGTGATGCACTATGTCATGTGCAGCAGGGAGTGATGTCACCTTATAGTGTAGTAGGCAGGTGATGCACTATGTCATTGTGCAGCAGGTAGTGATGTCACCTTATAGTGTAGCAGGTAGTTGATGCACTATGTCATGTGCAGCAGGTAGTGATGTCGCCTTATAGTGTAGCAGGTAGGTGATGCACTATGTCATGTGCAGCAGGTAGTGATGTCGCCTTATAGTGTAGCAGGCAGTTTATGCACTATGTCATTGTGCAGCAGGGAGTGATGTCGCCTTATAGTGTAGCAGGTAGTTGATGCACAATGTAATTGTGCAGCAGGGAGTGATGTCACCTTATAGTGTAGCAGGTAGGTGATGCACCATGGCATTGTGCAGCAGGGAGTGATGTCACCTTATAGTGTAGCAGGCAGGTGATGCACCATGTAATTGTGCAACAGGGAGTGATGTCACCTTACAGTGTAGCAGGTAGTTGATGCACTGTGTAATTGTGCAGCAGGGAGTGATGTCACCTGATAGTGTAGCAGGCAGGTGATGCACTGTCATTGTGCAGCAGGGAGTGAATGTTGCCTTAGAGTGCAGCAGGTAGTTGATGCACCATGTCATTGTGCAGCAGGGAGTGATGTCACCTTAGAGTGCAGAAGGTAGGTGATGCACCATGCCATTGTGCAGCAGGTAGTGATGTCACCTTATAGTGTAGCAGGTAGGTGATGCACTATGTCATGTGCAGCAGGGAGTGATGTCACCTTATAGTGTAGTAGGCAGGTGATGCACTATGTCATTGTGCAGCAGGTAGTGATGTCACCTTATAGTGTAGCAGGTAGTTGATGCACTATGTCTTGTGCAGCAGGTAGTGATGTCGCCTTATAGTGTAGCAGGTAGGTGATGCACTATGTCACGTGCAGCAGGTAGTGATGTCGCCTTATAGTGTAGCAGGCAGTTGATGCACTATGTCATTGTGCAGCAGGGAGTGATGTCGCCTTATAGTGTAGCAGGTAGTTGATGCACCATGTAATTGTGCAGCAGGGAGTGATGTCACCTTATAGTGAAGCAGGTAGGTGATGCACCATGGCATTGTGCAGCAGGGAGTGATGTCACCTTACAGTGTAGCAGGTAGTTGATGCACTGTGTAATTGTGCAGCAGGGAGTGATGTCACCTGATAGTGTAGCAGGCAGGTGATGCACTGTCATTGTGCAGCAGGGAGTGAATGTTGCCTTAGAGTGCAGCAGGTAGTTGATGCACCATGTCATTGTGCAGCAACGAGTGATGTCACTTTACAGTGTATCAGGCATGTGTTGCAGCATGCCATGTGCAGCAGGGATAAACCCCTTTGTCAATGTGCACCGTGTCATTGTGCAGCTGCACGGGGAATGTAATCTCACCGTGTAGCAAGGAGTCGAGGTGCCGCATCTCTTCCCGCTTCGCCTGCAGATGCTTCACGTAGGCAGCCACGGTCGCTTTCTTCCCGGGGCTCATCACAACCTCCTTAACCTCCTTCCCCTCCATCACCACCTCATCATCCCCCGTCTCCCTAGGCTCGGTCACTATCTTCTTCAGGTACCTCTGCAGCCTGGGGTCCCGGAAGGCCGCCTCTGCCCAGCTCGCCGAGCTGTACAACCTGGACGAGGCTGCTGCGGCGGCGGGGATCGAGAGACGCCGACCCCAGCAGCGAGACCCCTGTGGTCTCAGGGAACCCCGCGTCCCCAAGGTCCCCACTGCCCGCAGCAGCAGGCGACCCCCCTGCAGCCTCATGACGCGGCCGGGTTGGGCGCAACCAAGCCGGCAGGCTGAGCAGGAAAGGCGCAAGGGCTGCGGCCTATCGTCCTCGGTGTCCGAGGCCTGCTTTTCTTGCGAGATTTTTGTTTTTTTGCCGTTATAACTGAATCACGGTCGTGTTTAAGAAGTTAGGATTGTGTTACCACGCCATAACAACACTGCAATACTATTCGTGCTCGCGCTGTTACGGTTGTGCAGCGTATGCACCGCAATAGTTTTAAGCGTTTCGCACCGTGCAATGTTAACCCTACCGTCAATGTCGTGCGTATTGTTCAGCTTTAGATATGTTTACTGTCAATTACAATAAGTGCCGCGCCTCAGTGTCGCACGCCGTGTAACGCACATGCAATTTTACGTTGTAAATAGAGCAATTAATAAACCTTTAAAGCAATAAAATACCACGCTTTGACATCGACACTTGGATTATCCAAAAGCCTCCTCCTCATCGTCTCCCCTCGCCACCGATTCTTTTGTACATTTCCCCCCACAAGGTTTAAAGGATCTTATTTTTTTTTCTAAGTTCTAAATTTCCGCGTAAAGGCAACGCTTCACCCGCGGTTGCAATGCGCCGCATATAGTGCCGGTATAGTGGCACACAAAGACAAAGGTCCCCCGTGTAGCCTGCAACAGACTGTAGGGGGAAGTGCTGTGAGCCAGCGGCACCTATGAACGCCGGTACGGCACACGAGGGGGTGGCCGGCAACCACGCCCGACCGCCTTTGTCTCTCCCAGGGGTGATATTCACTACACACCGCACCAGGTTACTCATTTGAGGCTGAGTCGACCTAAGGGGGGGGGAGGCACAGGACCGGTTCACTGCGTTGGTGTACGGTGCTTTTTCAGGAATATTTTGCTGTTTTTTTCCCTGGATTTTCTGTTTGCACAGTCAACACATAGTCACTTTAAGATGTTTTCTTGTTCATGTTTTAGTTTTTTGTTTGTTGCGGTTGCACCCGATTCAAGAGCCGAATGGCTCACAGGGCTATACCAAATAAATGAAAACTGAAAAACTGAAACTGAAAGATAATCGTCCACTCGGGGTTTGGTGCCCGTGAGCGGGAGTCGAACTCTGGAGAAACTCGCCGGGTTCGTAGAGCGTAGCGCGCTAACCGCTGCACCACCGCTCACCCGAGTGGCACGCGTGAAACACGTGAAACACGTGAACCACGTGAAAGCGTGAAACACGTGGACCCGCACCTCCGGTGTTGTGTAAGCCCGAGTTCAGATGGACCCCTAGTGTCGTGTGGCACTCCCCTCACTAAAATATCACAGTACAAATCATTCGAGGAAATTATATTTTTTTAAAAAGGCTTGCGGATAATAAGACACACGCGTCCTAAATATGTGTGCAGGGCGGTAAATACATTTATGCAAACTCTTTGTGTTTTTTTTTCGGTAAAGTCACGTAGGTAAAAAAATAAATGAAATAAATGAAACATAACTAAATAAAATATTTTTCCATTTATTTTATTGATTTTTTTTTACCTACGTGACTTTACCGAAAAGACCCAAAGAGTATGAATCCTTGCAGTCACGAAAGCTTCAAATCTAGAAATGTACGCAAGTCTGGTCACAAGACACCCACCGGATTATAAGACGCATGCCTGGACTTTCCCTTTACAAATTAAAGGGAAAGAGTGCCCCCCCTCATAACCCGGAGATTACAGGACAGGGACTCTCTCTACTTACGAGCATTCGACTTACGAACTTTCAGAGATGCGAACAAGCCTCGTCCGTAGGTCCAGTTGCCTGTTCGGACCGAGAGTCGCAAGTTCAACCGTCGCGCAAGAGGTGGCGATGGTGACGTCTACACCTGCAGAACGTGAAGAACCAATGGCATCTACATAACGTGAAGAACCAGTGGCATCTACATCTGCAGAACATGACGAACCAGTGGCATCTACACCTGCAGAGCGTGAAGAACCAGTGGCATCTACATCTGCAGAACATGAAGAACCAGTGGCATCTGCAGAACGTGAAGAACCAGTGGCATCTACATCTACATAACGTGAAGAACCAGTGGCATCTACATCTGCAGAACATGACGAACCAGTGGCATCTACACCTGCATAACGTGAAGAACCAGTGGCATCTACATCTGTAGAACGTGAAGAACCAGTGGCATCTACATCTACATAACGTGAAGAACCAGTGGCATCTACATCTGCAGAACATGACGAACCAGTGGCATCTACACCTGCATAACGTGAAGAACCAGTGGCATCTACATCTGCATAACGTGAAGAACCAGTGGCATCTACATCTGCAGAACATGACGAACCAGTGGCATCTACATCTGCAGAACATGACGAACCAGTGGCATCTACATCTGCAGAACGTGAAGAACCAGTGGTATCTACATCTGCAGAACGTGAAGAACCAGTGGCATCTACATCTGCAGAACGTGACGAACCAGTGGCATCTACATCTGCAGAATATGACGAACCAGTGGCATCTAATCTGCAGAACGTGAAGAACCAGTGGCATCTACATCTGCAGAACGTGAAGAACCAGTGGCATCTACATCTACATCTGCAGAACATGACGAACCAGTGGCATCTACATCTATAGAACATGAAGAACCATTGGCATCTACATCTATAGAACATGAAGAACCAGTGGCATCTACATCTACAGGAGTTTATGCAACTTTTAAAGCCATTCCCCGTGTTTAGTGTGCATGCCATACAACATGTCTGGAATCGACAGGAGTAAAGTTGGACTTACGAACAAACCGACTTACGAACAGACCTCTGTAACCTAACCCGTTCGTAAGCAGAATAATCCCTGTACTATAATAGGGATAAATACAACCACTACATTTAATTTCAAAGCCTCTATTTGTCGCTTGTCGGTCTCTGTGCACTCATTGAATCGTTCAACTGTCTTGATACTCTGCCCGTTAGGCTTGCTTACAAACCCCAACTGCATGTATGCATAATACAGAAGCTAATGAAACCAGAGGGGCATCTTTAAACAGATCACCCTTTATGTCTGAGGTGCTGTTGGATATACCAGTACATTGTCTGCCTGTAAGCCTTTTCTAGATCGTTATAAAATACTCAATCGGAGACCCGTCTGCCAATCTTATTACCGAAAGACCCCATCGCTTATCATGTTAATCAGTTTAGATTGGTATGTTATCTAAAGATAGCGTCAGCGACTGTTCTGCCATGTTATTAAGGATGTGATCAAAGTGTAATGTTGTCAGTCGATATTCTGAAGACCCCCATCGTATTGTTTTAGTTTGTTAGTCTTTTTGTCGAAAGATGCCATCATAGAATGGTCTCTCATTCTATGGTTTAAAGACTCCTTTAAAAACCAGTCTGTCCATTTATTGTGCACAAATTCCACACAGACCATTTTTTTAAAATTAAGACTTTCAGAGGTTAGAGTGTCAGTCTATTGCCTAATACCTTAATCAACATGCCTTGCAATAGGTATCTCTTTGGTGTTTGAAAATCTTCACATTTGTTTTATTGCCAGAAAGGGTAAAACCTCTTATTCTTTTTTCATAATTTTTGATCGTGGCAAAAAGGTCCCATAGATGGTTTAGTATACTATTGAACATGCCAATGACTTCATCATAAGGTACATCATTCTGCCTTTTCTAAGCACGGTCAGTCTCGTCTGTCCGATTGTCTAAAGATTCCCAGCACAAACTCGCCTTTTACCTTATGTCGAATGGCCACGTGATATTTTTTTGTGTCAGTTAATCATCTCAAGACTCATAAGACACCATTCACACGTCTATCATTTACAGACCCAGACCACGGCATTGCCTTCTTTTGTCTATGGACTACACCATAGATCAGTTTGTTAGTCTGCTGTGAAAAATACCTCGTCAGTAACAGGTTTGTGCGTGTAATGCCTAAATGAATGTATGCAATTTTATTGTCGAAACTGTCAGGTGTGACCTGCTAAAAAGTGTCAGATTTGCTCCCGAGGGCGATTGCAATGCATTTATTTTATTACTTTCCGAATACAGTGTTGTTTCAAATAGCTCTACTGAGTTCAGTGTAGTCAGTCATAATACAGGCTGTTTTAAAAAGATGGACCCGATTTGAAATCGCTATATCTTTGAAATTGGGTCCATCTGTTTTAAACGCCCTGTAATTTACATGATCAACGACTCAGCTTCAATCACGAGTTTGCTATTGTAGCAACTACGTGAATGTACATCGGTATTGTCTGAAAAAGGTGTTTCAACCATTTGACTGTGTATATTATATCATTTGGGTCTTTCGGTAAAGTCACGTAGATAGGTTCAAAGAAAATAGTAATCAACGATCTGTGAAAACGTAATCAACAATCTGTGCAATCCACACACCAATACTTCCTATCAATAGTTAAACATGGTCAAGGTGCAGCCCTGCAACTGCTTGCTCACGCCACTGCTGGGAGAAGAGCCTCCACTAGAGGGCGCTCTATAAACCCCCTCCAGAGTATTTGGCCCCACTCGTCCACATCAGAAGAGGTGGGAGTACCCACAAAGACACAGATCGCCAGGATAACCTTAACAGACTGCAGGAGCAAGTGTTGTTCGCGAGCACCTACGAAGGCCGGCACAGCACGAGGGGGTGAGTGGCCAGCACCAACGCCTGGCTACCCTTGGAGCCGTCCATAAATGACGTCACGCGATTTTGGACGATTTTTGACCCCCCCCCACCCTCGTCACACGGCGTCACAAAAAGTCAGACCCCCCCCCTCAAATATGACGTCACAAAGCTCTGCCCCCCGCTCTTCATCCGTTCACAGAAAATACTTGTGCAAACTATTAATTCTACTTTTCTTATTTCTGGGTGGTATTGAGCTTCATCCTGGCCCAAATGAAAATAACTCGTATAATTCTGTAGATTTTTCTGGCAGGAAAGGTGTTGGTGTTCTACATGTCAACATCAGAGGGCTTGTGATTAAATTAAGTCAACTAAAACTAGAAGTGGCAAATCTTGACCCGGACATTTTTTGCCGAACAGAAACATTTCTCACTCCTGCCGTCAATGACTTGCAGATTGCGATTGACTACAACCTTTTTCGGCTTGACCGAGGATCTAAAGGTGGAATTGCCATTTATGTTCGTAATACTATTGCATGTTCACTACCTCACTCCTTGTTTAAAAAATGTTGCTTTGAAGGTCTGGCTCTCAAAATAACTCTCCCAAATAATCAACAGATATTGGTAGTGTGCTGCTATCGACCACCTAGTGGGAAGGATGTTGAAGCTGCATCTGCACTGAGAGAGCTTTTTGGGGGCCTCCCTAAAGGTGAAATAGTTTTAGTGGGTGATCTAAATTGGAATTGGCTAAACTCGCCGGCCGTGGCCACAAATTTTGAAGATTAATTTAATCTGTTTCAATTAATAAATGTCCCCACAAGACCAAACCTAAAAATCCGAGACAGTCATCTCTGCTTGACGTCCTATTGACAAATGCCCCTCACAATTTCACACTGACTGGTGTTCTGGGTAATAACCTTAGTGATCACTCCTTCATTTTTGGTGTGAGATCATCAGCTAGACCCAAAGCCCCCCCTAAATTGGTTGAGAAGCACTCTATGAGACACTTCAGCACTCAGGCATTTACTAATGATGTGCTTCACTCGGATATTGAAAAGGTCTGTGATATCCCCAACCTGACTAAAGCTTGGGAGACCTTCAGGTACACGTTTCTCCAAATTCTTAACAAACATGCTCCGTTGGTTAGATTTAAAACTGAAGGCAACCGCCCACCATGGTTTGATCCTTCGATTACAAAGCTCATGAAAACTAGGGACAAGGCTTGGACATGTGCTCAGAAAAGTAATTTGGTCAATGACTGACTAGAATACAGGACTTTCAGGAAGAGATGCGTCAAAAAAATACAGCATGCAAAAAATGCCTACTTTTCCTCCACTCTCATGGAATCACATGGAAATGCCAGGATTTTCTGGAAAACAATCAAATGTATTGAAAAGGCATCCAAAACAGACAATCTGCCCGTTGAGCTTAACCGAAATGGGGAATATTTTTCAGATCCCAAAAAAATAGTTGACAATTTTAACCTTCATTTTTCTGAAGCTGGTAATCTTTTTATAATGTATTGGGAGTCACCCCTGCTCATGCAAATTGCTACACCCCTGTCCAAATATTAAACAAATTTGCTTTCCAGCCAATCCACGAAAGTAATGTTCTGAAACAACTGTCCTACCTCAAAGGGTCCTCCTCTACTGGAGCAGATAGTATTCCCGTCTTTTCTCTACTAACTGTTGGTCACCTAATATACAAACATATAGCCCATATTTTCAACCTGTCCATCAAAGAAGCATCAGTTCCTCTAGAATGGAAACATTCCTATGTCCGTCCACTTCACAAAGGGGTGCCTTAAAGATGATCCAAATAACTACCGACCTATCTCAATTTTGTCCCCGTTGATGAAAATTTTTGAAAAATTATTGACCTACCAAATTAGCAGTTTCCTGTCCACCAACAATCTACTACATCTAAAACAATCTGGGTTCCCAAAAAAATACAGCACCTCATCTGCTGCATTAGACTCTCTGAATCACATTTACAGTAGCCTTGATAATAAGCAGTACTGTGCCTGTCTTTTTCTAGACCTGTCCAAAGCTTTTGATACAGCAGACCACAACACCCTGCTTAGTAATCTAAGTTGCCTCGATTTTTCCGAAAACGCAGTAAAATGGTTACAAAATTACCTCTTTTCTCGCACCCAAACTGTATTCACAGATGGTTGGAGGTCAAACAGTGTTAAGATAACAAAAGGGGTTCCACAGGGTTCCATCCTCGGCCCCCTTTTGTTCTCTCTTTATGTCAATGACTTGGGCACTGACCTGGATCATTCCAGGGTAAATCTTTTTGCAGATGACACGATACTGATCACTGCTGACCGCTCTCCGTACGACGTGATTGCTAAGCTACAGGGTGATTTCAACAAACTACATCAGCTAGTTGCTCTTAAACTAGTCCTGAATACCTCCAAAACCAAGGTGCTATGCTTCTCACCAGGACTAAAGCAGGAAGTTTTTTCCCCCAATTACATTCCTTAAATAATTATCAAATAGAGCAAGTCAAGATCTATAAGTATCTTGGTGTCATCCTGAATTCAAAACTGAATTTTGAAGATCACATTGATTATATTGGTAAAAAGACAAAAATAAAAATTGGTTTTCTGTATCGACACAAGCACTGCTTCCCCCTAATGTTCCGTTTGGAATTGATAAAAGCTACCATACTGCCTCTACTTGACTACTGTGAGATCGTGTATAAATCAGCCCCAAGTACTGTACTGAAGAAGCTTGATTCCATCTATCACTCAGCCTTAAGATTTACATTGAACTGCCCATATAGGACTCACCACTGTGATCTCTACATTGGGTCAAACTTAACATCTCTTAATGTTTAACGGCTTGTGCACCAGATCTTATTTATTCACGATGTACTTACAAAAAAATACGCAGACTACCTGCTGGATCTCCTCTCTGTTTCAAAGAACAAATTTAACCTCAGGTCTTCGCTCATTTATCAGCTTCACATTCCCTATTGCCGTACAAAAACTGGAGGAAGGGCCTTTGCTATTGATGCCTCCAGGGTCTGGAATGCTATTGCCAATAAACTGCAACTTGAATCGCTACCAATGAGATTCTCTCAAAACTGCTCTAGGGGAGTTGTACACCCATAGCTGCCACTGCTATTCATTGGCGTAAAATAAAATAAAATGTTTCGCTCCGGATGACGCTGCAAAGTATTATCTGTATTTTGATTTAGCGTGCTGATCTTAAAGGTGCATTGAAAAATGTGATACTCCGACTGATGCTTCTGTTGTTGTGGAGTAACTCATGCAGCCAGCTATGGTTCTAGGATTTGGTGTTACATGTTATTTATGTAGTTTATTGAAAAAATTCGGTCACAGTCCCTGTGATCACTGTTACGTTGCAATTATGCCTTTATTTTTTGGTGATTTCGAAAACGTTTTTTGGTTTGGACATGTTTTGTTGTAGTACGGAGTTAGACTGACGGCCTTAATCTAAATTTTTGTGGTTGTTGTTGTTGACTTGCATCCCACTGGGATTTTTTGCACACAGCGTTGGTGTACGGTGCTTTTTTCAGGAATATTTTGCCGGTTTTTTTCATGGATTTTCTGTTTGCACAGTCACATAGTCACTTTAAGATGTTTTTCTTGTTCGTGTTTTGTTTGTTTGTTTGTTGTGGTTGCACCCGATTCGAGAGCCGAATGGCTCACAGGGCTATACCAAAATAAACTGAATTTAAAGTTGCGCATTTTTATGTGACGTCACATTTCTCAAACCCCCCCCTCGTCACAAATGTGTGACCCCCCCTAGGTGCGTGACGTCATTTATGGACGGCCCCTTTGCCTGCCTAGTGGCAATGTTTACACCGCACCAGGTACTCATTTGAGGCCGAGTCGACCTGGGTAAGGCCCAGGACCGGGTCAGATACTCGTCATTGGTGTTGACCATGAGCGGGAATCGAACCCAGGTGGTCGTATTCGTAGTGCAGCACGCTATACGGCTGCACTACCGAACCCCACAATATACCGCATCATGCGCAAACTGCCGGTTGAATGTGGTGTCCCCATTTAAACTGTTAGGTGGAGAGGTTGTAGACGATTTAAGAAACCTGCCCATTATGTCCACTACTGCGCCAGGAGATCACGCCAGTGACCTCTGCATTGCATGTCCTGCGTGGTAACTATTACACCATGGGTCCAATGGAGAGAGACCCGAATTGGTTTCATTCCAATGGCAGCAGTGACCACTGCCAAAAACGCCTCCAGAGCAGTGCTTACGCACGCAGTCTGTATGCATTTCAAATGTCAAACGAGGGCCTTTGGACTTTGTAAATCCACTGCACAACATGTAAATGTTACTATGAAAGTCTGCAATAGTTTTTTTGCACAATTATTATTCAGGTTTCCATTGCCCGTTTCAAGCGTAGTTCGTGATTAGAGACATTTGAAACCATCAGTGGTTTGAATACAATGACTTGCATAAAGTTATTCAATTACCAGCATGGTCTTACAGCAGGCTTTAATTTATTTTGTCGTAAAGTCTACAGAGCAGAGTGTCTAATTCATTTCATTGTCTACATGAGATGTTAGTTTTCACAAGAGACAGTGTTCCATTTACAGCTACCCTGCTAAAACATCAGGGAGACATTATAGAGACAACATTTTATTTTAAAAAACGTTAAAGGTCTCTCTCAGAATCTCAATACCACTGATCCAATGATTTTAACACTCGTCTGTAAAATATGGAACCATCGTCTCTTTCACAATATTCAGTCGGCTGTTTTGATGAAAAGAGGTTCATAAGAAATCAGTGGTGGGAGGGGAGGAATCTTTAAGCGGATCGTCCTGTATTTCTGGCAGACTGTTACAAGTTGCTCTCCGTGATGGGGCCCAAAACAGCAATCGCCTCAATCTCCACCTTCCCGCCCTGAGGGTGAGAAACAGAACACGTGGTGTTAGCAGCCAACGCGTGACCTGGCCGAGCGGTAGCATGTTTGCCACTTGTTGCAGAGGTACGTGGTACGAGCGCATTCGGGCTATACTGCGGCTGTATTCCCAACAAAAATACGTGCTGTCTTCTTCACAGTGGGGGTGGGGGGTGCCTTGCCCCCCCCTCCCCTGGTGGGCAAAGCTACGAGTTGGGGCCCCCTTGACAACCACCATGAGATATGTTTTAAAAAAATATTGCAAAGAGGTATTTTGCGAAGACGGATCGCCCCCAACAGCATTAAATGTTCGAGACCGTGATCATAATGACGTGATCAGGCAAGAGGAGCCACAATATATCATAGCCTAGGTGCGACTGTGCGAGACAAATCAAATATTGGGGCCCCACCTGACTGATTGCCGCACCCCCTGAGCTGATAATTAGTTATGCCACTGCAGTGGATGTAAAAAAATTCGGTGATGTTATTCTGTGCCGACATAAGTCAAAAATTGCCAAATTTGAATGATTACCCGGACATTATATCCTTGAATGTGTAAAAAAGCACATAGCAGCATTCCGACTGGAAAACTATAGCCCCATCTGTGAAACAAAGCACCTTCGTGATAGCCACATACTGAAAGAATTGCACCAGTTGCAAAGACCTAAATGTGTTGGTAATTTTGTCATTTAGACCACCAACTGGATAATGCGGAAACCTTATTGTACATGCAATGCACACCTGCGTGCATTGTGAAATATATTTGTTTCCAGCTGCTTAATTTTTTTTGCTGTGATGCGTTTACTCATCATTTACAGTTACAATTATTTGTCTTATTCACACTCAGCATTGCTGCCAATTTATAATGAAGCATACACATGATTTTTCAATGCGCTTGATTTTATATGATTTATATGCTTAGCTCTTTCGGTAAAGTCACGTTGAAGGGAAACAATAAAATAATAAAATATATATAAAACAATAAAAATTTTCACGACGTTATGGTCGACGTTATGGTCGAAACGTCGTGAGAATTTTTATTGTTATATATATTTTATTATTTTATTGTTTCCCTTCAACGTGACTTTACCGAAAGAGCTAAGAATATGAATTACTTTCAGTCACGAAAGCTTTAAATCTAAATTTATATGATTTGTACACAGATGGTCCCGTTTAGCCAGTTGCCGTTGCTATGTTACAAGGAAGATCCGTGGTGCACAAGCACAGCAACATCAAAGACAAAAAACTTCACTATTGCAGAGAACGAGTTACAGGGCCCTTTGGGACTAACGCACAAATACTGGACAGATTTCTGACCTTTGGAAGCGCGGCAACTTGGTACGCGGCACGGGCGGGGAAATTCTTGCTGAAAACTAAAAAAAAAAGTCAATATTAATATAAAAAATACATAATTGCTCACGTAATGCACTATTGTACTGCTACACGGTGAACGGATAAACGCAACACGAAGCTGCAGATGTGTAGTTTTATCCAGGAAAGTGCACACGCACTTTACTCACATTCTTTGTACACCTCGTTCACAGTTGCAAAGTCATCCATACTTGCAAGCAGAACCGTCGTCTTCACGACTAGACAAAGAAATAAAACGCTCTTTGATGATCTTAGCAATATGAAACGTTTCATATTGTACCATATTGCTGAACACAGCGTGTTGACAGTGTAAGTGTATTAAAAGAGATGAAGAGTTTGACAGATTTCAATAGTGATTAATTACCATTATTGTAGTCACAGTTTGCTGCTTTTAGGATTTCCCCCATGTTCACAAGAGCCTGCAAAACCAATGGACCAACAAATACACCAATATTTCTAGTGTCAGCAAGTCTTACTCGGCAGCATTTCTGGAAAATTCCGGCACAACTTAAGTGAAAACTCTAGTAAACTTGAAACATCATGGAAATTACATTTTTTTACCAACTTGAGTAATGGGAGAAATCAGGTCAATTCAAGAATACTCGAGTCAACTCGAGTTGACTGTCCACAGAAGGTTATTGGTTTAAAGTCAGCCAGGTCGGACTGTCGTGAGAACGCCGGCCGAGCCAGCGAATCCTGATCACGAAGTGAGCCGGCACACTTCCAGTGGCTGTGGAAACAAGGCCAAGAGGCAACGTTGGCCTCACCTGGCGTGCTTCATTGGCAACGCCTCCTGCCACCAGCGAACCCGACTGTGGCTCCATCCCCAGTTGTCCTGAGATGTACATGGTGTGATCCACAAGCACGGCCTGGCTGCAGAGGCAATACATAGGGGAGAGAGCTTGTGCTGCGAATGTCAGAGGATGAACAACGCAGGACCAAAGATCAATGCATGGTGATCAGGTTAACCAGAGGGAACCGTCACACAGTGATTCAGTCACTGTGCTACATACCCCGCAATCTGAGTTTGATTCCTGGCTACGGCTCACGTGAGTGGCAAGTGATAATCTTAATGTGTATTTGGCTTCCGCTGCACCAACTTGCACTAGCCGGCGTAGTGAAGTATAGCAAAAAAAACCCCGTGACTTGCAAAGCAATGAGTATTTTCATCGAAGTGGTGGGTCGATCAAGGACGTGGATTGCAATTTTCTTTATCATAGTAACCGTTGGGCGCAAACGGTAATTGTCAGTAAGTGAATGAAGAAGCCTCTCGGGCAAGATAAAATAGAGTTGTGATATCATTCGGCTCTCGGTTGAGTTTTCATTGGGAATCGATTGGGTGAGCGAAATGACCTCTCATGGTTGACCTCAACTTCCTCTGCAACCACCTCGTCAGGACACCCCTTCACACTTTGCATGCTATTTTGGGTTACTGAACAATAGTTTATAGGAAGTGCAGTCCTATAAATCAATCGGCGTTTTGGATGATCTGTGCGGAATGCGGTGGTCATATGTTAAACACTGCCATTCGACAGCTGCAGTTGCCGTTTTTAAATTAAGAGGGGTGGGATTGCAGTGCCTGCACATCACACACTCCACTTATAGCTATTATATGCATGTTTTTTTTATAAGTGCACGCCGGATTCCCAACTCGTGCCACTCAATGGAATTGGCCAAGAATCCCAAAGCAGTGCAGCAGGCCCCTACTCTGCAAAGTAGTCTTGAGAAGCCAAGTCAGGCGTTGCCTTGATATAATCGAACGGCATCATCATCATCGTCGTCGTCATTAAACCCAATACAGTGGAAACTGAAGTGCTTGCCCATGGCACCGTTTTGCAATGCACGTCTGCTGCCCCGATGACCACCCACGTGCCCCACCACCTTACCTGTACGGCCCGATGGCACCGGGCGCCTTGGCGGTGCTGATGATTTTTCGCACAACGGAGGCCATTGCCGTCTTCCCGAGGGAGGTGATTTGTTTTATTTGTTCCGGTTGCCCGCAGACTTCAACGAAGCAGCGAGGGAAGAGGAGGAGGAGGCCGCGTCGACTTGTGAACGACCGAGGGGCAAAGAGGCGGAACAGCAGAGTGCTCTTTACGTGCCGCAGCCGTCAGCTGTTCTGGGGAAACGCCCCTCACCCCCACCCCGCGGCCAACTTAAACCAATCGCAGCGTCGCACGGGGAGGGCGTTGCCGCTATTCTGCAACGCCATTGGCTGAAAGCGCGAGGGGGGGCCTGGCTCGAAGGGCGTGGCCTCGGGGCTTGGGCAGCTCGCCCGGTCTCAAGTTGCAGGCAACTTCGTGACTTTGCCCCAACACGTGTTGCTGTCGCTGCCATTGTGAACGTGCTCGTGATGAGTTTAGCAGCTGATTCAGTGAAGTTATATACACGTTAACAAGTTAAATGAGAATAACAGGGTTTGTTTTGCTTATTGTAATTGCTCAGTTGAAAGCAACTTTATGACTTTTGCCCGAACACGTGCTGCCGTCACTGCCATTGTGAATGCGCTCGTGATGAGTTAAGTGCATCGACGACTTTCGATTCATGTATGTTGTATATAATTGTTTCACGCGACTCCTTGCAACCGCTAGAGGTCGTAGCTACGTATATGGGATAATAAAACTACAAATGTGGAATCAATCGCAACCCTTGTTCGTAACGATCAAATCGCTGCACCCATGTTATCTAAGCAATGCATTATTATAGTTATGGTACTGCATTGTATTTTACAGGCGGGGAGCGGTGGCGCAGTGATTAGCGCACTGTTATCTAAGCCCTGGGTTGCTGGCCACGGCTACATCAGTGGCGAATGAAATCTGAAACAATCCTGGGAGCGCCATCCACTTCACCAACTCGGACTGACAAAGCGTGGTCGAACCCCCCCCCACCCCCATGACTGACACGGCGTGGGGAGGCCATCATCCAGCAGTGGATTGAAAAAGGGGCTGAAAATTATGTATGTTGAACTTCTTTCGCATCGTACGTCGCCCAACCGTGCTCATCAGAGGTGTGGGGAAAGGACGACAAACGAAGGATTGTGGTTCGGTTGTCCTTAAGTTTGTTACAATGTACCGAAGCGTTTTGGTTATAGCACGTAAATGTTACTAAACTCGTTGTTTGTCAAGATAATAGACCAGTTACGTGCAACCAGCTTGACCAAAAGGTCTGAAAAGCTTAAACAACCACCCCATATGAGGTTGATTATAATTTGTGTTGTGGCCGAAACGTCGTGATATTATATTATTGTGTTATTTTATTTTATCAATTTATTATTTTATTCTCATTCTACGTGACTTTACCGAAAGAACCAAAGAAGAAGACATTTCGAATTGGTTTTACAATAATTGTCGCGCCTAACCAGTTCATTTTACTTCACGTGAAAAGTCATTAGAGTTTAGGGTCTTCGTTCAGCAGTGGATTGAGCATGGCTGATGATGGCGATGATAAGGGTTACAATGGCTCTCCTGGCTGTATGAGACAATGACAATGTATTTTAGGTCCAACGATATATGTATCCAACACAAGAGCGCATACTCTAGAGTCTAGATATTGAAGTTGCATTCATAATAAAGGTTTTTGGGTTAGATCGCGTTATTTATAAATGTGTCGTAACCCTCCACCACCCGACACGGCCAATCAGCAAAAAAGTGTCACGTTGACAAAAGACAAATAATTCACTATTTGTCTTTTGTCAACGTGACACTTTTTTTTGCTGATTGGCCGTGTCGGGTGGTGGAGGGTTACGACACATTTATAAATAACGCGATCTAACCCAAAAACCTGTATTATGAATATTGGTCGCGAAAGCCTACGTGTTAAACTGAAGTTGCATTCATTACCGTTTGTCACCTGGTGTCCCGCCTTGCCACAAATGACGGCTTAATCGCGTGGAAATGTACAGCAGCCAAATACTCTAAGCGGACGTTTCTAAATGTGCAAGGGAAACCAGAGGACCCGGAGAAAAATCCACGCGAGAACGGGGGAGGGAGAGAGAGACACGCAGACTCCAAATATACAGCAGGCGTCAAGGGTCGGGATCGGGATCGAACCCGCGACGTCCTGTGTACTCCGCAAAGGAGTTAACATCTCTCCACCGCGTCTCCCACTGAACGCGATGTACAGAGAGCTCCTCACTTCGTCCTCATCAAGGTTGCACGGGGACAAAAAAAAACCCACCACGTACGCGTGTGAGCTGGTAACCACTTTTTGTATTTTTTTTGTTTTACTGCAAGCAAGGTTGCCTTCGATACAAAAAGGAAATGTGTGCATGTAATGGGTTACACAGTATGTCGTAATGCAATGGATTACAGTAAAATTGCCGTGACAACCGGGAGCAGGACAACTCAAGAGAAGCAAAACGGGGGGAAAAATTTTGAAAAAAATGTGTGGCTATAGCAGCAGACGAGTAGGACATTTCGCAAACGTTCCATCTCTTACACACTCTCTCTCACACAGAGGGCATCCGCGTACAGACAACAAAGCCAAGGAACAGTAGTAGTCTGGCCATAAATAATAGCAATTATGAAAAATTAAACAAACGAAATACTGTCAAATCAAAACGAAGCCATTTGAAACGAGCAACAACAACGGAAAGGCGAGAAATTAAATAAGCTGGGTTCACGCACGCTTTTCCTACACCTACAGTAGGCTACGGGGACAGACAGGGTGGGGGACCTTTAAGAGACCTTCAGACAATAACCACTGGAACCACCGCTCTACACGCCACCCACGTGGGTTTAAAACAGCGCCCGACATCATCGGTACGTCTCGACCACGTTCGTTCACCACCATGCTGGCTGCTGATACGCTGCGCGTTGATTCCTCGGCTCGACAGCGACCTTCAACAGTGACCTTTAACACCAAAACCCCGCAGCCGCCGATGCGAAGAGGTGAAACGGGCAACGGCATAACGAGCCCGTGTGGTTATCTGTGATAACCAATTACTTGCCAATCAGCCCAGCCATTACTCAAACTTCTCCCCTCCCCTCCCCAGAATTAATATTATGGCAAATGTAGGGCGTTATGAGCGATATTAACAAGCACTTGCATTTAACATGGCCTATACGGGCTTGTCAGCATGCAAAAACTGCTCCCAGCGATTATAGGATTGCTGCAAAATGCCATCATTCTTTACCGTTGTATCACGGTGGGGTTGTTTTTTAATCACAGTGCTGGCAGGTCCCTGGTGTGAGTGCCACTCAGAAATTGTCTGGTCTAGATCTTTTTGAGGCCAATTCCTTCCAGCAACCTTCTCAACGGTATGCGCTCTAGCCAGACTTTGCTGCATATAAGCCGTGCCTCTCTCTCTCTGCATTGTATCTGACCCCGCCAACAAGAGAGGGCAATTCCTGTTGCCCTGTACGCTGTTGTTTATATAAATATGATCTCCTCGATCCCAATCTGCTGTGCTCTCGGGGTGTTGCTCTATCGTTATTTATCCTGCCTGACAAGGTGCCCATCGCCTGTTGTAAATAATAATTATAATAATTTATGATGAAAATTAAATGTGCGCTGCCAGTGGATGTCCGGTGTCTTCAAAGCGACCGCTATTATTTCCCCACGCACCACTTACACACGGACGAAAGCACATCTCTTCTCTGTATTTTGACGCATTTATTTTTCTTTTGCCGTTAATGTTCGAACGCGCGCGTTCACGCTTTTTGCGGGAGCGCGGCCACGGTTTATTTTGTGTTAATTCTTACGCATTTTTACAATCGCCGTCGAGAAACCCAGACACATGCTCCGACTGCGATTCGAGGGACGCACCGTGAGCGTCGGACGTGAAAGGCAACTCAAAACAACTGAAGAGGTTTGACAGCTCGCGAGGACGAGGCCCACGCAGATCGTCGCCAGAGCACGCGAGCCGATCAAATGTTACCCCTTCGACGACTGCTAGCTCTCCCGCTCTCCATAGCCAACTAACCCAACCAGCCACTTAGCACTACCACCTAATTAGCTAACTGTGAACTATTATTGATGTCCCCCACATTTAACTAGGCAGCTAGCCATGACTACTAGCCCTCCCACTACCCCCCCCCAACTCAAACTAGCCAACTCGTCACGAGTGTTATCCTTACCGTTAACCAACCATCCTTAAACCAAGCCTAGCGAACCAACCACGATCACTCACCCCACCTCTCATGAGCTGTCAACTATTTATAATCCGTAGCCCTCACTAGCTAGGCACACATACTAGCCCTGCCACAAGACCCTAACCCTCGCCCGCACACCACCTCTGTCACTGAACCAGGATCCCCTCTTCACTTTTTGTTTTGCTTTCCAGTTTGTGTCTTCACGGCACCGTCGCCATGGAAACGCCTGACTTGCAGCCTACATGCTACTCAAGGGATATTTCCAATTTTTTTGCTGCATGGGGGACTTCACAAGCGCCTCATCATACACACACACAACAACAGCAACAACTGCATCATCGTCAATATTCAGCTTACGTGCAAACGCACCAGCGTGCGTTTCGCAGTGACATCAAAATAAGTTACGCGTCAACATGATCACTTTGATCACGCCGATTGACAGTTCGGTTCACGAGTCGATAAATAGCAAAGGTGTGCCTAGACTGGAGCCTCCGGGGTGGGAGGGGGGGATAAGGAAGGGCAGCTGCCCTCTATGAAAAAAAGACTATCCTTGTCCTCTGCCCAGGCAGTCTTACCTCCTTATATTTTAAATACGCTCCCCTAAACTATTCTCCGCATGGCAAGCCCTTGCGTAAAAGGGCATTCAGTCGAAGCGGATAGCCCGCACGAGGGCAGCTTAACACTATTTTAGTCCACAATGCAGCGCGTACGAAGAACTCGAGTCAGGGCCAGGGCCGGCGGGCGCTGCAGCGGGGGGGGTGGGGGTGGCGCTGGAGTGGGCCCTGCATCACCGAATATCCCTTCGGGCCAACCCAAGTCCACTCTCTCCTGAGCGGTGTGTATTACTGTTACGGTGGCCTCCCAAACACAACGGCCGCACCGCTTCTCCCCCCCTGCTCCCCATCCGAGAGGAGTAGGAGACGGGCCTGCCTTTAATGCACCCTTAAGCATCTCCATCCATCCCGAGCGTTCTGTTGGGCCGTGGAAGGATAGCGTACGATGCTCAACGTCTCCATTCCGTCACTTCAGCCAGATGGCTCTGTGCAATTTCCTTCCACAGCCAGTTTGTGCCATGCAAAATATGCTTTTTAAGTCAGTTTTTTTTTGCGTTACATTTTTTAATCAACTGCGAACGCACATTCGTCGCGCGACACTTCACAGACGGACCCCCGATACGTCAATACGTGCGATCGTACTCCCACGCTCGCAGGTGTGCCGTGTTAAGTTTTACGCTTTATCCTTCGCTGTCGCATTACGAATTGCCTGCGAGTCTCGCGTGCACGTTATGCATGGCTCAGACGCCACGGTAAATTGACTTATACATTTAGGATGGGTTGGGTTCGGCAAAAACAACAGCATCTTCATCGACGCAATGTCCTTCTGCTATAGAGACGCCAACATGCGGGTCACCTACGAACACAAATACTGGACAACAATGGTTCGAAGTTGTGTTCCCAAGCAATAGATATAACAATATTGTAGTACAACCTGCAACCCAGTGTGTTACACGATTTCACAAGCCCACAGCTATGTTGTTTGCCTTCAGTGCGTCGCCCCATAGTCACGAATCATAATTACACATAACCATTACAAAAAAAACATTCGACTTTTATCAGACGTAAACAAAATTTACCAATGCGATCAACCCCATTGAATATGCATCGAGAGTATTAATAGCACTGCAGCTTCCGTTTAAATGTATCCGCCATTCTAATCGGAGCTTTCTTGCCGTTCTATTTTTGTGCCACGCGCCGGGTACGCCTGTGCACTTTTTATTTTAAATGTTACTTCAATATTAAAGCGGCGTCTCGCCAATTACCAACGAATGGGACATGCAGCGTTAGCGCGTGAATAGCTGATCCCGGGCGCACAGCGCTCACAGCCTGTGCCCGACGAGCACGAGACGCCGGGCAAAAGCACGGCAAGTAGACCACGACCGACAAAACGCGGCAGCAGCCGGCTATCTCTTGGCCGTGCCACCGCGCACGGGCGTGGGCTGTTTCATCTTGGACGGCGTCGGGATCTTGGACGGCTTGAGCGCCGTGGCGGAAGACGATCGGCCCCCCGTGCGGAGCGGCCTGACGGGGCTGCCGGTGCCGGACGAACGCAGGAGGCCTCCCGGGGCCGCGGTCGCCGCGCCGGCGTGCGGCTGCTGCTGCGGGCGGAGCTGCGGCTGGAGCTCGCTCGCGTCGGAGCAGAGCGACGTGAGGTCGGACACGTCGAGGTCCGAGGCGTCGGAGCCGCGCCGGCTGCTCGTGCAGCTGCCGGCGCGGCTGCCCTGCCTGCTGCCCGGGCGGCTGCCCGCCTGGCTGCCCGGGCGGCTGCTGGGGCGGCTCGACTGCAGCTTGCGCGAGTCTGGGCGTTCGGACCGACGGGTGGGACGGACAGACGGACATATGGACAGGCGGACGTACGGACTCATTCGCGTGTACACGCCTTACCCGTGGTTCCCATTCTTGGCACTGTTAGACTTTTAGCACGTCATATACTGCACGTGGAAACGTTATGACTATGCATCTGTTTAAAACTATGCAAGAGACCACCCGCGTGGTCTAAATTGCGCCTCCGTTCACGGTTGGCTACGTACGGTGTGAAATAATTTCAACGTACGTACATATATTACATACTATATAACAGCAATTACAATTTTCAGTGCTGTGTCAATCCACTGCTAGATAAAGGAGTCTTCAATAAAACACTGTTTGGTGTTTTTTTTGTGGCCGTGCCGTCTGATCGACATGGCCTATGTTCATCATTAGACCTCCTTGGCCAGTACCAAAATGTAATAATAGGGTTTTTCCCCTTTTTTCTGGCAACAAAACTGAAACCTTTTTTTACAAGGATTCATGTCTGCATTACCCACAATACCTGCAGTCAAAATGCAAAAAAAAACACTATGAAAATATATGCATTGTCCTTGAAACTGATTGGTCCACACCAAGGGATGGCTTTCTTTCAAAGACAATGCATATATTATCATAGTATGTTTTTTGTTTGCATTTTGACTGCAGGTATTGTGGTTAATACAGACATGATTCCTTGTATAAAGGTTTCAGTTTTGTTGCCAGAAAAAAGGGGAAAAACCCTATTATGGCCTATGTTCTTTGCAAATTGGTGCTGTGTACGGCGGCATGAGTCAAAATCAAAGGTTCCGTCCCATTACCTGTGAGAAATCCCGGCTGCTTCAGTCGGCTGCTGTGGACCGGTGTGTTCTGGGACAAACACAACGAGGGAAGGGGGCATGGGAGAAGATGTCATTCATGCAAAAAAGGTTGAAATTATAAAAATGTGTTTTTAACCTTTGACCCAATAAAACTAATTTCGCCAATCTGGCTCATCAGCCCCGGAGCTGCTTTTCCGCTGTACGTTTGCATTAACACGGTGCATAACGTTCCGTAAAAATCATTCTTATTATAATGTTGGTCTCAAGACTCTCTTTCAGGAGGGTCCTGCAGTAGCACCCCACTTGCAGAAGGACATTACATAGCCGCAGTAGGGCACTATGTAATGTGTAACCCCAAATGTGTAATTTGCAGGTAGGTAATTTTTCAGCACAAAATGAAGGAGCAGGCAATGCCCACATTTTCCACACGGACGCTAACGATGACTTTGTGTTATATAGCTTTGCAAACCCGCGACGCTTCACCACCATGGCCAACGTGGCTGGCGCGCAAGTCCCCCCCGCTCACCTTGTTTCCATTGGTCGATCTGCCCGTGGTGGAACCCGTCTCCCCGTGGTTGTTGTTGTTGCTGCTGGTGGTGGTCGCGCCGGACTTGCGCGTCGTGGTTGACGCGGTGTGAGGCGGCGGGCTCGTGGGCGCCGAGCCGCCCGGACCGGCGGCACTGCCGGCCTGCTGCTGGTGGTTGGCGGGCGACGTGCTGTGGTTGCTGGGACTGGAGTTGGAGCGCGTGGGTGACGCGCCGCGCGAGTCGGGCCTCGACCGTCGGCCCTTGGGCCTGAAGGGGGCCAGCGCCTGGCTCACGCCCTCCGCCAAGATGAAGCGCTCGCGCAGCTCCAGGTTCGTGCGCCCTTTAGCTGCACGCGGGGCGCGCGGCCAGCATGGAACACGCACGGCAAAGACGGACATCTCTTGTTTAGTCTCGTAGAACCCCGCGGGAGAGGCGAGTGCAGCGAGCGAGCACGTGCTAATGCCGGCATGCCACGGCAACGGGTGGCGTGGCCAGCACCACTCTGGGCTGCCTACGGTGCCGATGTTCATGCATCGCACGAGGTATCCGTTTCGTGGCCGAGTCAACTTAGGGGAGGGCTCAGGAAAGGTTCTGACGGCAAGCGCCGCTGACGTGAATTACGGCTGGGAGTAGAACCCGGGTCGCCAGGATCATAGCGCAGGGCACGAACCAACCGTGGCGCCTCCGCACGCATACCCATGCACGCACGAATATGCCGCGGGAAAAAAAAACAATAAGTCACACCAAGACCGCATTTGGATGCCATGGGAATGCAATGGGCGATGCAGTGGATTCGGCATGACGTCCGTCGCACTCATTCTCGAGCGGGTGACGATGAGGCTTTTTGTTTGTTGTTTTTAGCCATGCAACTTGAGCTCATGCCGGCCACCGTTAGTGCCTGCAGAGGGTAATGTGAGAGTGTGCAGCGGTACGATCTTTGTTACACAGACTCCACTGCAGTTCAGTGTCAACATTACTCCTGAGACAAATGCTGAATGCGGCCAACAGGGGGTAATTCCAAGCCATTGTTTCCAATCGTCGGCAAAACCAGGGCCCTTGTTGTTGCTCCTGAAACTACACACAACTCGTTATGCGTCGTAGTGGGCGATCACGGGTAAAGTATATATATACGTATAATGATCACGTAGGAATCGTAATTGATATGTTGGGTTGGATCACGTGAATAAAATGTTTGTTGTAAAACCCTCCTCCGCCCGACGCAAGCAATGATTATAGTAGTCACGTGAAGGAACGTGCCAGTGAAAGTATTACTCCTTCAGTAGCAGCACTCCCGGGTGCTGATGGAGAGTAACCTCATGGCGTTTCACTCATAGTTACAACCAGCATCATCAGGCAGTAGCCACAATTGTGAAAACGTCCTCCATTTAGTTTACGCGAACTGACCCCCCCCATACCCCCCCCCCCCAAATAAATGTAAAAATTATGACTCATGATATTGGTCACAATATCCTACGTGTTAATCACACAGGAAGAGGTCGTGCTCAGATTGTAAATGTTGTGGCTTGGCTCTCCAACACACAACCGGTGTGCTGTACTAGTGACGAATTGGCCACGTTCTGTTTATGTGACAACCCTGACTATTTGGCTGTGTCAGGTGGTGGCGGGTTTAACGACACATTTATATATTTACGCGATGCTATTGGTCGTGAAAGCCTATGTGTTAAACTCACACAGGAAGAGTCTGTCTTGAATATTGGACAGGAAATCTGATTTCAATATTCCCGGGAGAAAGAGACACTGCGTCGCATATATATAACAATATAGCTTAAGCTCTAGCTGAATGTTGTCCGTGCGAGTACATTTTGACACTGATTTTGTATGCGGTGGAACGCTGTGGACGGATTGCGACATGGCAAAGTGGTGGACGCAGAGAGGTGAGCGGTGAACACAGAGAGGTGAGCGGAGACCGCCGGTGGATGGAGGGTGTTGACACAGGACATTCGGACATTACAAAAAATAAATACACACACACAGACGCAGGCACGCGTGCGCGACCGTCAAAGCAAAACGTGAAATAAATAGAATCCATGGAACAAACGTCGAAGAAGCAATAAATAAACAAACACAAAAAAGAGAGCTCAGATCGGGAAGAGTGACAGAAAGAGGCAGATGTATGTGTCTGGAGTAGCGTACATATTTTCTGGCCATGCAAATCAACAGAGCAATGCCCCAGTGGTTAAGATTGGTGAATGGTCGTATCGCAGCCAGTGTCTTCCTCATGCTCCAGCGAACGATTTGGGGTGATCTCCGGCGTGTGCATGTGCGCGTGCGAGTCTCCGCATGTGGCCCTACGCGGCCTTCAATAACAGAAGCAGCGAATGGAGGTCTACTACCGGGGCCCACTCTGCCAAAGCTTCGTTTTCAAACGCTTTCCAACCAAGGTTTCAATGTGTCGGTACATCAAGCCGTTTGTCTGTCTGTTTGTCACTGTGGGGTGGGGCACGACAGCTCCCCTGAGGCTGATTCCCTTGGTCCCGTCGAGGCCTACGGATGGACGGGATTACTTCCTTGGCACGCCCGGCACGAGCGCTGCCGGTGCCCGCAGCTCGCCAAACACTCGGGGGGTAGAAACGCGTGTTGGAAAGCGTTGCAGAATCCATGCGAGTGCATGCTTTTTCTTACTTGTCGTAATAAGAACAAGAATCGCTCCCCGAGGGCATCCACTGTGGGAGTGGGACCCTGCCGCTTGGCAGCAAGCGCGCCGCTCCGGCGATGAGAGTTCACTTTGGCTCAGGTCTGCTTTGGGAGCCAGGTACAGGACGTTTTGTTGTTTTTCAATTGTTGGCGCTGTTAAGTTTGTGTGCTTTCAATGCATTCGTTGGCCACTTATCCACGGGAAAGACCAATATGCACGCGGTTATTTCGCAGTGCGAGCCCTTGTTTAGGTGATGCAAACAGGAGCCTTAGCCAGTGACGGTTCGGCTCAGCCGAGTACAAATGAGCATTGCATTCAGCACCCTCACACACTGTGCTTGATGCTTAAACAGTACAGCCTGCCGTTAGGAGAAAGCAAAACAATATCCATTCGTTGCCGCTCTCTTATTCAAAGAATGTACGTTACTTCGGAGAAATTACATCGCCGACACACGTTGATTAAACAGTTTGCACGGGTACAGCAGGTAGCCGAGTGTTCCTGCTGACATTGCAGAAGCAAACATGGCCAGACCTCAAACGGACATGCCGAAAATTTGCAGCAAGCAGGCCCCCATATATCGCGAATGTCTCCGAATGCGAAAACAAACAGCCGGCGAAACCATCGCCGCCGTCAAGCTTAAGCGACACGGGGTTTGCGTGCGGGCGAGTGAGCGGAGTGAGTGAGCGGGGTGAGCGGGCGGGCGGGCGGGCGAGCGAGCAGAGTGAGTGAGCGGAGTGAGCGGAGTGAGCGAGCGGAGTGAGTGAGTGAGTGAGCGAGCGGAGTGAGTGAGCGGAGTGAGCGGAGTGAGTGAGCGGGCGAGCGGGCGGGCGAGCGAGCGCGTGAGCGTGCGGAGTGCTGGAGAAATGTCCATGGCTGACCGTGGGCACACGAGGGCTTCACAACGAACGAAACATGAAAAACGAGGGGATAAGAAAGGGGTAACGGACAATCAGTGCGAAGCTAAGCGTTGAAGCAAGGCACGGAGAAGAGAGGCAGAGAGTCTGCTAACCTATCGCAGCGGGGCTGCTTACTGGGCCGACTATGTCCGAGCGAATCATCCTACTCCCGTAGTGATGGACTGGTGAGAGACGGAGAGGAAGAGGGATCGAGGAGAGCGAGAGAGACAGAGGGACAAGCGGAGAGGGGAGAGGCAGGGTGAGTAAGACACGGAGGCAACGTCATGGGGAGACACACGCGGGGCAGGTGTTATGGGGAACGGGACGGAACGAAAAGGAAATGACAGGATGAAAACAACGTTTTAGCGATAAGAAAGCGAACTGGCACAAAATTATGGGGAGAGGAGCATAGCACGTTCAACTCCACGGTGGGGAGGGGGTGGGGGCGGTGGAAATCACAGGAAGAAGCAAAGAAACGTTTAACAAAAGAGAGAAAAAGAAACCGATGACATCGACACACGGGTGAACGACCAGTGTTGGCACATTGCGGTGAACAGAAGCGAGAATTCAGGGAGACAGCATCAGCCTGGGACCGGTTCAACGAGGTCAAAAGGTCACAGCTGCCAGTGTCGTATCGCGGCACACAAAGCAGAGGTCGCACGGAAAAAATAATTACGTTAAAGACAGCCACGCGAATCATGTTCCACGCTTAGAGCAAGACGCAACCCAAAAGACAAATGTCTCATGACACGTAGGCTTTTGCAACCAATATTATCCATAATAGAGGTTTTTTTGGGTTAGATCGCGTAAATATAAATGAGTCGTTAAACCCGCCACCACCCGACACAGCCAATCAGTAAGATTTGTCACGTAAACAAAACATATCAATTAGTTACTAAATTTCGATTTAAAGCTTTCGTGACTGCAAGGATTCATCTTCTTAGTTACTACTTCAGCACACCGATACATTGGAGGGTATACCCACAACATTTACAATTCGAGTACGAAATTTCGCCGGCAATCACAACCAGCCTCATCAGGCGATAGCCATAATTCTGGCTGAATTCTGGCTGTCGCCTAATTGGCTGTGTCGTGTGGTGGTGGGTTTAACGACACATTTATTTTGACGCGATCTAACCCAAAGAATGTCTCTTAATTAGGCCCCTGTGTTCCGGGCTGTCCCACGCAAGTTTGATGCACAGGAAAAAAACGTTTTTACTTGAAGGATAAGGTGAAGCGTGCCGCCACAGCATTTCCGGCGATGTCACTTTATCGACGCATTCAAATGTGTGGGAATGACATCACAGTAGTGTCACTCGAGTGCTATAAACGGCAAGCTTCTCATGCAATTTTTAATCTTTTTTTTCTTTCACGAAATGAAAGTCCACACTCATTTCTGGCAGCCTGGGCCACACTGACTATGTGTGTGAGCCAATCGCTAATTCATATTTTTTGGGGTGCGCCTTTTTTTAAATATCTGGTATTTAATTTACAGTTTAACACGTGGGCTTTCGCGACCTATATCATTCATGATATAGTTTTTTTTTGGGTTAAATCGCGTAAATATTAAAGTGTTGTTAAACCCGCCACTACCCGACACAGCCAATTAGTAAGGTTTGTGATGTAAACAGAACATGGACAGCCAAATGTGGCTGTCCGCCTGATGATTCTAGTTGTAATTACTGGCCAAACGTCGAACTCAGATAGTAAATGTGGATTTGCTCTCCAATACACCGGTGTGCTGTACTAGTAACGAATTGGCACGTTCTGTTTACGTGACAAACCTTACTGATTGGCTGTGTCGGGTGGTGGCGGGTTTAACGACACTTTTATATATTTACACGATCTAACCCCAACAACAACAGCAAAAAACTAACAATCGTATCCAGTTTGGCAGTACAGTAGTTGCTTGTGAAGTAACACTCAGAGGTGCCCATTTGTCGGGTCAAGTTTTATAATTGTAACATTACGCTGGTCAAAAACAAGGCCCCAATTTTTGTAATACCCTCTCAAGAATTCCAGCGGTAGCGAATTCCCAAAACAATACTGAACATCATCCCAAAAGCCGTCAAGGACAGTACATGTTTAACTGCCTTCGTAATCACACGCAGGGTACGAATAAGTTCATGTTCTACACGAAAACCCAAAGGACAACCTAGTGAACATACATAACTTCTCTCGATGAGAACGCGAGTTCAATTCCCAATCAGGGTTCACTCGACTCCCTCATCCCAATGGCTTGGGTAGAAATAATACAGCCTCATATTCAGTCACAAGTGGTTGATTTCTGTCAACTAAACCTAACCATTTATTTCAAACTATTTTTTATTTTACCAAGTGTAAACTCCACTGAGCTATATAGTTCTTTTTCATAAGCAACCCGGGCACAAATAATCGCTCAACGAAGTGGCTCATCACGTGGAAATTTATAGCAGCCAAATACTCTAAGCGCATGTTTCTAAATGTGGATGGAAAAACCGGAGGATCCGGAGAAAAATCCACGTGACCACGGGGAGAGGAGACACGCAAACTGCAAGTATTCAGGCGTCAGGGTCGGAATCGAATCCACGACCTCCTGAATGCCAGGTGATGGAGATAACATATCGTCACTGTAGAGCCCACTCCCGTCTCCTGGTATCCTTCCAGCAGCCAAGCGGGCACGAATCTTCACGATCCATCAACCCTTGCCTCCGATGCGCTGGAAGGAGACTCAGGTGCGTGGCGGTGGCGCCACCGGCGCCACCGCCGTGCCCGGCTCAATCGGTCAACGCCGGCGGTTTGTTCTCGTGGACTCGTACGCGGTGGACCCGGCGAGTGCGAGCGCGAGAGAAGGGAGGGGGGGGCACCTCTGCAGGGGTCGTTCTTGACCAGGAACTCGTCCAGCGCCATCCAGCCGCCCCCCACTCGTACCATGACGGTGCTGCGCAGGATGCGCACGAGACGCAGCTGCTGCGAGTCGCCGAACTGGCGGGACACGCGGACACGCGCGCACACACGCACACGTGAATACACGCGAGATGCACGTGCACGCGTGCGCGCTGGGAGGTGTGCACAAACCCACGCGCAGCACGAGATGTACACACATTCGGAAATACAAATGGGTACTTCCTTTCGTAAGAATAAAATGCAGAGGCTTGGAACACAAAACACACGCGAACACAGGCAAACACACGATACATACGCGCGTGCATATCCGAGTGCAGAAATCCACGCATACACGAGACACGTTCGTACTCGCAGAGACACGCAAACACGAGCCTACATACAATGTACAAGGGAGCAGACATCGTGGACAAGGGAGCAGACATCGTACACACCGGAGCAGACATCGTGCACGAGGGAGCAGACATCGTGGACAAGGGAGCAGACATCGTGGACAAGGGAGCAGACATCGTGCACAAGAGAGCAGACATCATGGACAAGGGAGCAGACATCGTGGACAAGGGAGCAGACATCGTGGACAAGGGAGCAGACATCGTGCACAAGGGAGCAGACATCGTGGACAAGGGAGCAGACATCGTGGACAAGGGAGCAGACATCGTGGTCAAGGGAGCAGACATCGTGGACAAGGGAGCAGACATCGTGGTCAAGGGAGCAGACATCGTGCACAAGGGAGTAGACATCGTGGACAAGGAAGCAGACATCGTGCACAAGGGAGCAGACATCGTGGTCAAGGGAGCAGACATCGTGCACAAGGGAGCAGACATCATGGACAAGGGAGCAGACATCGTGGACAAGGGAGCAGACATCGTGCACAAGGGAGTAGACATCGTGGACAAGGAAGCAGACATCGTGCACAAGGGAGCAGACATCGTGGTCAAGGGAGCAGACATCGTGCACAAGGGAGCAGACATCATGGACAAGGGAGCAGACATCGTGGACAAGGGAGCAGACATCGTGCACAAGGGAGCAGACATCGTGGACAAGGGAGCAGACATCGTGCACAAGGGAGCAGACATCATGGACAAGGGAGCAGACATCGTGGACAAGGGAGCAGACATCGTGGACAAGGGAGCAGACATCATGGACAAGGGAGCAGACATCATGGACAAGGGAGCAGACATCGTGGTCAAGGGAGCAGACATCGTGGACAAGGGAGCAGACATCGTGGTCAAGGGAGCAGACATCGTGGACGAGGGAGCAGACATCGTGCACAAGGGAGCAGACATCGTGGTCAAGGGAGCAGACATCGTGGACGAGGGAGCAGACATCGTGCACAAGGGAGCAGACATCGTGGACAAGGGAGCAGACATCGTGGACAAGGGAGCAGACATCGTGGACGAGGGAGCAGACATCGTGGACGAGGGAGCAGACATCGTGCTGCTCGCAGAAGACATCGCAGCTGTCGCGATTTTCACCTGAAGACGGGCGCTTGTGTTGCGTTCGAAACGTCGTGATTTATTTAATTTTATTTCTACCTTACGTGACTTTACCGAAAGAACCAAAGATTATGGATTCCTGCAGTCACGAAAGCTTCAAATCAAGAATGCTCTGATCATATGATACATTGTTTTTTTTTTTCAAACTGATTGGCCTACACCAGGGACAGCCTTCTTTATGCCCTAGTGGCCTAGTCTCACCAGCGTCGGATCAGAGAACGCCAAAAGGTCACAAAGAAGGCTGTCTCTGGTGTAGGCCAATCAGTTGCATAGACTCCCATTTATTACAATCACGGCAATTTTGTTTGCGTGCTTCACCACAATCACGTGCGGTTAATGCAGTGCTTGATTCCTTCCAAAGGTTTCTATTCGGTGTTTGAATATCTTAACACCTGTTTCACTGTCGGAAAAAAAAACTAGTCATATGTTTGATACTTTGATACTGCCAAAAAGGTGCCATGATATTGCGATACAGGATTGTGATTTGATTAAAAAAATCTATTCTTTATAATTGGTGGTGACTGTAGTGGCCACTCGTGGCTACAGGGGGACCACAGCAAACCCGTTACGTACGGCACACACGAATCGAAAAACTCCGATTGTTATTACTGCACGCGCAATTTCACGCATGAATTGTGAGCTTAAAGAATCGACATGAATCGATCAATCTACATGCCGTTACACATGTAGTGATCGAGGAGCTTTAGAAAGTAGGCAAGATTGTTTAGTGATGCTGCTGCTGCGCTGGCAATAGTGCACAAGCACAATTGACAATTAACAACAAAAACGTAACGCATTGGTCAATAACACCGTGCGTGCCCTTAAAATACAAAAAATATATATTATAGGCGACGCTTCGGGCAATTGGCCCATCTTCATGCGCTATGAAGAAGGGCCAGTGTTATTGACGAATGATTTATTTGCTTTTTACAGACGGTAAATCAGCCATCGATTTCAATATTGATCAAAAGACAACCACTTAAAGCTGCATCGTAAAGCAATGAACAAAACAAAAATAAGGTTCCATTTAAGTCCATCAAGCACAGGGCCTTGTTTCCCAACACAGTGTTCAGGGGAGGGCTTTTACCGACAGCAGCAGCAGGCAACCCGGCAGCATTTGCTGAACATGCCACAGCCTGCTGACTACGGGCACTCGCAGAAGTTTACGAAACTTGTACGTGGAGCAAGATGGAATAATTGATACTTCAACATCTAAAAAAACGACGCACTCCTAGTCAGTTTATAACGACCTAGTGAGTGGATGCATTGCTCGGACAATTGTAAAATGTCTTTTTCTGGAATTCCAATTGGAGCGGCGGGTGCAGAGGTTTTGGCGGCACGCGATGAACCCGGCCGCCTGAATCCGATGCCAGGTCGCGGTCAACAACAGCAGCAGGTGATGTCTGAACCAGTCTCCGTGTGTCATCCTTCACCAATCCACTGCTAGATGAAAACCTCCCCGTGGCGTTTCGGTCAACGCGGCGGTGGGGGGGGGGGGCGGAGTTGTTTGACTGCACTATGCCAGGTCGGTGAAGGGAACTGGTTCAGATATCATTCGCCGCTGACGTTCGGTATGACCGGGAATTGAACTCAGCCTGTCGTGTTCATGGCGCAGTGCGCTAACCACTGCGGGAGCGCTTCCCCCTCCCTGCACCCCAACTAAATATAATTTAATAGAAGGACTTAAATATCTTTTTTTTGTTTTAATCGGCGATAAAAAAAAAACAGACACTTGTCAATCTATCCACTTGTTTACATCATTAGACCTCCTTTGCCAGTACCAAATGTAATAATAGGGATTTTCCCCTTTTTTCTGGCAACAAAACTGAAACCTTTTTACAAGGATTCATGTCTGCATTAACCACAATACCTCCAGTTAAAATGCAAACAAAAAACATACTATGATAATATATGCATTGTCCTTGCTGTGGACCAATCAGTTTGAAGGACAATGCATATATTATCATAGTATGTTTTTGTTTGCATTTTGACTGCAGGTATTGTGGTTAATGCAGACATGAATCCTCGTAAAAAAAGGTTTCGGTTTTGTTGATAGAAAAAAAGGGGAAAGACCCTATTATCCACTTGTTTGTTCACGCATCGATTCATTGAGATGTCAGCTCGTGCCAGTGGTTGTGTGAGCACTGAGACAGTGCCGAGCTGTATACCTGATTCCCCAGGAAAAACTTTACAGGGGGTTAACGTCCAGGGCGATGCAAGAGAGGAGACAGACACAACAAGGAACAGCATGTGTGTTAGTAATCGCATTCAGATATCGCGCCGCACGTTAAAAAAAAAAAACAGCACTGCACTTAGCCTATCGCCGCACAGCGCAATAACGTCAACGTTCATTTAAGAAGGCGGTCACCGCATCACGCACTTTCAGATGCGCTTCTGCGGCCGTCTGGAACGCTCTTCCATCCAATATTAGGAAGCGAGTGGCTATATGCACTTTTAAATCATTTAGATTGAAAACTCATTTCTTTAGAACTGCTTTTTTTGTGTTTTGTTTGTTGTCCTTCGTCCGCACCTACGATTAGCATACATACATTTAAAAAAAAACCGCTGTGAATGTTTTTAACAAAAAATATAAAACGCCGCAAAATCAACGCAAAAGCATACACGCGAGTTACGTGAATGTGTACGCGGTAATGTAAGTGTTATACACGGAATGTGAGCAGCGGGAAAAGTACACAACTTGCGGTTTACGTGCGGAGATGGTATTTGGTAGGGAATGGCACGCGATCATTTAAACGTCGGCATTTGAAAAATAGAAGCTCATCGAACAAAACAACCCAGCAACTGTGTTGGCAGGAGTGCGCAAGCACAAATGGAAAATAAAATAAAAACTCTCTCCACATTTGTCGTGAACGCTGTCTTGCAACTGCAAAGTATACAGCAGCCTGATGATGATTTGGGCAATGGGACTTCGTATGTGGAGAGAACTTGGAATAAAAATAAACAGAGAACCCTGAAGAAGAGCCATTGCCCGAAACATCAGCTGACTGTCCAGTATATTTTTCTGCTTTTATACAGGGTGCTTCAAAAAAATCTTAACACTTACATAGGACTATCGTTTTGAATGGAAAAAGAACAAATAATAATTGACTGTGATGTGATAACAAATGTAAATGTTAATAGCTTCAAAAAGTCAAAGAGTCTCCACTTGTTTGCCATCGTTGTCAACACGTGGCCTGGAATCTTCTCCAGGTGATCTCCAGAGCCCGGAGGCACAATTCCTCCGGTATTGTTGAAAATTCTCAGAAGTGTTACATTTCTTGTGAAGCACCCCGTATATGATAATTGAACAGCCAGTTTTGTAAATCCACTGCTGGATGATCAATGCCTCCCCCACGCCATTGTCGGTCGCGAAGGCTGTTTACTTTAAACTATTTAAAACCTATAAACTATTTAAATTTTACCAGGTAAGGCCCACTGAGCTATAAAGCACTTTTTCAGAAGTGACCTGGCCACAAATGACAGCTGAACAAAGTGCCTTATCATAACGTGGAAATGTTTCGCAGTAGTCAAATTCTCTAAACGCGTGACGTTGATTCTTAATGTGGAGGGAAAAATCGGAGGACCCAGAGAAAAATCCACGCTGTCACGGGAGAGAGAGATATGCAAACTCCAAATATACAGGTGTCAGGGCCCGAATGGAACCCACGACCTCCTGTATACCCGGCGAGGGAATTAACATCTCGACACCGTGGCGCCCCTGAGCATACTTCACCACGCTGCTCAGCTTGGGTTGGTGATGGTGAGGTCCAGGGCCTGTTCAGTTAACACTCGTCACTGATGTTAGCTGTGGTCGGAAATCAAACTCAGATTTCTGTGCTCTTAACTTTAAAAGCAGTCCACCACCACTCCCCTTTTCTGTTCGAAGGCAATGTCAACGACGAATGTGGTGGTTGTTTCATTTCAATGTGAAGCTTTCGCGAAGCTACTATTCTGGGTAGGCTGCTAGAAACACTAAAAAAAGCTATGAAACTAAAAAGAAAAAACGTTATAATAATAACAATGATATCAAAAGAAATCTTAAATGTTACGGGAAAAATTATGACACGCAGAAGGAGTAAGGAGAAACTCAACACCCTACAGACAGGTAAGCCGAAAGGTTACAGGAATACCATGGGAGGATAGCGATAGGTAGGCACGCAGAGCGAATTCTATTAATATGCAGACTGCACCGGGTAAATTATTAGTCATTATGTTCTACTGCCGAGAATTATGGGTAAGTTTATGATCGTGGCACACTCATTTGTAGTAAAATTCGCTGCCAAGTTGGGAGAGGGGAAACTATTTCACTGAAAGGTCACAGGATAAGGAGGAGCAGCGCCCAGCGCCCCCCCCCCCCGCCAATATAATATGGAGCCGTTTCCAAGATTTTGCGAGCTTGATTCATATGCATTATATCCATGACCTCCGTGACCTCCGTGCAAAACCCACAGCCTTAATCATGGGCAATGAAACTAAATAATTAAATAAACATGCTTCGGTCAGTCTCTCATCAGCCTAATTGCCTTCCTGTCCAATATTACTCAGCAGCCTTTGTTTGCACGCGTCAACTCTGGACCAGTTTTGACCTCCCGGGGTCTAATCAGCAGAATTGGGCTTTTGCTTTTTTTGATCAAATGCTGCTGGGTTGCCAGATGTTATTGGCAAGAGGATTCTACATTCTAGATGGGGACTCTGTTCACTTCCTATGCCACGCATATCACGGGGGTTATTTTAAAACACTTTATCAGGATGGCCAGTGTGGGGTTGTCTCTCCACGTAGAATATCTATGTTTGTAGCCCATCAGCCTCCTGTGCCTCTACATCGATGCTGCACTGAGGTTGAACAGTGACATCATTGGAAGAAGCAGGCCTGAGATGACCTTTTGATGACTACGCATGACCGTAATCGAAATTCAGGGTGGAGGGTGAAAGGTCAAGCGATGGGTGGCATAAAAAACACCTTTAGTGAGGTTTTCCCCCCTCCCCTTAAGTGGCAAATGAGAGGAGGAAAAAAAAAAGGACTCAAATTAAGATCCGAGACAAAAAAAGAACTGGCGCTTATGTCGTAGACACGTGCCTGGGCTGTGTCCTCTGTCGTCTGACACGGGGTTTGAAGCTTAGTTCGTGCGAAAAAAGAAAGTCACCCTGAAGCGGCCTCTCGTCACTTCAGTACGGATAAAGGGGAACAGTGCTGCCCCCCCCCACGATGTGGATAAGAGGGCGCTGGAAGGAAACTCGGGAGGTAGTTCCGCGATATCCGCTTCTGCGTGCCGTTCTCTAACACGAGGAAGGGTCGCGCTGCTCTGCTGGACGTCCGAACGGTTGTCTCACGGGCGTGACGCCGACAGCACGGTCGGGATGAGAGTCCCCAAATAATGACAACAAAACTCTTGGCTGAAACACAGCTGTGGCGCGATGGGCTTCAGAGTCTTTTTTTTCTCTCTCTCATTGATGAAGATTTCACGCGCGTGTGTCAGACAGCCAAGGTGGACGCACGAGCCCTCGGTAAATAAAATCGCGAAACGCGAGCCATTTGTAGTTTTTGTTTGTTTTGTGTGGGGAGTCCAATCTTAAAAAAGACGTTTTCATGCAGCCAGTTGGCAGGCCTTTCCCCCTTCGAGGTCCCTGTCCCAGAACGCGTGAGCCAAGGTCTCGCGTTGCCAATTCCACGTTGCCGACGAGCGCCGATGAAGTGGAGGGGGGACAAAGAAATGGCGGAAGGAAGAGGTGCTGATGGAGGTGGGGGCACATCACGCATTTCGTGTTTGATGTGGGGAGCCTCAAGCACTTTGGTCACTCCTCCAGACATCAGAATTAGAATGTGTATTTATGCTGGGGGAATCTGAGGAGCTATAAAGCTCTTTTTCACGTAATTTTTTTTTAAATATACAACTGGAACCAACTTGACATGCAAGTTAATCCACAGCATCAAGAGGGCTCCTGATCGGTATGCAAGTTGTTCCGTTAGAATAATTCATCCCTTGGAAGCGTTTGCATAAAGCGTGTGCACGAATGGGATGCTGATCTTGTTCCATCAGGTGAGAACTCAAGACGGCTGGGATAGTCTCGTTTGTAAGAGAGAAGCACGTGATCCAGCACTTTGGGGGCATTAGGTCGGCAGACCCCATAGACCTGTGAAACGCCCAAAACCGTCGGCCTGTCATGTGGCCACGAAAATGGAAGTACAGCGAGTGGGTTCGTGTACCTGTGTACGTAGACCTTCCTATGTTATCCCCCTCTTGTGCATGGGGGGTTTGTTTTGTTTTTTTCTACACGTGCCTTAAAGGAATTTGGCAAAACGTCGCGATGCAGGAGGACCATTCTGACAAAGGGTGTCGAGCGACGCTGCACGGCGTTTCCCAGTTTAACGAGGAACGTCGGGCCAATGAGTCGAACGTTGGCGTGTTTACTGTGGTGTAGTTGTTGTTGTTGAATATGACTGTAAGAACGATGCATCTAGGGCTCGGCTTCGAGGCAGTGCTGTGTGAATGTGTGATGGCCCCCTCCATGAGGGCTCACTGACTTTTCGGATCAAGACCAGCTTGATCGCTCCCGACTTACCATGCACATTTTAAGCGGCAGGAGATTAGAATTTTTTTTTTCAAGATGTTAAAATCGAGACGGCAGTGAAGAAAGAAAAGAGAAGAAAAAATATATAAATGAGCAAGTAAGTAAAGCATTGCGAACTCAACAAACGAATGATCAGCATGCGAACGGTTTTACAAATATGAAAACACCGGACAGAGAAAGTTATGGAAAACAGCACGAGGGAGAATTTTAGAATCGGTAAAACTCGAGACGTTGTCCTGGGGGGGGGGGGGGGAAACACTAAACAACACTCGCAAATTTTACTCATATTTTAAGATAATCCATGCCTGCTGCACTGGAACGCCGTGCAATCCACATTTGGTGGTTGTCACTGCAATATCTCCCCCACAGTTGACTGCACCAATTATCTTATTTTAGCAGGTAAGCCCCACTGAGCTACGTAGCTCTTTTGCAGAAGCGACCTGGCCACAAATTGATAGCTCAACAAAGTGGCTTATCGTCACGTGGAAACAATTTACAGCAGCCAAATGCTCTGACCGCACGTTGTCTGTATCGCGCAGAGGCTTCCCGTCTGGCACCAAGCGTGCGTGCGAGTCGGGGTGAGAGGGTGACGGCGAGCGATGGGAGACAGAGGCAGTGGCTGATTTCACTCACTCACCCGGCCCCCTCGAGCGGAATCCGCGCCGTGGCGTAGACTTACCCGGTACTTGTTGTCTCCGATCTGCTCCACTTGGAAGCGCTTGGGACACCGGCACTTGGATACCTGTCTCGTCACCTGCAGGGAGACACGGACGCAATAAAAACAATGACGCCGTCATCATCGTCATTGATCATGATCAATCCACTGCTGGTTTATGACCCCCTCCAAGTCACCACCATCCTTCACGGTCCCGCGATACAACAATCCGTCCGGCATCTGCGCACGAGCCGATGTCATAGCTCGTTCCTTGGGCTGCCATTCAGTAGTTATTTTCGCCCACCGGCAATCATTCGTAAATGTACATTTGCGAGAGAAGAAAAACAATATATACATGTCAACAAATACGTGAGACAGCTCAACAATGGAGCAATAACAACAATAAACTGGGGCTACAAAAATGTTCACACGTTTGCTGCTTGGTCATGGAATCCTGCATGAAGCAAAAATAATAATACAGAGCGGTCAGATGCTCCTACATTGTCCTCGGTTTGTATTTTCAAGCTGTACCGCTTGCTGTTCAGCACGACGTTCAGTGTTTTTTTCTTGGCTGCATACCGAAACGTCGGGCGTCATGCCGTACAACAGGCCGGTTACAACCCCCCGAAAAAATTGCGATTGGTCCCTGAACACCATCAGGTTGTATGTTAGTGGTGCTTATGGGGCGCCACGGTGGAGAGATGTTAACTACCTCGCCTGGTATCCAGGAGATCGTGGGCTCGAATCCAGCCCTGACGCCTGCTGTATATTTGTGTGTCTCGCTCCCTGTTGTCGTGTGGATTTTTCTCCGGGTCTTCCGGTTTTTTCCCTTCACATATAGAATCTATATTCTTTGGTTCTTTCGGTAAAGTCACGTAGATAGAAAAAAAGAAGTAATAAAATAAAAACCACGACGTTTCGATCACAACACAAGCGATCGTCCTGATGACGTGACTTTACCGAAAGAACCAAAGAAAGTGAATTCCTGCAGTCACGAAAGTTTAAAGTAAAAATTTAAAATCTACGTGCGTTTAGAGTACTTGGCTGCTATGAATGTCCACGTGACGATGACAAAGCCGCTTCCGTTGAGCTATCATGTGCGATGACCAGGTCGCTTCTGACAAAAGAGCTACCTAGCTAAGTGAGCCTTACACCTGGTAAAGTAAAAAAACATTAAAAAAAACAGTTTATAGTTTAAATTTTGATTGAAAGCTTTCGTGACTGCAGGGATTCATATTCTTGGTTCTTCTACGTGACTTCACCGAAAGAACCAAGAATAGTTTATAGTTTAACGAGCCGCCCTACCTCATCCTCAATCTTGTCGGCGTCGGTGAGGGGGCGGTAGGCGTCCTTGTTGGGGTGCAGAGCGGCGACGAACTCGTAGTAATCCATGCAGCCGTCGCCGTCCTGGTCAAAGACGTCGGCCACTGCGCTCATCTCGAGGCGGTTCGTCGGGAATTCTTCGTTGACGGCGGCGGGGGGCGGACAGGACAACAGGCGCGCACGCAGACACAGACGCGCGCAAAGAGGCAAACGGAGGCAAAGAGCACCGACGTTACAAACACGCGCGCACGAAGGCACGCACGCGTACGAAGACGCGTGTACGGACGCACAAGTACAAAGAGACGAGAACGCAAGGACACGCGTACAGAGAGACGCACGCGCGCACACGAAGAGAGACACGCGCTCGGAAACACACACACACAAGTACAGAGACACACATGCAGGGATTTTAACAATGAAGAATGGATACGCGGACATAAATAAATGCTGGGAACACGTTAAAGCTTGGGCCACACCGTGAGGCTGATTCACTTGTGTTCGGTTTGAAGGAAGGGTCTTGCTCTCCTGCTGCTCAGCAGGTTGTGCGGAGGTATTCTGTGTAATCATTAAAGCTTCCTTCGGCCACGCATCATGTGCTCTGGGAACCTTTGAACTGTACCCTTTAGCCAAGTTTTTTATGATTCCACAAAAAATAAACCTGTAAAGCGTGTCAAAATATCAAAGGAAGTCAAGGCCGATACAGTGCTCATCTCCTGTTTACAGGCCACTGCCAGTGGTGGACATTCCACATTCCTAAGGTGGGGACAGGGAATCCCCAGAGCATAACCACTATTGAATTCCTACAAAGCAGTTACTCATTTCATCGACAACGGAAGCAGGTAGAGTTGAGTCGACCCCCCCCCCCCAACCTGGGATTTTTTTTACTTCTGACCTTAAGATGTGTGAGGCGAGCACTCAAACCACCGTAGCTCCGGCAAAAACAAAATATTTGTGTGGGCAGTGCTGAGTCAGTGTCCGGAATCTAACATTGGTATGGAACGAGCCACTGTTGCCATAGAACAGTGGTGATGGTATTGGTGGTTGTGGTTAGGGCGGTGGTGGTGGCGGCAGTGGCTGTCACAGTGGTGGTGGTGGCAGTGATGACAGCAGTGCAGAGGGTGGTGGCAGTGGCGGTGATGGTGGCAGCGGTGGCATCAGCGATGATGGTGGTGGCAGTCATGATGATGACATCGGCGGTGGGGATTGCAATGACGGTGGGAGTGATAGCGGTGGCCGAGGCTATGGACGGGCCTTGGTTGTGGTGGTGGTGGTAGTGGTTGTGGTAGTTGCAGTGGTGGTGGTGGTGACGGCCAGTGGTGGTGGCGGTGGTAGTGCCGTGTGAAGCGCGAGGGGCCTCACTAGAAGACAGGATGCCCTCCATGAACTCCTGCCGCGTGATTCGCCCGTCCTGGTCCTTGTCGATGCGGCGGAAGAAGTCCATGACGCGCGACTTCTTGTGGTTCATCCAGCGCATGTAGCGCTTTCGCCACACATCAAAGTCAAAGCTGGCAAACTCCTTCAGCTGGAGCACAGCACAGCGGGAGATTTGGGCGGCTTTTAGCGTGTTACGTTGATCCGCAGGTTACAGGATGCAATCTTTTTCCCTGAATTAAAAAAAAAAAGTCTGGGGTGCATCTTATATTCCAGTCGCCTGGGCGTGAATGTCCAAATCTGTACAGCATAATTGATACAGGGCACAACTTTGGAGTGTGTCGTACTTTCTGGAGGGTCTAATAATTCAGAGAAAATAGTAAAAAAAAAATAATTCCTCCAGTTTTGTCACGAGGCGAATAATTAATTTGGATCGCTCATCGAGCAGTGCAGCTATTTGTGTTCGAGAACGATCCGCAGAAGTGGATACCAAAGTACTACCCTCCCCAGGTTCACCTTCAATTAACCTTTACCCCCATGCAGTAGGGGGCAGGAATTTATTACCTGCTCCGCTATTCATAGCAATGCATGAGAGTCAAACTAAGATCTATTTCTCAGAGCTAATATTAGGCAAATGAAGGGATGGCAACCAACATCATATATATTGTTTTGCATGTGCGGTAATTGGTGACCAGGCTGAGACTCCCAGTTAAATCATCAATGTGACGCAGCCAGGGGGCTGCCTGGATTCGAACCCAGGTTCTCAACGGTGCCGGCTCAGCGTTCCGATCTCTTCGCCACCTGGCCACCACAGAAGCTTTTCAGAAATCAGAATCTTCATTCATCCTGGAGGAATCAGACGAATTGCGAAGCTCTTTTTCAGTCGTCAATGGTTAATATGCCTAACTCGCCAAGAATGGGGCGCCACGGTGGCGAGATGTTAACTCCCTCGCCTGGTATACAGGAGGTCGTGTGGGTTCGATCCCGACCCTGACGCCTGCTGCTGTATATTTGGAGTTTGCATGTTCTGTCTTCCCGGGGTTCGCGTGGATTTTTTAGAAACTTGCGTTTAGATTATTTAGCTCCAAAACATTTCCATATAATACGCCACGCCGTTGACATATCATTGCTGGCCAGGTCGCTTCTGAAAAGAAAGAGCCATTTAGCTCAGTGGGCCTTCTTACCTGGTAAAATAAAAAAAAAACATTGTTTAGCATAGCAATGCCCCTTCCGCACGCACACACACACGTCGCTCGCTCGCTCACCTCGGTGAGGCGGTCCAGCTCGTCCTGGAGCTTCCTCTGCCGGTCCCAGGCCATGAGCCACACCTGGCGCCACTTGTTGAACAACAGGTTGACGCGGGGGTTCTGAGCGTCCAGGGGAGAGGGCCCTAGGGCGGGACCCGGAGACGGCCCGGCCATGCCCACTCTTTTCTCTGTTCGACGCGCGGACAGGCGGGGAGAAAGGGGACGATTCATTTGGTGTCTTCTCGTCGTTCGCTGTCGTTCGCTCGTATTCGTGTTTGCCACCGCGTCGGTTGCGAGTGAGACGGACTTATCGATGTGCTGCCCGCGCAGCTTTCTATTCAGATGCGATGCTTTGCATGGATTTGCATTTCACGTGAAGAGCATTGCAAGTAATAAATGATTATGAGAGATTAATCGTGATGTGTAAGCCATAGGGTGCCATGGATGATGATGACGATAGTCTACGAACGAGAAGACAAATGACCACGATGTCAATCACATCAATAACCTCTTAATTTGTCTTCAATGGCCCTTTGTTGGTGTGCGTGGAATTCCTTAACCTTACGCAGAACCTCGAATGATGCCGGCCAACACTACGCTCGACAGGAGTGACGCACAGCTCAGTTCAAACTTTCCTCAACCAACCCAGCGTGTGAGTGGGTGGAGTGGTGGATCAATGGTTAGTGCACTACACTCTGAGCCCAGGTACCCGAGTTCAAATTCCCGAGCCAGGGCTAACGTCGGCGAATGGTAGGGCCATTGAGTGAGCAATCGGATGGGTGGTTGAGTGAGTCAATGGGTGGGTGGTTGAGTGAATGGGTGGGTTGCTTGAGTGAGCGGATGGCTCGTTGAGTGAGCGAGCGGACGGGTGGCGGGGATGAGCAGGATGGGGGATGGCCTGTAGACTCACTGCCGCGCGTCCGGTCGAGCGTGGGGATGTGTGAGTGCGCCTCGGCTGGCTGCTTCCTCTTGAACGTCTTGGTCAGCTTGTCCACGTCCGGCTGCTTCTGCGTCATCTCCTCCATGAACGCCTTGAGCGGGCAAGGGGACGGGAGAAGGGATGCGTTGAATTGGCACGGCGGGGTGACGTCGATTCTATCGGCCGAGAGGATCACGTCGCGTCCAGAGTTCCAACGGGGATTATCGAGCGGATGAAACCCCCTGAGCTGCGTACACTCAGCCAGAGGACACCTCGAAAAACACCGCAGGTTTCATTCGCCTCACTTGACTTTCAAACTCTTCGGAACTAATAGTGCCGCTGTAAATACGAATTCAACCCCTATATTATAACATCGATATACACGTCCCAGCCATAACGTGCTGCATCTACCTAGCGAACCCATGACTGCTTACCCCCACCACATCTTCACCATACGCTCACCCGGCGCTCACCGCATGCTCATCACATCAGGGTGTCGGGGTCCAAATTTGCCAAATTCGAAAATGACCCACATTATTACTCAGTTGGGATTACACTCAGCAGCAATCATTCATTGCTCCCCGACTGGCAGACTAATGCCCCAGGTCACTCTTGCAAATAAGACTCATCTTGGTTTCATTGGGTTCTCACCACGTGCTCAAAACACCCTCACCACGTGCTCACCACATCCTCGCCACGTGCTCACCACACCCTCACCACGTGCTCACCAACAACCGCCATTCGCCACTAAGTGGCGGTGACTTCACCACGGCGCTTGTGCCAGGCTATGTGCACGTTGAGGCCACGTGAAGTGTCGAACCACACCCTTCACCACCTTCCCACCACGCACTTGCCACACCCTCGGCCATGAGCTCGCCATGTTTTGACCGCGCGCTCACCCACCGGAACCCACACCAACGCGGCCTTCACCGCGCGGCCTTGACCACGCGGCTCACCTGGTGCTCAGCGATGAGCGTCTTGACCTGGTCGAGGTCTTGGGGCACGGGCTGGGCCTCGCGGCCTGCGAGCGTCTCCTCGGCACGCTGCAGCCACGACAGCAGGCCGTCCATCAGCTGGGCGTTCTGCAGCAGCTCCTCCAGGAACGTCTCCAGCCGCTGCTGGTGCTGCTTGGCCCAGGCCATGACCTGCACGCGCGACGATCGATCGATCAATCGTTTAATGTGACACATATATACGCCGTTGTTTTTTTTCTTCCAGTTATGATCCCATGACGGGCGTGTACGTCATGGCAACGGAACCGGGAGAAAAAGTAAAATAAAATAATTTTCTCGGAACAGAGGCTGCCACAAGGCCATGCGGGAGGGCGTGTGGCACAGTTTGGCGCCAGCTATCGTAGAGTGTGGTCGCATCGCTACGGTTCTGTGCGGTGATTACGATGTCTTTAAGAACAACGGCGTGACGCTTCTCTTAATAAAGTGAACGCTAACCGCTCGCGCGTTCCGACATTCAGCGGCGAAGCGTGACAACCCACCCTGCAAATTGCAGTCGTCTCGGATCGGGGGAGGGTTAATTAATTAATGGTGACTTTCACTTGTGACGTCTAAATTATTCGCTCCTCGCTCTCGAAGGGGGAGGACGACTCACTCAGAGGCGCGAGGAGGAATCAGTTTCATTGTTGTCCTTCCCCCCCCGCACCTCTGATTAGCACGGTCGGCTACGTGCGGTGCGAACGAAAGCTCAACATCCACGCGCACGTGCGGGCGACCCGTTGACCTCGGACGTGCGTTTGTCTACGGGAGCATCTCGTGAGTGGCACGGAAGCCGATGGAGGGGGTGGGGGGGGGGGGCGGAGGCCGGTGGGGTGCTGCACCTCTTCAAAGCGGGCGCGGATGATGGTCAGCCAGTACTTGATTGTGGTGACGGCGTCCGGGTGGCTGAGCCCCAGGATGGCCTCCCCCATCGCCGTGGCCCGGTTCAGCTCCGCCAGTCGCTCCTCCAGCTTCTTCATGAACTCCTGCGGCAATGCGGGGGGACGGCGTCAGGGGGTGCGGGCGGGGAGACAGAGCGATGGGGTGGGCGTTCTCCGGTGACTGATGTAACCGCTGGCCGTCGACGGGCCTCCTCGTTTTGTTAAGTGTCTGTGTATGTGCAGTGCTATCGACAAACGCGTTGAGATTGTGCGTGTCGTGCTTCTGCATCACTGCCAGTGCTAAATTAAAACGGAACTTTATAGCAGGCAAATACTCTTAAACGCAATATCAGGATTATTGTGCTGTCATTCGGATCCATCCGGCTACTTGTCTGTATGTATGTTGAATTTCTTTCGGACCGCACGTAGCCAATCTTGCTGATCAATCTATATGATTTAAAAGTATCGCAAGGAAGAACGTTCCAGACGGCCGCGGAAGTACATATGACGGTGCGCGATGCGGCGACCGATGGAATTGTTGGAAATCCCAATTGGGGGGGGGTGGTGAGTGGTGGGGTGGTGGGGTAGAGGGGGGGGTTGGCATCACCTTGTGCGTCTCGATGAGGGTGCAGAGGGCCTCCTCGTCATCCGGCAACGTCCCGTGGAAGCGCAGCGTCTGCTCGGCCTCCGCCAGCCACTCAAGCAGCGAGTGGACGGCCGCGTGGAACTCCTCCGCCTTGGGGGTGGGGGGTTGCGAGAGCGAGCGAGCACGGGGCACGCGCGCGTGTAAACACGGGGCACGCGCCGCGCAGCATGGTGTAGCACCTCCGATTAGCGCGGTTGGCTACGTACGTAGCATCGCGTAGCGTGGTGTGACGTCGTGTTATGGTGCAGCACAGTGTGGCGCGGCGCGACGCGATGCGGCACGGTCTGGCGTGGCGGCGACGTGGCATGTTGCGGGACAACAGCGTGGCAAAGTGCGGCGCGGGTGTGGCACGGTGTAGCACGGCGCGGGTGTGGCACAGTGTAGCACGGCGCGGGTGTGGCACGGAGCGGCCCCGGCGCAGTGTGACGCGGGTGTGACGTGGGCGTGACGCGGGTGTGACGTGGGTGTGACGCGGGTGTGACGTGGGTGTGGCGCGGGTGTGACGTGGGTGTGACGCGGGTGTGACGTGGGTGTGGCGCGGCATGGGGCACCTGCTTGAGTGCCACCTCGAGGCGCGCCTGCTTGGTGACGGACAGGCGGCACACGCTGTCCCAGCGGGTGCCCAGCTCCGCCATCTGCACCTTCACCCAGGTGGCGTCGTCCCGCGACGACTCGGCCAGGTCGCGTGCCGAGCGGCGCAGGGCGGCCACGCCACCGCTCCGCTTGCCCAGCTCTTTCTGGAACACCTGCGGCGGTGCGGGGGGAGGGGGGAGATACAACAACACAGCACGAAAGAAGTTCAACGTACGTACGGAGCAACATGGATTCTTCACCGTCCGCGTCTCAACACGGATGGCGGCGTCGAGACGCTGTACGGAAGCACTGCGCTTGTTACGTTTCCAAAGAGACGCGGCCCAATATCTCTATGCGAGTCTGAGTTTCCACGTGAGCCTACGGGTGTCTGTGCGAGTAATTACAATACAGTTACGTATGCGGCAGCGGCTGTGCCTCTCTGAGACAAGTTCAAAACTTCAGAGGTGTAGCCCGCGAGCGAGGTTACATCACTTCCTATGATGTCAGTTCCTGCTGAGCCACTTCCTTCCATGCCGACCCTCCACCCCGCCCACCCTCACCGCGCCCCTCCCCCGGCCCGCACCCTTGCCCACCTTGTGCGAGTCGATGAGATTGAGCACGAGGTCCAGGTCCCCGTGAACGGGCTGGTCCTCGGCGAGCTGCGGCTCCACGCGGTACAGCCAGTCGACCAGAGCCTGCAGGGCGTCGGCAAACTGCCCCGAGAAGAGCAGAGCCTCCTCCAGCTTGTTTTGCCTGTGAGAGGGGGGGGCGCGGGGGGGGGGGGGGTCGGGGGAGGTCACGTGGGCATTACTAAACTAGACGGATGATGATGATATCAATGATGATCATCTTTATGATGATGATAAAACTATTTTAAACTGTATTTATATTATATTTATATTCTTGGTTCTTTCGGTAAAGTCACGTGGAAGGGAAACAGCACCTTTTTCAAATTTTCTTGCTGTGGTTGTCACACCTGATGATGATTGCTTGCGTTGCAGTCGAAACGTCGTGAGAATTTTATTGTTTTATATTTTTATTATTTTATTGTTTCCCTTCTACGTGACTTTCCCGAAAGAACCAAGATTATGAATCCCTGCAGTCACGAAAGCTTTAAATTAAAATTTATATTACCACTGAGCTATATAGCTGTATTTTTTCCGAACGACCTGTTCACAGATGATAGCTCAACGAAGTGGCTTATCATCATGTGGAAATTTATAGCAGCAGCCAAATACTCTTAACGCACATTGATTTTATATGTGCAGGGGGAAAGTGCCTTATCATTACGTGTAAATGTTTCGCAGTAGCCACATTCTCTAAACGCGTGACGTTGATTCTTAATGTGGAGAGAAAAATCGGAGTACCCAGAGAAAAATCCACGCGACCACGGAGGAGACAGACATCCAAACTCCAAATATACAGGTGTCAGGGTCGGGATGGAACACACGACGTCCTGTATACCAGGCGAGGGAGTTAACATCTCCTGGCCACCGTGGCTGGCACCCCCTCCCAGAGCGCCCGCAACTGAGTAAAAATGCGACGATTGCAGTCCCTTACTCACAGCACGTGACCTATCCCGGGCGGTGTGTCGCGGGCGGCGCTTTCGCTCACCTCTCCACGGACTTGCCGCACACGGTGTCCCAGCGGTCGCGCAGCTCGCTGAGCATGTCGTCCAGCCGCTGCTTGTCGTCCTCCTGGGTGGCGCGCTCGCGCATCAGCCTGCCGCCGCGTGCCGTCCCGTCGTACGCCGGCTGCTTCCCGCCCAGCGCCCTCTGGAACTCCTGCAGCGCCCGCGATAGTGGGGCGATCGGAGGAAAGGGAAACGCCGCGTTCGCCGTGACGCTTTCTCCAAGGCGTTTGTTCTTCGGTGTTTGTTTGGCTGGAAGCTACGTCGCCGCCTGCCGAGCCGCGTGGCGATACGCGTGGCGGCGATACGCGTGGTGGCGTCGCGGAGAGGCGAGGTGCACGCGTGGCGAGTGACATCATTGCCTTGGCCGAAGAGGCGTGTACATTCAGTGCTGGACGTTTATATTTCTCTATTTTTTTTGGCTGTTTTTTTTTATCGGGTAAGTCGTGCATAGGAATGCAACCCTAGACTAAAATGTAATTTACCCTACACTAAAATGTAATCAAACTAGAAGCGGATACATTCTGTAAATTATTTTATGATTTTACGGTTTTTTCCATAATTTCATCAACAAAAATGTTTCATTCTAACATCTCATCGAATCGAAACGCTTGATGACATTTTCAAATTCATCATCCGGATCTGGCTGTGCCACCTCTGCCCACCTTGTGCTTGGAGAGTTGGCACTTGATTTTGCCGGGGTCATTGGCGATGTCCAGCTCCGTGTCCAGGTTCCGCTCCGCCTCTTCCAGCCAGCCCATCAGCCCACTCCACGACTCGTGAAACTGAAAGTCGCGCAACCACCGAATTACAATTACGACCAAGATCAGCAGGCACCGTGAGATGTTAACTACCTCGCCGAGTATACAGGACATCGTGGGTTCGATCCTGACCCTGATGCATGGATTTTTTTCCAGGTCCTCCGGTTTTTTCCCCTACACATTCAGAGACACGTTTAGAGTATTTGGCTGCTACTATCAATTTCCAAAAAATAATAAGCCACGTCATTGGGACATCATTTGTGTGGCCAGGTCGCTTCTAAAAAAAAAAAGCTATATTGTTCAGTGGGCCGTACCTGGTCAAATACTTAAGAGTCATGCGTCACTTGCACCACTGCCACATGCAGCAGAAAGAGGAATGCTTTCAAGTCGGTGCAGTGTTTTTAAGCGATGAAAATACTTAGTTAGAAATAATACCACTGATGCGAAAAAAGGAGGTAGGATGTTAACACGAAAGAGATACATTTCAAGAACGTGTGAATACCTTTACGCACTGTTTAGCTTTGAAGTGTTGTTTATTCCCATTTGCTTGCATTGCCGACATGTACATGGTATTTGTCTGCGATCACTTCCTCACTGAGTGATTAAGTGATTCTGTTTGTATTTTATTATCAAAAATTCCTGTTTGTTCCGGCTGCTCAAGACACACTGTGTGGGAGATGCGGTATAAATAATAAATGATGCTGATACTTAAGCTCATAATGCTATTTACTTGACACGTGCATGTACACGAATGAAAAGTCAGCGATTTCCTGTTCAAATCAGCATTGAGGCAGTGCCCATCTCCGAGCCAGTCGTGCAAATTCCACATTCGTATGGCAGGTGACGAGTCCATGCATTCGACAATTGCTGTTGACTTCCCAACAAAGTCAACTGCAAGCGGAGACCCCCAACACATCGACAGTGGCGGGACGACGGGGGTGGGGGTAGGGGGGTAGGCACAGGATTTGAACTCACAACCATTTTCATTTGCGAGCCGCTCGTTCTCTCTCTCTCTCTCACGCCAAGCCACCAGGCCGCTCTGACATGCACACGGACGAGGCCGGCTACGGACGGGGCCAGCAACGGCCGAGGCCGGCTACAGAGCTCCACCGAACCCCCCACGGCGATGTCGGCCCGCGGGCTGGCGCCGTCACCTGCTTGGCGCGCTTGCGCGCGTCCTCAAGCGCGCGGCTGCGCTCGAGGGAGCGCTGCGCCACCTTGTCCCAGCGCGCCGACACGCTGAGCAGGAGGTTGCGGATGAGGGCGCCGTCCTGCTTGGGCGCGGCGAGCTTGAGCTGCGCGCCGGCTCGCTCCAGCTCCACCAGCGCCTCGCGCCGCCCGTTCAGCTCCGTCACGAAGATCTGGGGGAGCGGCGGCGCAGTCCGGGAGAAATTAAATAGGAAACGTGAGCGACGGCGACGACGAATTCGTGCGGTCGATGGAGAGCAGCTGTTAGGGATTCAGCTCGAAGTGGTTCAGCCGTTCACAGATGCTTTATCTGAGACTTGGTCAATTGCTGATACACTCATTTGCTCACCCATTCACCCACATATTCACCCACCCACAAACTTATCCACGCACTCAACCACGCACTCAGTCATTCACCCATCTACCCACCCACCCATCTAGTCATTCACCAATCACCTTCAAATTTTTATTTGGAGCAGAGCAAAGTTCTACGCTCCATGGTTTGGTGTCTGTAGCCGCAGTCGCACTATTTTCCACTTGCGGAATAATTGTGATGATGATTTCGAATGAGTACTCACTGCAAAGAGCAGGCAACTGCTAACAGGCAGAGACCACACGCTGCCCACTAATCATCCTTCTCGCCTTACCGCTGAGAGGCAACAACCAACAGCGCCTTCTGTTTTCGTTGGCCCAACGAAAAAAACGGATGGCACCGCTCAGGCTAAAACCATCCGCCGCCCACCGCTAGCAGGCCAACGATCGGCCCCCCCGTCCAGCGCGAGCTGCAGGCGCCGCCCGTCCGTGCGGGCCCCACCTTGTGCTCATCGACCTGGAAGAGCGCCGTGTCGAGCACGAGGCTCGGGGCCGTGGCCGTGCCGATGGTTCGCTCGGCCGCCGTAAGCCACACGATGAACTCCTGCAGAGAGTTGTGGAACTCTGTCGCCACGGAGACCGCCTCCTCCAGCTTGGCCTGGTCCACGGCGCGGAGGGAGACGTCACGAGAGAGAGAGAGAGGGTAAGATGGTGAGGCTGGTGATGGTGATGATGAGGCCAATGATGACAATGGTGAAACTAATGACGATGAGCCTGATGACGGAGATGATGGCGACGATGGGACGGTGATAACAATACGTCCCGTTACGCACGTACGGTGTTTTGAGCAGTGCCGGCCCATTTCTACCACCGCATATGTTTCGAGAGATGCATGAACAAACACAGAGAGACACACGCAGACGAACACACGCACGCGATACGCAGGCAACGCGCGCCGGTGCCTGCCCACGCGCACGAGCCCGCACCTTCCTATCGTTGAGCTTGGCGCGCACGCAGTCCCAGCGCTGCTGCAGGGCGCGCAGGCCCTGCTGGGCGCCGTTGCACGGCGGCGGCGGCGGCGGCGGCGGCGCGGCCCCCTCCTCGCCGGTGTCCTGCAGCTGGCGCCCACGCTCCAGCAGGTCGTAGTACGGGGCCTCGCGCGCCTCCATCTCCCGGCACAACTCCTGCGGGCGACCACCCCCCCGCGCCGGCGAGCCCGTCACGTCACCGCACGCACGCGCGGCCGCCGCCGTTCGCCACTAAGTGGCGGTGATGTCACCACGGCGCTTGTGCAGGGCTGCGTGGACTTCAAGGCCGCGCGAAGTGTCGAACGCCCGCTGAGTAGGTGGTCACGGGACAGAGCCAGGTGCCGCGGGTCGACTGACCGAGATGACTGGCAGATGTAGCACCTGTGCCCCCTACTGTGCCGAATTGCTGTGTTTTTAGCCGCCCGGCACCCCGCTCATTGTTCCGCAGAGACAAGGCAAAGATCCCCCGTGTAGCCTTCACATACTGTTGGGGTAAGCGCTGTTAGTGAGCACCTATGAGGGCCGGCACGACAAACGAGGGGGTGGGTGGCCAGCACCACCACGCTCGGCCGCCTTTGTCTCCCGAGTGGTGATATTTACACACCGCACCAGGCATTCGTTTGAAGATGAGTCGACCTAGGGGAGGCCCAGGACCAATTCAGATAATCGTCACTTGTGTTGGCGGTGAGCAGGAATCGAACTCGGGTCGCCGGGTTTGTCGTGCGGCACACCAACTCATGCTACCGCTCCCCACTCCCAACAGCGTTTACACACACACACACACAAAGACAAAGATCCCCTGTTTAGCGTTAACACACTGTTGGGGCGAGTGATGTTCACGAGCGCCTGTGAAGGCCAGCACGGCACACACGAGGGGGGTGGGTGGCCAGCACCACGCCCGGCCGCCGTTGTCACTCGCACACACGCCCACACATGTACATACGCACACACACGTACATACGCACACACGCACACATACGTACCCACGCACACACACGTACACACGCACACGCACGTACACACACGCACATACACACGCAACAACAACAACAACAACCGCCATTCGCCACTAAGTGGCGGTGACGTCACCACGACGCTTGTGCCAGGCTATGTGCACCTTAAGGCCACGTAAAGTGTCGAACGCCCGCTGGCAGGAGGTCACGGGGCAGACCCAGGTGCCACGGGTCGACTGACTGAGATGACTGGCTGATGCACCACCTGTGCCCCCTACTGTGGCAACCTGCTGTGCTTTAGCCACCCGGCGCTCTGCTCGTTGTTGTGAGCGTCGCTCCTCCGCCCTCCGTTGTTGTTGGAGGGCGACTGCCTCCAACTGCCCAGTAGCGTCCTTCACGAGCCTCCTCCACAGAGGCCGATCTTGACACCGCTGGAACCAGTCATTGGCAAGTCCACTCAGCTCCACGTCCTCCTGTACCACATCACTCCATCTCTTCTCTAGCCCGTGCCGCGCCCGCTTAGCCCCCTCAATCCGGCCGAACAAAAGCTGTTTCGGCATGCGGTGGCTGGGCATGAGGGCTACATGACCCAGCCATCGCAGCCTTCCCCGCCGGAGGAGCTCACCGATGGGACCCTACCCAGATATTTCAAGGATTTGTGAGCTCCTCACACAATCCAGTCTGGTTAAACCCAGGATGGATCGTAGGCAGGCCAGCCTAAATGTTTCTAACCGGTGAAGATGTTCCATTAGGGGGGTCCACGTTTCGCAAGCGTAGAGAAGGGAGGGAATGACCGTGACCGAGAAGACCTGAAGCTTAGTGCGAAGCGACAGACCAGGTAGCTTCCACACAGCGTTACGCAACCGATGAAAAGATATTACCGCTCGACTGATTCGGAGTGAGACCTCTGCTGTTAAACTGGAGCCGGTCATAAGCACACTGCCCAGGTATGGGAAACTCTCCACTCACTCCACAACTGCCCCATCACCGATTGGGAGTTGTGGGGGTGGAGTGTCCGATGGTACAAAATACCCAGGCAGGTGCTTAGTTTTGGTGGGGCTGATGGTAAGGCCCCACCTCTTAGTGGCACGCTCCAGTCTCAGCAGCAGCGTCTCCAACTCCTCCTCTGAATGAGCAGCTATTACCAAATCATCAGCATACATAACATGGTTGAGCAATAGGGAGCCATCCCTTGACCGCACCCGGGCATCGATCAGCCTCCCATTATATCTGTACCATATGGAGATTCCCCCGGTACAGCTATTGAAGGCTTCACGAACTACGTGGTCAAAATAGATGTTAAATAATGTGGGAGCCAGAGGACATCCCTGTCGCACCCCAAGGTGTACAGGGAATGGCTCTGACTCCCGACCACGTAGTTTTACCCGGGCCCGCTCACCATCATGAAGGTCCTTAATGATCGTGAGCAGAGGGTCAGGTACTCCAAAAGCACGAAGAACAACCCAGAGCCCAGGCCTACTGATGGTATCATAGGCCTTGACCAGGTCAATAAAGCAGAGATGTAGGTCTTGTTGGAATTCCCTACACCTCTGCTGTAGCAGACGGACAGAAAATATGGCATCTGTGTAGGACCGCCCTTTCCTGAAACCGCATTGGGGCTCCGCAAGCCTCTCCTCAGCGTGCCTGGCAAGGCGATGCTGAATAATCCTTGTCAGGACCTTTCCCGGCACACTGAGGAGTGAAATGCCCCTGTAGTTGTTACAGTCTGGGCGGTCCCCCTTCTTAAAAAGGGGGACCACCAGGGCATCCTTCCAATCCTGCGGAACCCGTCCAGTGGTCCAGAATGTTGTTATGATGTCATATAGGGCAGTCTGTGCACAAACGCCACCCTCCCTCAGCATTTCGCTTGGGAGATCATCTCTGCCCGCTGCCTTTCCTGGTCTCAGACTCCGGATCGCCTTCAGTACTTCCTCAACAGATGGCACCTCAGCCAGACACTCACAGGGGGTGACTCCATCCAATATTTGAGGCACCGCAGCCTCAGCAGGGTCATCCTCACTTTGTGCCACGATGTTTTCCTGGCTGAGGGGTTTTCCCTCTCCCAGGACCTCACAGAAATGCTCAGCAAATCTGCAAACCTGTTCCTGGGGGTCGGAGATTGGATAACCGTTTTTTCCCCTAATGATTGTAATAGGTGTGGCGCTGCAGGTTACTTTTTTGATGGAGTTAAATAGAGATTTGTGATCACGGGCCACTGAGGCACACTCCATCTCCTCAGCAACCCGCGACCACCACCCATCCTTGCAGCACCTCACGGCTCTCCGAACCTCCGAGCGAAGGCTGCGGTAAGCCTCCTCATTCTCTGACGTGGGATTCTGTAGCCGATGACAGTGGGCCTGTCGCTTTTTCTCAACCATCCTGAACACCTCCTCTGTCAGCCAGGGTCTCTGGGGAGGTCTGGACCGCGTACCCAAAGCAGCCATTGCAGCTGCATAAGTCACAGTCCTAAACCTCGCCCATTTACCCTCGACATCAGGAGGAGTCGGGGACGATGCCAATCCCAGCCGCAAGCGATGATGAAATTCTCGCTTGCAACTTTCATCGGATAACTGAGACCAGGCCACTTTAGGTCGGAATGGGGTCCTGGGTGTACACCCACCACCGGAGTGGAAGAATGGCAGGCGCATCTTACAGATGACTAGTCGATGGTCAGAGGGCAGATCAGCTCCACGGTAGGTCCTGCTGTCAAGGACATGGGCTCGCATCCGCTGGTCCGTCACTAAGTAGTCCAGCAGATCTTCTTGCACACACACACACACACACGCGCGTACACACGCGCGTACACACGCGCGTACACACGCGCGTACACACGCACCCACAGACGCGCTACGTCCACCAGCGAAACCTCCACACGGCGCCACCGGCGCTGCTCGCTCGTTTACCAGGTGGGCGTTGAGCTGCTCGCGCGCTGTCTCCGGCAGGCCACCCGGGGGTCGCGCCATCGCCATCTGACCATCCAGGCGCGCCAGCCACGACATCAGGCCTTGCACCTCTCCCTGAAAGCCTTGGGCCTGTAGAGGCAGAAGGGAAGGTTGTAGGGGGGTGGTGGTGGGGAGAGGGGAGGGGGGAACGATCGATTCAGATTATGGTTTCATTCTTCGATATATTTCACTCGACGTGACACCCTCGGACTATAGTTTAAAAAAATAACAACATCTCACTGCTTTTCCAATGTGATCACGTGCGAAAAGTCTGCCATCTAGCAGCGGCATCTATAAATATAAACGTGCGAGAATTATGCTTTTTTTATTACCGAAATTGCACTTACCCATGTTACAGCATTGTCAAAAGTCTCGTTACTTATTTCAATGGTCTTGTATAAAAATTACAGCCTAATTATTATGAGAGTTGGCGTTCGCCATTTGTCACGGGCGAGTATCGTCTGCAGTGGTTTCACAGCGATGATGCCTCGTGCTTTCTACCCAATTAAGTAATTTGTGAGGAATTACGATATTTTTTTGGGCAAATTTGGACCGTGACACCGCCACACAGGGGCCCCACCTCCCTTTAAAACAACGTCACGGAATCTGCGAACGTTCACCGTGAAGTGCACGACGCTTCAACACTTGTTTTTATTATTTTATTTTTACCAGGTAACACCCACTGAGCCAAGATAGCTCGTTTTCAGAAGCGACCTGGCCGCAGACGATGATAGCTCAACGAAGTGGCTTGCCGCGTGGAATTTTCCAGCAGCCAAATCATACGAACGCAAGTGGATTCTCAAAGTGGAGGGGAAAAAACCGGAGGATCCCGAAGAAAAAATCCACGCGACCACAGGGAGAGAGTCACGCAAACTCCAAATATACAACAGCAGGCGTCAGGTTCGGGATCGAACCCACCATCTCCTCCATACCAGGCGAGGTAGTTAACGTCTCGCCACCGTGGCGCCGCACGCACGCAGTGTTAACCAGGGCGGTCGCTGGGGCTACAACCGCGAACCTCCGCAACGAGTGTCAACAACGACGGCGCAGCAACAGATGCTCGCCCTCGCGAGCAGCGCGGACGTCACCTGCTTGAGGGCGGCCTCCAGCTGGCGCTGCCTCTCCTCCGTGTGCTTCAGCACGGCCTCCCAGCGGCGGCCCAGGTTGCCGAGCCGGCCCCGCAAGGCGCTCGCCTCCTCGCCGTCCGCCTGCCGCACCAGCCGGCCGCCGGCCTCGCTCACGCTCTCCACCGTGGACTTGTGCGCCAGCACGTCATTCCGCAAGACCTGCCGGGGTGTGCGGGGGAGGTGGGGAGGGGGAGAGGATGCACCCTCGCCGCGTTTGTATGCGTGGTGCAATTCTTTCCCTCCCACTAACGATTTGCAGAAATAATAAGCCACTTCATTGGGAGGCGCAGGGGAAGGAGAACAAACTAAACGCAAAAAAGCATTTCTAAAGACATGAGCGGCAAGTAAGCGAGCGAGTGGGTGGGTGAGCGAGTTGGTGAGTGAGTGGGCGAGTGAGTAAGTGAACAAGCAGGTGGGTGAGTGAGCGAGTGAGTGGGTGAGGAGAGTTGGTTTGTGAGTGGGTGAGCAAGTAAGCGAGCAAGTAAGCGAGCAAGTGAGTGGGTGAGCGAGCGAGCGAGTGGGTGAGCGAGCGATTGGGTGAGTGAGCGAGTGAGTGGGTGGATGAGCAAGCTAGTGAGTGAGTGAGCGAGCGGGTGAGCGAGTGAGCGAGCGAGTGAGTGGGTGAGCGAGCGATTGGGTGAGTGAGCGAGTGAGTGGGTGGATGAGCAAGCTAGTGAGTGAGTGAGTGAGCGAGTGGGTGACCGAGCGAGCTAGTGAGTGAGTGAGTGAGCGAGCGGGTGAGCGAGCGAGCGAGCGAGTGAGTGGGTGAGCGAGTGGGTGAGCGAGTGAGTGGGTGAGCGAGCGGGTGAGCGAGTGAGTGAGCGAGTGAGTGGGTGAGCGAGTGGGTGAGCAAGTCGGTGACCGAGCGAGCTAGTGAGTGAGTGAGTGAGCGAGCGGGTGAGCGAGCGAGCGAGCGAGTGAGTGGGTGAGCGAGTGGGTGAGCGAGTGAGTGGGTGAGCGAGCGGGTGAGCGAGTGAGTGAGCGAGTGAGTGGGTGAGCGAGTGGGCGACTGGCGCTGCGCTTACGTGGTGCTTCGCTAGCTCAATCTCGATGTGCCGGGGGTCTCCGGTCGCCGTGCGTTGCTCGGCCAGGAGCTGCTCCGTGTGGCCCAGCCAGGCAAGCACCTCGGAGAGGGCGTGCTGGAACTGGCCCAGCGCCAGCAGCGACGCCTCCAGCTTGTGCTGCAGCACCACGACAACAACAGAGCAGAGAGATGTTAACTACCTCACAGGTCGGTGGGGGTGGGGATGTGGGATGTGGGGGGGCGGGGGCGGTCACGATTGTCTTGGCCTTCGTTACCACGATAATCAGAATTAAAATATTTATCCTGGAGAAATCCGATGAGCTATGAAGCTCTTTTTCACAGGTGTCCAGTAGGAGAGGGTAAGAAAGTTACAACACAGATGTCCAATTGGGTCGGTGGGGGGATGTGGGACGCGGGAAGCGGAGGTCACATTTATCTTGGTCTTCGTCACCGCGATGATCAGAATCGGATCATTTATTTATCCTGGAGAAATCCGATGAGCTATGAAGCTCTTTTCCACGGGCGGTGGTGTCGGGGCAGGGGGGGGTGAGTCTCATGCGGCTGCCACCGACTGCAGCCAGCGGGCGGCACCTGTCGCGTGACGATCTTGCCGTCGAGTGAGTCCCACCGACGTCGCAGCTCGACCAGGGGAGACCTTAGCACTTCCTGCTGCGGGGGATCCTCGCAGCGCCGCAGCAGCAGCTCGCCCTGGTGTGTCAGCCGCTCCATCTCCATCTGCTGGCCGTACGCCTCCGCCTTGAACGCCTGCGTGCGGGGAGGGAGACGCGGGCCGGAGGGAGCGAACGGTGTGTCAGAGCGACGGGAGCGCGGATCATGTCGGAGTGGCGTGCGCGGAGACGCTGGCCATCGAACAAACATGGTCGACGCATCGCGTGACTCCCGCTCTGAGAATTGAAAATGTCGATCTGATCTATCATGCGACAGACATTTATCAGCGGCATGGCATGTAGAAAAGTGTAATACTCCTCGTGGTCACTTGAAGGGATCTCAGAAGTAGTTCTGTGATATCTCATTCCGCGGGCCGCCCTCTAACATTGGTTGATGCACTGCTCTGCGAGAGTTCCGAATATACAGACACACATCAGCGTAACAACATGACGCCGATAGCCCACGTGGAATAAAATCGTAAAAAAAGACAAAACGAAAACTCTAGGTGGCTGTGTGACCTGTCGATTAACGCGCAGTTCTCCGAGCCAGTTCGCACTGCATCCGACGGTTCCACAGCAGCAAGACTTACAGCTTTCCCAACAGACCTACAGGTATTCTTAGCTCTTTCGGTAAAGTCACGTTGAAGGGAGACAATAAAATATTAATATATATATAAAACAATACAAATTCTCACGACGTTTCGACCATAACACAAACGGTCGTCATCAGGTGTATGATGACGACCGTTTGTGTTATGGTCGAAACGTCGTGAGAATTTTTATTGTTTTATATATATTTTATTATTTTATTGTCTCCCTTCAACGTGACTTTACCGAAAGAGCTAAGAATATGAATTACTGCAGTCACGAAAAGCTTTAAATCAAAATTTAGACCTACAGGTGTCGTACCACCAGTCGGTCGCAGATCGTTTGTCTCAGGGAATTACCAAAGCGCGCATCATGCCCGAAAGTGGACATCAAAGGAGTCCTCACCTTGAGCTCCTCCATCTGCCGCTTGACGCTCTCGAGATCGGTGCCCACTGGCGGCATGGCTGCCAGCTTTGCCTCCGCCATGTCCAGCCAGTCGAACATGCCCTGTGCACACAAACGCGCTTCGTTCAGTTGCCGTTTCATCGTCACGGTGCAGCAACCACTCGCTGGCTCGCTCGCTCGCGCCACCGCTGGCAGAAAGGCCTCCACTCGAGGGGATTGTGGCCTAACTCTCAAACCGTGGCCACACGCTTTACTCCGTCACGCGCGGACCTGCCGACTGGCTGCGGCATAACCGCTTACAATGCTGGGGAGATTGAACTTATGACCTCTGGATTGCAATGCCAGTGTGCTACCCACGACATCAACGACATCCATTGACAAGGGTAGTTTTATTATTATCTATGGGTATAAAGATACTAACTGGGGTTGAAGGAGTGGCACAGTGCTTAAAGTGCTCTACTGCTTTTTGCGTGCTGTGAACCCGGCAAGCTGAGAATCAAATCCCGACTACGGCGAGTGACTTCGGAACTTGTCCTGCGCCTCCTCCTTTACAAACTCACCCTGCCGAGCATGGTCAAGTTCGGTCAAATAGCCCCCGTGACCGACACGGCACAGGGGAAACTTGTATCCAGCAATGGATTGATCGTGGCTGATGGTGGTTATGATGATGCATTTCCTTATCGATGCCTGGTATCAATTTTAGACAGATGGTATCAACAGGTATCAACGGGTCGTACTTTGGACATCTATGAAAACTACTGGACATCTGTAAAAAAGAGCTTCACAGCTCATCGGATTTCTCCAGCATAAATAAATATTTTTATTTCGTTTTCGTCGTCGCTACATCTCTGTTTCACAGGAGACATTTACGCGACCTTTCCCAATATCAAACAACGAACGAAGGTGGTGGAATTATGTAATATATATGTGTAAGATATGGGCTGCAAGGCATCTTGGGTATATAATCCCACGATTTCTTTGCACGCCCTCCTGGGCGCGTGGACGAGTGGCGAGGGTGGGGGAGCCTCCCACCTGCAGCGCATCCTGAAATTGGATGGTGGCCTGCATGGCGTCATCCAGCCGCTCCATTCGTTCCCTCCACGTGCGGTTGACGGTCTCCCACAGGCTGTTCAGCTGAGAACGAGAACACACACGAAACATTTCCATGAAGACGCAAAGACCCCCCTCCCGCAGTAGCCTTTAACGGACTGTTAGCGAGCGCCTATTAAGGCCGGCACGGCACGTGAAGAGGGTGTGGTGTGGACAGCACCACGCGCGGTTGTCTTTTTTTCCCCGAGGGCCGAGGTTTACACACCGCACCAGTTACTCATTTGACGCTGGGTCGACCTAGGGGAGCCCCAGCTTCGGTTCAGATACATACGTCGCTGATGGTGGCCGCGAGCGGGAATTGTACTCGGGTCCCTGGGTTCTTGCCACACTCCACTACCGCTCCCCACACGTACACACACCCACACACATATATCCATTCACGCACACAGAGAAACATAGAACATGTGTACTGTGGCCGACATTCATTCATTTAGAAATATATAATGGGACTCTTGCACTTTCAACCAGTTTGTGAAGTTGGTTAATATTTTGTAAGTCTCAATAGTGCTCACCCCGACCGCATCTCACAAACCAATTGCTGAATGGTCCTGCATCTACGCTCCAATCTCAACCCGCACTGACCAGCGTGGTAAAAGACGATTCAAACAACACTCACAATCTGCACAGCGTGTAGAGGTCCCGCGCCTCCGATGAGCACGGTTGGCTACGTACGGTGCGAAAGAAGTTCAACGTACACACGCTGTTCGTGGACATCCCACTAGCCAAGGTGGTTCAGCGGCTCAGTGAGCGGCTCAACGTGGGAAGATGTCGAGCTCAAAACCTGGTGGGGGATTGTTGACTCAGCCCATCATCCCTTGGGGGTTGATAACATTAGTACCACTTTGTGTGTGTGAAAGTCAGCTATGGTCGTCCTGTAGATAGACTCACCCCCAGCCAACGTACTGTGGAATTTCCGCAGCTGGCTCGGGGGCCACAAACGGCACAGGTGAGCACTGTTGCAATGCAAGCACGTACACACGCGCACACACACGCACGTACACGTACGTACGAGTTACAGGTCTCACCTCGTCGATGCTTTTCTTCACCTCAGGCTTGTCGGGGTCGCCGCAGGCCGCCATGAGCTCGCAGCCCACTCCACCCAGGGTGTCCAGCTCGGCCTGCAGGCCGTCCGAGTCTTCCTTCAGGGCCTGGCGGGGGCCGAGGGTGGCGGTGCGTGAGGCAAAGGGAGAGAGAGAGCCCCGGGCGGCGGGGCGATGAGAGGCGACGGCTGTTTGAAATTTGGCGCTCGTTTTTTATCGACGCCGTGCGGACGTCGTGGGCGAGTTGACTCCCTGCCGCGGACTCAGGGTAAGTCTACAACCGCCATTCGCCACTAAGTGGCGGTGACGTCACCACGACGCTTGTGCCAGGACAAGTCACACGCTCGATGACATCCATACGGTGATCACGTCATGTTCGAGTTATCCGTATCACGTTGATTACAGCGCAAGCAAGATTGCATCGCAAGTGTTATCATTACAAGTCGTGCGGTGGTTAGCGTGTGCTGAACATTCACAAGGTGTAAGATGCATATGGTGACCATGACAATGTGGCTAACAGTGGTGATGACAATGGCTAAAATCATGATTAATGATGATGATTATGATGATGATGATGTAGATAATCACGTGCAGGATGGTAAATGATTGCAATGACAATGATAAAGATTGTGATGACATAATAGAGGTTTTTTGGGGTTAGATCGCGTAAATATGGAAATGTGTCGTTAAAACCCGCCACCACCCGACACAGCCAACCAGTAAGGGTTGTCACGAAAAAACAGAACGTGGCCAGTTCGTCACTAGTGCAGCACGACTTAAAGCTAATCAAGCACCACTTAAAGACTGTGCTGACGTTGAATGAAACCATGACAACGATGGCGAGCGTGATACGGGAAGATCGCGTTCATGAGGATGAAGTGACGACAACCGTGACAACAACAACGACGACGACGACAACAACAACAACGACGACAACAACTTTACCTGCATCGCCTCCTGCTGGAGTTTGATGAGCGAGGGGTCGAGGGCGGGGTCGCCGAGGTCGCGCAGCGCGTCGTGGGCGTCGCGCAGCGTCGCCGCCAGGGCCGCGTGGTCGTACCAGAAGCGCTCCGACAGCTCCAGCACGTCCAGGAGGTGTCCCTCGCGCTCCTCCGCACGCGCCGCGATGTCGCCCCACAGGAACACCAAGCGGTCCATGCGCTCCTGTACGCCTGGTGGGGCGGGGTGGTGGTGGGGAGGGTCCGCAGGGGGTTGCAGGTGGGGTGCGGGGGGGTGGGAGAGTGGAGGCAGTGGTGGTGGAGGGGGGGGTGGAAGGGAGAAGAGGGAGCGGGCAGATAGAGGCGAGGATCGCGATGATTCGCGGCGACGTTCTCCGCGAATCGACGATTTGGAGGCCAAGATTCGGTTGCGGGTGGCCAGGTACCACTATATCTGGACATCAGTGAAAAAGAGCTTCATAGCCCATCGGATTCCTCTAATGCAAATACATATTCTCATGTTTATATATATTTATTACACCTAACCGGAATGGGCAGAACGACGCGTGGCATCGTGAGCGTGAGAATCGAAGTGGAATCCTCGAATCGTTACACGCCAGGCGTAGGTTCGTGCAAAGCGAAACGAGATTAGAAATGTGCCTCCCGCATTCGCCAAGCGAGGCTGCATTCGGATGCCTGACCTAATGTTCACAACTGTCTTTAACGTGTCATTTTTTAATAATAGGCTTTTTTCCACTTTTTTCTGGCAACAAAACTGAAACCTTTTTTTTTTACAAGGATCCATGTCTGCATTAACCACAATACCTGCAGTCAAAATGCAAACAAAAAACATACTATGATAATATATGCATTGTCCTTGGTGTGGACCAATCAGTTTGAAGGACAATGCATATATTATCATAGTATGTTTTTTGTTTGCATTTTGACTGCAGGTATTGTGGTTAATGTAGACATGAATCCTTGTAAAAAAAGGTTTCAGTTTTGTTGCCAGAAAAAAGGGGAAAAACCCTATTATTATATTTTGGTACTGGCAAAAGAGGTCTAATGATGTTAAATTTTTCGTTCATTGACAAAGATCACACCAGGAAAATGCCACCTTTCGAAATATAACTTCTCTCGCGAGAAACGCGGAGAGCTAGTCGCACTCCTGCGTCCAACCACACCCCCGCACCCCTTCTGCAGTTTAAATCGAATCGCAACGCAGCCAACGGTGGTGCGAGGCTCTCGCGCCTAACCTGGGACGCGCCGACCTCGGTAAATTCAGCCTCAGTTAATGTGTCTGACAGCTGACACCACCGAGTCACCACCCCTGAACCTCGGTGGAAATGGACCGCCGTGACGTATTTCTCATCGCCTATGTTTAGAAAGGTTGACTCATAAAAGTAGTTTTTTTCTGTTTTATTATTATTGTTGCCCGTGGCTGTGGGACGCTTCGACTGAGCTGCCCCTTGCGAGAGACAAGTCCAATGTATTTAAGGCCACTGCATTACAATCCCATATAATCCATACGGTGCCATATGATAATTACGCAATAGATGATAACGATTCTGATCAGCGCAACGATGAACACCCAAGGCAAAGACGAGACCCACATCCCTCCACCGCCACCAAACCCCACCCCCCCCCCCCACCCCCCCCCCCACCCCCACCTCTCGCGGCGAACCCCTCCTCGGACGACACGGACGCCGTCCTCTGCCGCCCGCCCTCCGGCGGCGGCGGCGGCGCGTCGAGGGCGAGCGAGCGGGCGACGAGCTCCTCGCCGCGCGCCCGCAGCGCCTTGAACGACGGCTCCAGCTTGTCGAGCTCGGTGGCGACGGCGCGGTTGTCCGACAGGTGGTCGCGCAGCTTCTCCGTCTCGGCGGGCACGGGCGGCGGCGAGCGCAGCCGCTCCGAGATCCGCTCGAGCGCCTCCAGCATCGGCTCGATCTTCTCGTGGAACTGCGCGGTCGCGGGGCAAAGCACCCGGGCGTAAATCTCACGGAGCACCGCGGCTGCCCTCCCCCCCACCCACGTTGTGTGTGTGCGCGTCACCTGACGGCCGCGCTTTCACAGAATCATGCTACAAGAGGCTGCTGTGTCGCGCACGCCAACGGAGGGCGCACTTTTCCACGCGCGCTCTGCGGCGAGATCGGCGCTCGTCGCATGACAAAGGCGTTTCGACACTGCAGAGCTGGAATTTACACGAATGCAAGTGTATAGCCTCTAAGTTTTTTTCATAAAAAGACCCTTTTTTTGTTGTTGAAGTTCTTAGTGACTCATTAAAAACCTGACACCCCGGCTTCATCACGGAGAGCTGAAACCTGGATTCGAACCGAGGACCTCAGCGTTAACCATCGAACAAAGACGTGCTTCTGGAACGCTCTTCATTTCCGATATTGCGAAGCCACCGAAGCTATACACTTTCGAATAATCTAGATTGAAAACTAATTTCTTGAGGAACTGATTTTTGCGTTTAGTTTGTTGTACTTCCCTCGTACTGTGCGAAAGAAGTTCAACGAACACACATGGACTCGCATTTCAAACACTGACGTTGATAAAAAAAAACCGAAAAAAACACTGCAAATAGTGCCAATGACTCAACAGAACCAACGCTATCCAGTTCGGCAATATCACCTGGCAAGCTCAGCCGTGAGCTGTGAAATGTAAATATAATTCAAGCACGCGTTTATTTGCTTTAGTTTTGAATCTCGTGACGGTGTTTGGACGACGGCAGATTGGGAGTGAGCCAGGGTGAAATTGAAAGCAGGACCCCCCCCCCCCCCCCCGTCACTTCAACACTCGGCTCTTGAGAAGAGAGGCTGACAGCGGCGGTGGGAGGATGAGTGAAGTTAAGACTTGTTGGGTCCTCTGCTGCCATACTCGCCACACGTTCAGCCGGCAGGACTTAATTAATGCCGATGACGACGACTCGCAGAGTAAGCAATCCAAATTCTCACCGCATTTCAAGACACTGTACGGAACAATGGCACACGGGCATCCTGGGGAAATGATGCACAACTGAGTTATTTATTTGTTTTGTAGAGAGCGTGCAAGGGCCGGTCAGTCGCAGTCAGAAAAAAATAGGAATGTCTCGAGCCTGGACTTGAACAGGGCACGGATGACTGGGGGATTGAGTTCCAGGAGCAGCAAGATCAAATTCTGTCAAACACGAGAGGGCAAAGGGAATAAAGGCGGACGCATCCCTTCCATCCCTCCATCATTCCCATCCCTCCCTCTCATCCCTCCCTCCCTCCCTCCCATCCGTCCATCCCTCCCTCCCTCCCTCCACTCCCTCCACAACATCCCTCCCATCCCTCCCTCCCTCCCATCCGTCCATCCCTCCCATCCCTCCCTCCCTCCCTCCACTCCCTCCACAACATCCCATCCCTCCCATCCCTCCCTCCCTCCCTCCCATCCGTCCCTCCCTCCCTCCACTCCCTCCACAACATCCCATCCCTCCCTCCCTTCCTCCCTCCCTCCACTCCCTCCACAACATCCCATCCCTCCCTCCCTCCCTCCACTCCCTCCACAACATCCCATCCCTCCCATCCCTCCCTCCCTCCCATCCGTACATCCCTCCCATCCCTCCCATCCTTCCCTCCCTCTCCTCCTTCCTCCTCAACCCATCCCTCTCCCCTGCCCATCCCACCTGCGAGGAGAGCTCGACGGCCTCGTCGAGGGCTCGCGCCCGCTGGAGCACATCGTCGCGGATGGCGGCGTAGAGCTGCTCGCACGACGCCTGCTTGTCCCGCACCGCGCCGCCCTCGCCGGCGCTCAGCTCCGCCAGCCGGGGCCCGGTCTTGCGCAGCCGCTCCACGTGGGGCTTGTGCTCCGCGATCGTCTCGCGCAGGTGCTGCGCGTGCACGGGGCGAGCGTGCGTGCGTAGAGTTGCGGCGCGGGTGTGCGAGGGAGTGGGGCACACGTCCACGCAAAGACAAGAGGTCTGCTGTCAGCGGCGATGGCGTGGGTTGGCGTGGGCCTCGGTACAAGGAACGGAACGAGATGGACGATGTAATTTTTATGATGGTGGTAAAACTATTTAAACAATTTCATTTTACCTGGTAAGGGCCCACTTTGCTATAAATCTCTTTTTCTGAAGCGACCTGGCCACAAATGATAGCTCAACGACGTGGCTTATCACGTGCAAATATATCGCAGCCAAATATTTTAAACGCATGTGATTCTAAATATGAAGGGAAAAAAACCAGAGGACCTCCTCTATACCAGGCGAGGCAGTTAACATCTCGCCACCGCGGCGCCCCCCTGATGACAACAACAAGGTCGAAACCTCTCGAAGCCCTCCTTTGGGACACATTACGATGCTGATAATGACACTGCCAACAACGATACAAGCGGAACAAAATTGAGAAATAAAAGACCCAAGAAACATTTGAAACACGCACGACTTAAAAATAGAACACGTGCTTGCAGTCACGACGGCTTTTCAACCAGGCAGGTCCTATCGGCGTGGATGAAACAGGGGTCGTCAGGTCTATGCGACTTTTGCACACAAGAGGTCTCTCCCGTTTCACCGCACAACTCGGCCGATTATTCTCTCATTAATCAGCCCCGACACTGATTATGTCGCCGACATAAGCATCTCGCGTAGGCAAGCGGAATGGACACCACGACTTAAATATTCAATTTAATTAGCAGCGATCCTGCATTTCTGCATCAACCAACCTGCTGACCTTTATAAGGTTACGCGTGAAGAGAACACGACAGCAGATGTATGTTTTTGGCATTTACAACATACACACGCAAATCCATGCATGTGCAAAGACAAAGATCCCCCGTATAGCCTGAACAGACCGCTGGGGCAAGTGCCGGCACGGCACACGAGGAGGTGGAGTGGACAGCACCAGCCCCGGCCGCCTTTGTCTCCCTCGTGGTGATGTTTATACACCGCACCAGGTACCCATTTGAGGCTGAGTCGACCTAAGGGAGGCCCAGGACCGGTTCATATAATAGTCATTGGTGTTGGCTGTGAGCAGGAATCGAACTCGGGTCGCCGGGTACGTAGCGCAGTGCCGCTAACCACTACGTCACCGCACCCCGTACGGACGCGCACACATGCACGCACGCAGATGCGCACACGCACACAATGCACGCTGGCGTCTTTCAGAATGACAGCACTAACCGGAAACATAATCACATCCAGAATCACGGTGGGGATGAGACGCTTTCACAATCCACAAATTCCTTCCTTTGTTAGTCTTCTTGGGCTCCCTTGAAACTGCACTGGATTAACCCAGTGGCTCCCGGGGGGACGGGGGGGGCACAGAGGGCTCTGGGCTACCACCAAGAGGCCCAGCAGATGCTGCTATCTTGCAGCTGCAGGGGAATTGCGATGATGGGGCAGGGCCGTGCAAATACCGCGCGTCTCTCTGAGTGTCTCCGATTTGAATGTTCGAATCCCCACACCTGCACGGCGGTTGAAATGATGGGCAAGTTTGTTTCATCCCCCATCTGTGTTCCACACAACAGTATAACATGACTAAACTCACCTATTAACTATGTTAACTTAACCAGGTAAGGCCCACTGAGCGACCTGGCTATCACAAATAATAGCTCAACGAAGTGAGATTTATAGCAGCCAACATACTCCAAACGCATGTTCCTTCTAAATGTGTTGGGGAAAAACCGGAGGACCCGGAGAAAAATCCACGCGACCGTAGGGATAGAGACACGAAAGCTCCAAATATACAGCAGGCGTCAGGGTCGGGATCGAACCCACGACCTCCTGTATACCAGGCGATGTTGTTAACATCTCCTAGCCACCGCGGTGCCCCCTGAGTTCGTCAATTGGGACGATCGGCAGGTCCTGATGTGGGCGCTCCCACATCTTCCAAAATATCTGGCTAGCGTGGAAGAGCAGGCCAAAACACCCTCAAAAGCTATCTAGAGGGGGCTCTCTCTACAGCAGTGGTTCTTAACCTCTACTGCAGCCTCGCATACATTTGGTACTCAATCGTAAACAAATTTACGACATTAATAAATACATAGGGTTTGATCTTGATTTGAAGCTTTCGTGACTGCAGGAATTCATAGGGTTTGGTGAATACAAAGTAGTTGTACTTATGCGTCCGTGATGATTCACCTTCTAAAAATATCTGGCCACGTCTCGCACTCCCCCAGGAAAGGGCATCTCGCACTCCCTGAGGGTGCGTGCACCCCAAGGTTAAGAAACCACTGCTCTAGTGGGAGATACAGCACCTCAAGTAGAGGCCCTTCTGCAAGCCGTGACGTGAGTCAAGCAATTGCAGGTCTGAATCTTTTCCTTCCGAGATTAAGCGGGGAGCAAGCGGTGGTGTAGTGGTTCGCGCACTGAGCCACGGGAGTCTGATTCCCGGCCACGGCAAACCTCAGCGGTGAGTGACATCTGAACCGGGTCCTGGGCCCTCCCTTCGCTAAACCTTACTGGCCGGCATCGGATTGGGCCGGTCTTTATCCAACAATGGATTGACAAAGAGTTGTAGAAATAATATTGTTATATTTTTCTTAAACGGAGGCGCACAGAGGCCTTCTCTTGCAAAGGACACAACCGCGTTTTTTTTTTACTTTCTACATTACCATTATTACCGTAATTGGAACACATCGGAGAGAGCTCGTGTGCAGACGTCAGACAGATTCTCACATCGCGGTATCGGGAGGTGCGGTGGCGGCGTGGAAAATGTAAAGACACAAGCCACGGCAGTGCGACTGTGGCCATGCAACCCAAAACTATGGGACAAATCGTAAACCGCTGCGGTTTGCGCCCAGTCAACGGTGATGGAACAGCAAAACGACACGGACTGTCTCCCGAAGCCCTCTCGTCGCGGCGAGCGGACCTCGGACATTGGCATTTAGCCCCTGAACATATCGCTGCTGCCATCGTGGGAATAATAAAGTCAGTTGAGCTCACAGTGACTTGTTTTTATCATTGCCATTGTGTTCTGGTTTTACTGGCTCACAGATGGCCTCCTGGGAATCCCTTGGGGTATCCCTGCCCCCACGGAATCCTTCCTTCCAACCGTGACGGCATTATCAGACGACCACAAATATTTACAGAGGCGATCACGACGTTACCCGCCACGGCACCCAACCCCCATCCACCCAACCCCACCCTCCCTACTAATCCTGGCCTGTATTCTCAATTGAGTATTCCGTGACAGGGATGAATTTACTGTGTGAAGCACGGGCAACCTGCATACTCATTGGTTACGGATTCCAAATTGACAACAGCTGCCGTCATAGTACACTTGGTGGTGAAAAAAAATAAAATGTTTCAATTTCTGTGATTCTGTTACTTGCACACACACACACACAAAGCAGTGGGAACATTCGTCAATAACACTCTTAAAAACAAACGCAAATATAATAGGGAACGTTTCGGGCAAAGGCCCTTCTTAAGAGCACAACAGTTTGGGGTGCTTCTTATAATCCGGTAGATGTGTAAGCGTGTGCATAACCAGATGAACCCGGCTACCCAAGTTCGATTCCCGCTCATGGACAACATCAGTGACGATTATCTGAACCGTTCCCGAGCCTCCCCTAGGTCGATTCAGCCTTAAATTGGTACCTGGTGTGATGTATAAACATCGCCACTGGGGAGACAAAGGTGGCCCGGCTTGATTGCTAGCCAGCCACCCCCATGTGTGCCGTGCAGACCTTCATAGGTGCTCGCTAATAGCACTTTCCCCAACAATCTGTTAAGGTTATACGGGGGGGGGGGGGGGTCTGTGTCTTGGAAAAATAGATAATATTCCCGTGCAACTTGATCTCTGTCAACCTCTCTTATCTTTTTCCCCTTCCACTTTACAAATCACCAACGGCTTCTCCAGGTTTTCCCCCATCACCACCGATGTGGTGTGAGTCAAAGACTTCAGTTTGTTTTCCTCTCTCTGGTGCACAAAGTCTGCCCCCTCTACGCTGATCCCTCGTGTGGTGCACTTGCGCTGGTACTCCTGCCCTCCGCGTGTGGAAGCAATTCACCTCCTCGAGCATCAGACGTTCGCAAGCTGGGATCTTCCGCCCATCTGCTTTCGCCGGCGGTCCAAGATTCACACGCGTGCATCGCGATCGGCCGATTCATCGTTTCACGAAAAACGCCTAATTACGTCGAATGCCCAAATAACCCACCCTCAATTTCCAACATTGCTCGGTGTTTCGCAAATCGGCCGCTTGTCCCGGAAAACGCGGCATACCAGTACAAGAAAATTATAAATCGGGAAAACCCAATGTTATAACGGTAACCCGAAGCAACAGCTGTGCCAAAAAAGTAGCCACAGAGGACGAACACTCGTGAAATATGGCTCACTCTCCATGCTGCAATTTGACAAAGGCCAATATGTACGCATGTATGTTGAACCTCTTTTGCACCGTACGTAGCCAACCGTGCTAATAATGGGAAGTCAAAAAATGGCAGGGCTTTACAGTGCAGTGGTATGCTTTGAAGGCATCGTTCGCCCAGCCGAGCGGAATGAGAAGAAATAGCCTTTTGTTTTCTGCACATTTTTCCATCTCGTTTGGCCGGGCGGTTCGAGGGTGCCGGAACGCAATGGCAGAACATGCCACGTATATAATTTCCAGCGCTTTTGACTCCGGCCTCGACGTAAATAAAAAGGACGACGATTCGCGAAAATAAATAACGGGAATGGAATTCGCGCTGCGTGTATTTATGTCAGCTCCGGTAAGCACGGTTGGCCATGTACGGCGCGAAAGAAGTTCAACGTACATACATCACGTGCGCTGCCGGGAAACGGCGTGGTTTGGCCAACGAGCGAGCTCCGGCAGAGTCCCATCGATCAGCAATTGTGGACCTCACTTAACAAGTCGCACTTTTTTTTAATAAACAACTCAACGTTGCTAAAG